ATTGCAATATCCAACCGTATTCGCCGGATTTGGTCCCCCAGTGACTTTTTAAATTTCCAAACTTAAAAAAGTGGCTGGGCGGACAACGGTTCACCTCGTACGAGGAGGTCACCACCCAAATAGATACCTATTTCGAGGACCTTCCAAAATCTTACCTTTTAGATGGCTTAACAAAGTCGGAGAAACGCTTGGAAAAGAGTACAGAGTTAAAAGGAGATTCTATTGAAAAATACCAAAAAAAGTCTACTTAAAATAATTTGTTTCTCTATCTTTTCCTAAGGACTTATTGAACGAGCCTCGTAGATAGATTTTCCATACCGTGTTCATACGTATGTATTTTGTGTGCCGCGGTCGGGTCTCCGCTCTTGACCACGGTGTCTTTCTTGGGTAGTTGGATGTCTCGAGGGACACGGAGTTGGATCATTTCAGGGTTAGGGCGCAGTAACGTGTAACGCAGCGACGCCAAGGGTTGCGCGAGGGAAAGAGATAGCTAGAAGGTGTCAGGGATGTGGAGGGTGTAGATTGAATATAAGAGAGAAAGCGATAGAGGGTAGAAGAGCGTAGTTCGTGGGCATGCAGGGGTGGTAGGTCGTTGCCCGGCTGGTAGAAGGGGAAGGCCGGTAAATATCGACCCTTCCCTTCACGGAGACTCTCTGTCTCCATCCAGACATTCGTTGCCTCATGTTACTGCTTTCCCCTACGTTGCGACCGGCCTTTTTCCTCTCGCAGGCTTGTAACCTCCTACCGAACGCCCACGTAGAGAGGAGAGTACTACGCTCTCACACCACCGAGATATCCATGCTACCTTTCCAAGGTCAACGGCTCGGTGGCTCAAAGACCCCTGGAAACCGACTTCTATGGTCCGTGGTGTGTGCATCCTCTCTGCCTACTTTCTTCTCATTCTTTGCCACTGTTATAATCCTGTCAAATCTACGAGCCGCGTAAATTAAGCGCTAAGACTGATTTTTTTTCATTTTTTCGTTCGAATAGAATTACAATTCGATATTGTCTCCCTCGAAATAACTTCTTTGAGACGATTCTCCCAATCCTCATAGCAGTGGAACTTGGATACTGATATAGCCTTTAGCTGGTCGGTTAGAGTCGTTTAAATGTTTTCGAGTGTCCCAAAATGACGTCCAAAAATCACAAGGACTCGAGTCAGGCGAGTAAGGAGGCTGAGGAGCCGCAGGAATGTTTTTACTGGCCAAAAACTCATTTACTGAAATCGCTGTGTGACAAGGCGCATTGCCGTGATGCAACACCCAGTTGCTCTTGATGTTTGGCCTCACACGCGTCACCCTTTTTCGAACTTTTTCTAGAACCACTCGGTAAAAGTGTTGATTGACCGTTTGGCCTTGAGGCACAAACCGTGGACGATTCCATGACTATCGAAAAATCAAATCAGCGTGACTTTTGAAAGAACACGTTCATCTATCGTCCCTGCAAGTCTCATTACTTAATTTACACACCCTGTATAACGCTATGCACGTTTTTGGTGAACGCAATATATCGAAAGTAGAAACTGATACCATGATGCATGTATCTTGTCTGCAACATTTGGTGGGTTGTGAATCACAGTGGTATAAGTCTTATCCATACTGTTTTAAAAAATTCCACATACATGTCGAAGTTGTGAATACACGTCTGACTTCTACTAACTAAATATTAAAAGAAAATTATATATATCTGTCCGTTTAAAAAACTAGGTACGTGCAAGGCTATATAAATTCCTCTTATTGAATATTTTTGTAACGTGTACTTGCTTGGACATTTATAATGAAAAAGTTCCTGAATGTTGTTGTAGTCGTATATAATTACTGGTGAATCATCGTATGTTTTGGAAAAGCTTTTGGCCATGGTCGGTTTCGTTGAATTCTTTTGGCAAGCATGAGTCAGTAACAGCTATGTTTTCACCGGAGGACTTTGAACTAGAGTGTGTCGCGTCTGGGACGAAACGTTTGAACCTAGGCAAGCGAAGGTTTCCCGAGGTTACAAGGTCCAACATCGCCGCTTCTCCCCCTTTTGTTATCCGGCTACAGACGTCTCGTGCGAATTGAACGCACATTGCTCGCCTCTCCCCCATCCCCGAAATCTTCGGTTTTTCTTCTGTCTACCCGGCCAGACGTTCTTCTCTCCCACCTTCGACAACTTCGACTGACCTCAACCCCCGCTTGAAAAATATGTGACGTACACGTTGTCTGTATATATATATATATACTACGCAGCAAGAGTGAAATGTACGTTGCGTAGTTACTAATTCTTTCGCTCAACGCTGCGCAAAGGACAGAAATCTGCGTATTTAGAATTCCGAAGCTTACAAACTATGAAATTAGATCATTTTCTAATCATTCGATTAATATTGTTTAGATTTATTTTATTCTGAAAATTACGACGCATTTTGCTTGTTGTCCAAAAATTTTCTTTGTTCCGCGTTCAATGTTTGCGTGAGTCAACGATGACCAACGATATTTACCGAACGTTGAATTATTTTCAAGAAACGAATATATTCTTATCGGTGTTGAAATATGAGATAGAGAAAATAGAATTCTATACAAGGTCGCTAATTTTAATCTTTTGATGCTGGTATCTCGGAAATTGTTAGTGGTTGTTTAGGCAACAATTTCACGGTGAACGTTATGCTTCGAAGAAAACATCGCACTTTTACTGTAACGTACCAAAACGAGACACTTTCATCGACGACGAACATCGAAGGGTATCTCAATTTTTTTTTAATGGGATCGTACATTTGTCTGGAATTAAAGTTACTGCGAATGAATTCAATGACCTTGATGTGTACGGGACATTGAAAGTCAAGTATGAATCGGTATCCTCGATAAATATTTTTCTGAACAATCACTGAACTAATAATCCATACGAAACTGTTTAAAAATTGTAAATAATTTTTGTAAATAACCTTCGATTACCTTACACGACGCAGGTTATAAAATTCGTCTTCGCATATTCTAGAAATTTTCCGTGATCTCATTTAACAAAAATAGATATACCTCGAATCTCGAAAGCGATTCCATTTGTTACAAAATTCTGCTGATCAATAACTGCTTATCGTAAAGTAAAGTAACTTTCGTATAAAATGCAGATTTAAATGAGACGTCCTATATAAAATTCAATACAATCGAAACTTTTCTCGTATTTCTAAAAATTAGTTCTTTTTAAATGCCTGTATAGAAGCTTGAATTTTGCACGTCATTGAACATAGCGAATAAACACATCAGGAATAAATTTTATCAGTGGCAGTCAGGCAGATTGGATGCAATTATAATGTAATACGGTAGTAGTAATGTAACATTTATTGGTACACACTGTTGCCACTGAATGAATGATCCCCGAATTTGGCTGTTGAAATTATATTTTCGTTACACTTCTTCCTCCTTAGATGTAGGTCACGCAGTCCCCTTCTTGCACCTATCCTAGACAAGCGAATCTAGGCTGTGGGCAGTACCGGGTGCATATAGGTATCGATCGTTGAACGGCGTTGCTGCAGTCTGGCCTGGTGCACCGGCAAAACTGGGTTACCCACCTAACCTATACACACGAGTCCCCGTGGATCTTGTTCCTCGTCTCAACGAAGCCAAGCACGCCTCTCGTGTTTCTGTAACCCACACGCTCGTGCATTTTCGCCCACGCATGCACACGCCTCGTGCATCTTCGTGACTCCTCGTGCTTTTCTTGCTTCCTCAGTTTATTCGCTGTCTTGATTGTCGTTAAGAAATACATCCTCCATCTTTTCTTTTACAATAATAAAGAAACATTCGCTGCTAGTAATATAGTACACCATCTAATGACCATAAGATCGCTTTGATGTACCGACTAGACGCTTATTACCGTGCATTTAAATATTTGAGTTGTAAATAATATATAAATATAGTTGTTTTATTGCATTTTCTTTTTAATTAACTGCAGGTGAAAGAAATTTAAGAAATTGTGACAAGAGTACATATGTATTAATGAATTGTCGATTAATTAATATCTTTAAATTTAAATGTATTTAGTATTCAAATACATGGTCTAATTTCTTATTAAGTTATCGTAGGAAATTGCATTAATTAGACCAATGTTGATGTTCGAATATTCCATTATCATTTAGTTGAAATATGCTGAGATCAAAGTGAAGGTGTAGTAACTTTGACTTGATCCTTGAGCATAATTATAGAACTTTTTAGAAGACCTTGTATTCAAAGAACATTAGTAACTGTAAAACGCGTCTATACATTAACAATATAATATTATTAATTGATAATAAATTAATATTGGTTTTATTTATTTTATGTTATTTGCTTTAATTTGGGATGGTAATTTATGAAAAAGGAAAATACTGTGATGGTTGTGACATGACGGGTGTGACATCTCGTGGTAAAGTTAAGACAAACAGACTATATGCGCGCATGCACAAGGCTGCATGTTACCTTACCCTCAAGTGTCGTGGGGCTGCGCCTACTGCATTCATGTGAGTTGAAGGGTCTGCTGTGTCGACGTCCATTACGCATGCGCAGGGCTTTACACTCTGTCGACTGGCTGCGCACGCGACCGTACCTTCGACTCGGTGTGGGTTTGGCGTTTTACTACTTTTCAGGGCCGTGTCGTATTACGTGTTCTTAAAATATTTAACCTTTATATCTCTAATTTCTTTATTTAGTATCTAACACATTTTATAAAATATCCAAAAATATTTACACTCGCGAGATAAAAAAAATTATTTTAATGGTATATGACTTCGGAATGTATATATTTTTATGCGTAATAAATAAGCATTAAAAATATATTTAATAACGAATGAATTTATAAAATCATTTTCTAAATTACTTTTGATATTATATTTTGTGACAATAAAATTTGTAATTGGTGCCTTTACTAAGAATTAATTTAAACAACGTTATTATAAAAATAAAACTATTACGTTTTCGAAAATTTGTTTAAAGTTGCCAAACAATGGAGGGTACTTTTGAGATCATTGCACGACCCTGTCGCTCCTTAGTTGCAAAGCGAAGCTGGTAGGGGGCCACGGGTCGCGATTCGTAGGTCGTGCGAGAAGGACTAGCCTGCATCAGTCTACGCCGCGTCCCTTGCAAAAGGATGCGCTCGTCTTCACGTTTTCGTTATTTTACTTCTCCTCTATCCGGGTTAACACAATACACACCTATAAACGCATACTTTAAATACGCATCGAAGTTAAAGTGCAATAACGAAAAAAACAGATCCTTGAAACGAAAGGACAACCTCATGGTGTCGGTGAAAGAATCTCACGCAATCTAGGAACGACTTGATGCCGTTTCGATGCCGTCGTTCCAATTTCCTGTTTAATTTTAAACCGATTTATCGTACGTATTTTCTGGATATTTAACGCGTGTGTCATCGAAATTCTATAGGCTTACTGGCCAGTGTACGTATTGTGGTGCGAACAATTTCGCTGTTTTACCTAGAGCACTTTTTATCGTTCACATAAATCTCGACACGGACAAAACTACATAGAACGCGCGGCTCGGTACTTTTCGGCATGCGACCGAACACTTCCGATCATCGGTCTCGAGACTTCCCCTTAGTGCTCTAATAGGGAAGGAGGAACGTGCGAGGAAGAAAATTTGGAAGAATTCAGCTAGCTAAACGGATTCGGGGTACCGTTGATTTCGTTCAACGATACATCCACGGCAGACATAACCTGTATGCGCTCTATGAACAGGAAGTTTCCCGTGGCAGGAGTGGGCGGTGCGAAGAGGGAGACGACGCCGGTCGAGCCTTAAATATCGATTTTGGCATGCAAGAGGTACGATAGTCGTCCGTTTCAGCGTGTCTCCTACCTTTGTGCATCTCCACGCTGACAAGTTTTGACAGTTGAGTGCGGGAATAATGCATTAAGAGGAATTGCGTGCATTTGTACGAAATAGAAACAATATGGTGGCGCGGCATTTTCAAGTCAAAAATTAAATACACAGTGAATAGTGTTTTCAAATGATGGAATTCAATGTGAGTTAATTTCAATTTTTTAAAAGTGTTCTATGAAAATGTTGTTCTCAAGTCGTCGTGTGTACAGACATTTCGTCTATAAAACGCGTTTGAGGCAACAAAATTCGGTGACTATCGATCGATCATCTAATTAATGTTGGCCAAGACACTTTGTTTCTTTCGTTTCGATGCCATTCGACGGAAATTTCTTTGCTTTTCGAATTTTTATACAATAACGATTCGACCCACGTTCTCGTAATCGTCGAGGATATTTATTCTGAAAAAAATGTCCTTCGCCGATTCCAGCGTTCTCTACCGTAACAAGTGAAGTCTGAAAAAATAGTAACTGATCGGAGAAGAAGAAATATAATATAATCGAAGAGAATACGATTCAATTACGATACGTACATACGATAGAAGAAATTTTCAGAATATATTAAGAGAAAAAAAATAAGTCAACGAAACTGGCAGTGTCTTTACAAACCTAATGACCCCGTCAACTTTAGGGCATTCATCGACTATTAAGGTATCCGAACCACGTTTATAAAGACCCTTTGTTGCGTTTGCCGATCGAGTAGACGATGACATCATGGTGCAACATTGCCGATTGAGAAGTCGGTGGACAACGGAGGTAGTGTTGGTTAAATGTCGATAAGCCCTTTGCACTTGACGCCGTTGTTCGTTTTTAAGCTTATCGAAAAGAAGAAAAAAATATACTACTAATGAGAATTTGTATTGCATGTAACGATAACAGCGTGCTTTTACAATCACACGTTCATTTACGAACACGTTAAATTAAATAAAAAAATTTTCTCGATACTTTGACGCAACGACGTTCGTACATTCTTCTACATGCAGCGTAACATTGATTATAACCAATGATCGGATTCACGAATAACGGTCATTTGAATCCTGACATGTTCGTTATTTGAAAGAGGGAGTCCACGAAATTATCTACGTGTGGTTTCGTTCAATTTTGAAGCCAACTGTTTCGGCCAAGACGCGTCACTGACGCTGGATAGGAAGAAAAAGTTACATCAAGAAGAATGGTTTCGAGATTTGGCGTCTCGAAGGAGGGCGCTGTGGGTGTTGCCGTAGGTGTAGGTCCTATGCACTGTCTCCTTCCACATTGTGGAGGACCACATCACCATCATCACATTTCGGCCCCCCATCCTCAAAATCCGCAGCCAGGTCACAATCACCATGTGCATCCGGCCCATCAGCCACCACCCTCGCCTAGTCCTCACTTGAATCATCAGCTGAGCCATCATCAATTGACCGTCAACATTAACCATTTAAGTCATCAGCAGCAACAACAGCAACAACAACAGCAACAAACTCAACATCAACAAGCGCCACCGCAGTATCGTGTCGTCACTGCGAATATCAGTAAGTATGAGTATGGACTGGCGAAGTAAACAATGGAAATTGTAACGAAAGTTTAACTATGAGAAATATTTCTTTCTGCTAGCTGATAGTTTCTTACAAAATAAACATTTTATCATTTTTAGCGAATCGGTTTTCGAATTTACCAAACTATTATTATTGCTCCTCTCTGTGTCGAGATTTAGATGCATAGTGCGAAGAAGTTTCTCACTCATTTTCAATAAATCATATCTGCCGGACGCATATAGGCGTTCGTAGCATGAACTGTGCCGATCGACTGCGTGCTTATATGCGCCACCCACGGCACCCAAAGGGTTAAACATTGACCTCATTTTATCTGGACTATACGTTTTCGGTTACTTTTGCTGGCTAAAAAAACTGGTTATGCGAAACGAAGCCACGTGGTGATAAATATTCACGTGTAACAAATAGCTGACCTAATAGATTTCTGGAAGATTCATTTCTTTATCTACAAGTTAGTCGATCGATCGATTAAGAATACGTGTAACAGGGTTATCGTTATCGGTATCTGTTCAAGAAAAGGCAGATAATGTTGCTTGTATCTTTAATGCAGATCTTTAAGCTTTATAAAAACTTCTAATCAAATTCATTTTACATTTTAAGCTTTTTATTATTATTCTTGATATATTTCGTATAATACCATCTTGAAAAGTAACAAGAAACCCAGAATATAACATTAAAACTAACAAATTTTAATACTCCAATTTAATGGTAACTGATAGTGCAAAATTTCTAGAATACTATGTTATAAAAACACTTTTGACCTTTTTACATAATATCCTATTGTAGCAAACGTTGTTTTCAAGAAAAAATTAATATTTTCCCGTCACGTATTCTAGCATGCATTCTCACCTACATGAGAATTTAATTTTAGTTTGCTCCCATCATGGACATACATTTTCGTGACCAATGGAAGCGTCGTCTCGAAATGAGATTTTATTTGGCTTTACCTGTACACGTCGCTTATATTTTTTATTTCACCTTTAAAAAATGAATGCGTTCGAACAGAACTTCTTCGACTCGGTATAACCTAAAAATTTTTCGATACAGTTTCTACTAGCTCGTAATTACACGGGATATCCTTTCTTTTTATTTTAATCGCCGAGTCTTTCATTGCGTGCCAATTCATGAGACTGCATGTGTATATACATTTCGAGCACCTGTGCGTATAAAGGAGATGTACATACACGAAGCCCGTTATTTTCGAGCACACTGGAGGTAGTTAATTTGACCTGGTGGCCTATCTGTCAGAAGTCGAACCGTTTGCGCTATTTGCAGATACACGGCCAAGCTCGGCCTGTACTGAATAATCTTCGCGAAAATAAGTTCACGATATTACGCGTATAGTAATGTCAAGCTCATTGTCATTTCACGATGGATTTTCTTCTTTCGTTGTTTATTCAACGGAATTAATTTAAGTCAGCTGGTATAACCACAAATATATTTACGTACAGCGAATATAAACCTTTCGTGCAATTTTCCTAATTTCTTTCGACATATTTTTTTTTATATTTCCGAGTACTATAAATTCCTTGCATTGACATAACATGTTTCTTTGATACAGTCTGGGTTAATGCATGGGGATTTATGAATGATTACAGTATCGATATATTGGATAGCTTAGTATTTAGGTTAGTCCTTAGCGCCCCTGGGCGGCATTGTAGACAATTCACGATATAGGTCAATCGATAAAATGCTTTCTACCTTGTACAGTCGCGAAGGTACGTTCGATTCTTTCCTCTTGTATGATACGACGTCTCGCCGTGATTACACCAACCATCTCTCTGTTCTAACGTTTTAAGAAATTCCAGTAACGATGACTAATTTTTACACAAGGTATCTCATAAACTTCTTAATCGTTTAAATAGTGGTATGCGTTTAAATATCTTGCTCAATTTATCAGGCTATACCAAAATTACAAATTTGAATATATCATGTTACTTTGGTGTATACTTACACACAGTTACTAATGAAAAATACTCGCAATAAAAGTGTCATTGCGCTTAATTTTTATTTCTTATCGGATATACCACAATATGTTAACAAGAAATGATATAAATTTTTTCATCGTTTCCTGTAAACCTAATTCGATTTACCCAATCGATCAAACAATATTTATTTCTCTCTTTCGTGACAATTTTCATGGCACTTGTAGATTATTATTTAACAATTATTACTTTAAATGTTAAAAAGCCGTTCATTTTATTTTATAAGTTAATTTGTTAATTATTGAATACTTTAAGAATACATTGTATCATTTTTTAAGTATTTAGCATGAATCGTATCTATTTTATTTATAACAATGTGATTCGATATAGTTAACGGTAAAATTACGAATTGCGAGCACTGGTCAAAAAGTGAATAATCCGTAAAAATTGTACCTTCCGAAGGTATTATCACAGCTTCGAAATATCGAATTTCTACGTTTATCACTACAGCATATCACTGTTCTTGCATTGGACGCCACGTGGCGAGTGTGTGACCGTTCTAACCTCACTTCTGCTTTCATGTGTACTCTCTTCGAGCATAGCTACAATTTTTTTCTCTTAAGACTAAATTTCTTCAAATTATTTACAAACCACGTTTGTTTGTTGACAATTTATAGTCAAATATAATATATGAGATACACTTTGCATGATTTTGCATATTATACCTAGATTTATTGTTTGCAAATAAGGGAGTGGAAAAAAATATTAGAGAGAGGTAGGAATTGGCACCGGAAATTACGTATTGTATTTTCCAGGCCACGTTTTTCTCTTTATTAATGGGCACTTGTACACGTCATAGACATCCGTAAAAATAAATATTCGCTTATTAATATTCGTTTTATTGATAACTAAGAATAGCATTGTTTGAATCTCTCAGGTATAGAAGTACGAATATAAATTATCGTTGAGTGTTATTATTAGGTACAGAACTCATATATGATATGTTATCATGATGAAAATTACTGTGACGCAAATAAAGTACCATTGAGATATAAAGAATTTTGATTATTATTCAGATTGTGAAACATTGCTCTATTCTATCAGGCTTGCTCCAGCCTGGTTCGAAACAAGTTACAAAAAGATAAATTTTGATGTAGTTGCTTTCTATAAATCACTTTATCGTTACGTCAAAAATGTACCGAATAGAATAGAATGTCAGAATTTAACAGGGCCATAAACGTACCTATAATTTACGTGTTTTCATGGTACTTAACACGATCCTGACGATGGAGTTCGGCCTCGCCCCCCTTTCGTGGCAATCAATGCACTTACGGAACTACAGATAGCAGCACTGCTCTGGCCCCTGCCCACATGTGCAAAGATGGCCGTTCGCGAGGCTGTCTTCTCGGTTTCTTTGCTCGTGTTCGAGCGTTCCTGTCACTTCATTGTTCTTTAGTTATAAACATATATTTGTACAGATAGGTATAGCCTTTACGTGACGAAAAACGATAACCAGCTTTGTACCGATCTTTAACGGTGAGCAACGAAGTATCTATATTTTTGTTTGTTCCTTTATCTGCTTTGTATCCTTAATGTATTTTCTCGTGATAAGTTCGTAGCATGTGGCGAAAAACACTTTTATCGTTTCATGAAAATTATTGCATTTTCAGTGGGTTATATTATTATAAATGTGTATCGAGACGGTAATCTTAACGTTGTGTATTTTGATAATACATGTAACCGATTGCACTACATCTCTTAGACGATGACGACGTGTCAAGCTATGTCATGCAATTCCACGCATATTTGCTTTCACGAGTAATTCGTTTAACGATAGAATGGCGAGCACAGTGCGGCAGAAAAATATCACGCATATGCGAATCTCACGGTACAACGAACTCTTATTTTTTTTTCTTCTTCTTTTTTTAACATGACCAAAATGAATACGTCTAATGAGAAAGATAAACGATGATAATGAAAGATAAGTGCATTATTGTCATTGTGTACTTAGTAATAATTATCGACACATCTGACCATGTTGAACTATACATGCAGGAAAGAAATTTTTGTTTTTATCATTTAAATATGCTTACAAATAAGATAAAAAGTGTATACTTTTATTCCCATATTTTTGATTGGAAAGCACCTATAGTGCATGATTTGGTTATTAAGCAACATTTGATGATTACGTTTATCTTGAATACAATTGCATTTAATTTAAAAACCTTATAATAAAACGATTAATTTGGATTAACTGGAGAACGATTTAATTGGATGTGTACGTATATAAGAAAAAAATATTTGGTACAGTGTGAAATACGGACCGCATTTATTTTATATTACGGGAGTAAAAGTACGATACGCGTTTCGTAATTTATAAGCTACCAATTGCTAAAGTGTTTATTGCTCGAGGATATAGGTATTCGTTTGAATAATTACGACCATTTTAACGCAATAGTAAAAACAAAGTTACATTTTTAATCTGTAACATCTATAATAATCCTATACAGATCTAACAAAACAAATTAGTATAACTGTGCAAATACATATGTATACACGTCAAGTATGAAAACGATGGTATGTTACGAACGAGCCAGGTGTACAGAATAAAGTGGTATTATTTTCCAAACGTAATTTTACTCTCTCCTGTATCACGATCGATTGTCGGTATTTTCTATTTATTTGTATATGATTAAATCACGTGATTCGAAAAGGCAACACTAAAAACTGACGATGTTCTTTTTTTTTAATTTCAGGATCAGAGTTTCATGTGTCTGGACAAAATTACGGCACCCAACCAGGGGGCCAGGTGGGCGGGGGAGGGGGTAGTGTAGGAGTACCTGGAGGCAGAGGGCCTCCACCACTTAGTGGCTTACAGTCCATAGGACAATCAGGAGCAGGTATACCGCCAGGAGGTCCTGCTGGAGGGCAAGCACCACCTCAAACTCCGGCACCCGGGGTACAATCACAACAGCCGCAAGGTCCGGCGCCCACTACGACACCCCCCGTGCATACCCCCTCGCCGCAGGAAATGGGAAAACAGACCCATTTACAACCTCAACCACAACCTCTGTCACAAGTATATGGGCCTACACAAACGAGGCCGACCTCCCAAGTGAGTATCAACTTGTTTCAACAAATTCCACTAACTTTCTACATTTTAAGCGATCGTTCAAATTGCAGCTGTTATGTTAGGATATATTATAAAAGTATTTAATAACTCAATTGTTCAGAATACGCTCAATTTTCTTTTGCATACACTTTCGTAATATAGTCCCGTGAAGAAAATAATAATTTTATATATATTTTTTTTTCTAATAATTGTTTTAAAAATTGATCGTTTCGAACATGTTTATTATAAACGCATGCATATTTAATATTTGTTACGTAGGACATTGGTGACACCAGTAATTAAATCTTGAAGTTGTAGGCGAGCATACACGCCGAAGTCCTTTCCGCCGGTACTTTGCATGCTCTGGCCTCTCAACGTTGCATCGAGAGTCGTCGTATGTTTCCTTGGAAGGCTGAGTGTGACAAATCGCCTAGGCGATTCGATTCAGGACTGCTTTGAAACGTGAATTTTATGATATTTATTACAGTTAAATGAATATGTATGTTAAAAAAAAGTATACGTTTACCTTTTTATAAAATCTTTCTTTGCATTATGTACTGAAACCTTTCCCTTTATAAATAATTTTCTTTTTACTTTTTACACGATTGTTTATTTATAGAACAAATTGTATATTCTGCTATAAAAAGTGTCTTCCTATACGTTTTTTTGTCAACATGTATACCATGTAAAAAGAGAATTGAGTGTAATGTTGTTAGTTTATATCATTCTTGTAAGATCGTATTGTGACATCTATATATCATAGTTTCGTATTACTTAACAAAATTTTTTTTATTAATGCGACGTTTATCAATTTCAGGGTTATTACCCACAAGGTCCACGACCGCAACAACCAAGGGGTATTACTCACAGGGGGGGTCAGGGAGGTACTGGTGCACAGGTAGTGGGAATGTCAGGAGTCGGTGGAGGTGGAGGTCAACCAACAGCAATTTATCATCCAGGTGGTTTGCCGGTTCAAACTGGAGCAATGTACCAAGTCCCTAATCTTCATTCTGGACCACATCAGCAGTCCGTATACTCCATGAACAGTCAAATACCCATCCAGGTAGTAGTTAAGTACTGTTGATTTTATATATTTACTGTTATGCACCAGTCATTTTATTTGTATCGCAAGAAAAGTGATATAGTCTGATACAAAGATTTGTTATTAAAACCAAAAATAAAGTACCGAACCATGTTATAATAAATTTTTCTTAATTTTGTTCGCCGTATTTGCAAACATTTATTTATTTATAAAGCATTGCTATATTCATCATTATTGTAATCGATGAACATAAGTGTAACAAATTTCTTGTACTTTTAGTTTGGTGGTCCACCTCAGAGGCATCAAACGCATCAAATTCAGTCATGTTATTCACCGTTTCAACATTCTCCCTTTCTAACGGCACAAAATATGTTTGGATACAGTGCATCTGCACCAAACTCTCATGCTTGTAAGTAGTATGCAATCGCACTATATAGGGAATAAATATAAAATCAATCAACCGCTATATTTTCTTGTTTAGATTTCTGGCCCGCTGGGCAACCAGCGAATGCACCACTAAATTTAAATAGGCCAGGTGCAAGTGCTGTTACTGGTGGGGCACAACATGTTACAGGCCCGCTGGCCGGTGCCCAAGGAGCCCCAGTAGTACAACAAGGTACGCTTCAGCAACCTACACAAGCTCAGCCTTTACCCCCAATGGCTATGTCTCTCTCTCAGACTGGTAAGTAATGAATAATGCCATAATCGTATACCATATGTTTAAGAAATTAGACTTTTAACCTGTAGATAACATATCCTCAAGAAATTACCCAGTGTATGTGCAAAATATGAATAGCGTATATTAAAAAGAGAAACTCAAAAGAATTTACTTCTTTAAAGATATTAACTGATACATGTGCATTCAGTTTCTATTTCAAATATTCTAATACAGCAGTTAATTACTAAATTCTGAGTAAATATTTGCAATTATATTTCCTAATGATATGAAGATTGATAATCATCGGGTCGCGCTTATCCTTTTTTCTTATCCCAGTTAAATTATGAGAAGTCCCGTGCGTGGTCACTTAAATGGGCACTACTGTAGATGTTAATATCAATTTGAACTTTTGGTTGCATCGAAGTAATTTTTCCCCGTAGAGGTTCAATAAAGTATAATGTACTTACATTTTCTACCATACTTATTTAAACAATCATCGACTTTAAAAATAAATTCGCAATAAAGCATGTTTAATCATTAAAATACGATATAAAATGTTAATGTATTTTGAATTATTTTCAATGGTAGCGAAATATTGAGTTTTATGTTTAATGAAATGTAATTCTATTAAAATATTTTTTATTTATCAAGTAATTCATATATGAACATACAAAAGTTTTAATATTAAATATTTGAGCTTTGTAAAAGTTCCAGGAAAAGAAAAAAACTAGTTGCTGTTAAAAGTCTTAGAATTCATTATACTGTTACAACTGTTCCCAAAGATTTACGTTTGCGTTCAGGTATGACAACTCGGGTAAAATACCTGGATCCACCCCATAGCAGCGACCTTTTTTCAGAATTCCTGCATCAGTTTAGGTCTTCTTGGTCAAGAGCAGAGTCACGTTGTAAAATTTCATTAGTATCATTGCATAATATTCTTTAGCTAATTTAAATTCTGTATTAAATTTTAAACGATGTAAAATAGTATGTATAAAATGTGCAGTGGTGTGTGCTGGAATAGATATAAGAAAATCTGTGATCGGTGATGCGCATCTTTTATAAAATAATTATTGAATGCATCGCTATTTTATTCGAGACTTAAACGTTTTAAATGACATTCGTTAAATTTATATATTAAAAAAATATTAATTAGTTCTCTGTTTTTTTACATATTGTATTTTAAATTTGTTTGTTTTGTAACTTAAAGATGTGTACTCAGGCCATAATGGTGGTGCAACAAACACGACGAATAGTACAATAAAGTCTCGGAAACCAAGAGGACAAAATGCTATTACTGATATTGTAGATCCGACAACTGGTAAAAATATAAGTCACGAAATTTACAAGGATAATGAAACTATTCAAAGTGGTGACTCTAGTAATCGTGAAACACCTCAGCCACAGGTGAGTTATATTGGAATATTAATACATTAACAATTGACTATAAGAGTTTCGTATTCGAAACATTAACAAATGTTAAATTACTGTACCATGATTGCTATATCGTTTAAACTGCTTCATTTTAAACTGAATAAATAATCGAAGTATATAAAAAACTCTTAATAAATAAATAACTCTTTTAGTCAATTGTTTATATTATTGATATCTGTACCCAAAAGCCATGGTTATTAAAATCTTTATTTTTCATTTTTTTTTTTAAACTGCAAGATGAATTTATGTATTGCTATATAAGAATTTGTTATTTTCAGTGCATAAGAAAGTTATTAGTATTAAATTAATATCATAGTAGGAAACTTGGATAAATAAATTATACGATTTACCATAATTGGAGATAAGTATTATAGAAATAAAATCAATGTTAGTATGATTTGGATATATTACTTAAGGGGGTATCCTCATTAGCAAGCAGAAAAAAGGAGATGCTCTTTATAGAATTTTTTACAAAAATATTGTAAACGCGAATAATTTGAAATTTTAATATAATATTGTAGAGTATATTTCCAACACTTTGGCAATTTTGAATGTTCACAATATGAACGAATGTAGTCTGTTTACAAGACTAGCTGAAATATGGGCTGCAAAAAAAAAAAAATATTGCCCACTGGTGGGACAAAAATCTTCCCTCCACATCATCAGAAACAACAATTTCGAAAAATTCTTATTAATACGAGTAAGGTGATTGTTGGTACTAGAATAAACATTGTATGTCGAAAATTATCAAAATGGCGCACTTTAAAAGGTAAAAATCGAATTTTAGTAACAAAAAAAAATCAGTATAATTTTGCTAATTAAAAAAAAAGTTACATATTTTCAGTTGATTCTAGTACCTGCACTGGAGAAACATGTGTTTTATAAGCAGTTAAAATTTTAAGGTAATATCTTAGTTACTTTTGGAAATATCTGTCCCGCCAGCTCGAAAAACCCTGTTTCAAGACAAAAAAACTCGTTTAAAATTTGAAGTGTACGTTTTTTGTATTTTGAGAATAATTTTGAATTCTTACAGCCAATTAGCTATTCCTAGGTCATATAACAAACCCTCTGCTTTTTCCTTCGTAGAACTTGTCATTTACAATTGTCTTAGTTTAGTTGTCTTTGCCTCTTTTATCGCTTGTAAGGTTTGATGCTCGGCTGCTTATATTCGGCTTTTATCTTTATAGTCGGCAAATCTTTTAGCTTGCGATCCATCTACAATTTCCACAGTTTCCATCATTTTCAGGAGAGGTGAAAATCCATCATTAAATTGTACAAGCGGCCAAAAAAAATTACAATTTCAATCATTCTCGATACCATAAAAAAAATATGTTTTTGAGTGAATTGCCAAAGTGTTGCGTTGTAACTTTTGTTATTATTTTAAGTATGTCCGCGAATAGGTTCTTCGCTGCAAAAGAACAAAGTACTGATATATATTTTGGCTCCTTTGTTTGACGATAATAAGCGAAAATGCTAGTCAGTCCTATTTTATTTCTTATCTATCCATCGATACACTGAACCAACTGTGTCTGCGGTAAATATTTAAATTCAAAAATTTTCTTCTAGGATTATGTTCTTAATACTTTAAAGCGTAAAGAAAAATGCAAATAAAAGTCGATGATTTTAATCCTGCGAATGGGGATACCTCGTTAATACATTATTTTTGTAATTGCATTTATCTTTTGTAAACCATGGCTAAAGGGTAACAGAGGCAGAAAACATATTGAACGTTTATTTTATTTCTCTTAGTACATTTGGTTTCATTTCTCATCTTATGATTTGAGTTTGGAGCCAGTTTTTAGTTGTCAAGCATAATCTTTACTTGATTGCTATGTATCATTGTCTATCACACAGAATTGGTGATTGTTACAGAATAATGGCGCTGAGGTGCAAGCCGACTTTGCAGCGCGGGTTGCAAAAACTCTTGTGAAAGTCACGACCGAGGAGCCCAGTTCCGACTCGGCGGTATCGACTAGTGTACCAAATACACCCGCAACTCAAAATGTAACGCAAAGTTTATCTAATTCACAAACAAATTCTAATAACGATGTGAACAGTCAGTGTAGTACCAGTTCACCAACGCAAAACACACCTAACGTAACCGAGTTATGTAGTCAATCGTTAGGTACTTCTAGTAACGTGGCTCAACAAGTAGACTCTAGTGCAGTGAAAACGGAGTCTAAACCATTGCAAATTACTGTGAAGGAATTTCACCCACGTGGTGAAATAAAAAGTGTGGTTATCGAGGAACCACCGCCGGCTGTACCGCGTAATGTAAACAAGGATGATATTTCTGCACAGTTACCCGCGATGACTGTAACTGAAGTTGAGGCGAAGAGTACGAGTACCTCGCCCACCGTGACACAGGCCCCAGTTCCCCTTGTGACCGTACCAAGTACGATTGTTCCAGAGGTCCCTAAACCGTCCGTCACTGCCCCAAGTGCTAACCCCGCTCCTGCCAGAGAACAGTTCCCCAATTTATCCAGTAAGAATTCATCGAGTTCACCACCTAGAAGGAAATCTCAGACTCATGTCCACAATCAACCTACTGCTGCAACAGAGCTGCATTCGAGTGCCAAAGAGCAGAAAGAGAAGAAAACCAGGGAGAAGAGCCTTAGTTCTAGAGGCGCTACTCCTACTCCTGCTCACAATCAGTCTGACCATCATCCGAAAGCTAATGGAGACGCAACTGGCGACAAACCGGAACCTGAATCAACTCGAAATGAAGTTCAACAACAGAAGTCATCTGATGGTGAGTCTTTTCAAAGTTTTATAATTCTATATGTTTCGTACATTGCGATTTTTCATTCACGCGTTGATTATTGTACGATTTTTATTAGCTTTAAGAATTATAATATATAAATTATGAATATCACGTGTATTCAAATTTCATTGACTTTGCACGAATAATTCTTTGGGCAGAAATCTAAGAGGATGATGATGAATTAATAAAAATTGTACAATAGTCAATTTATCATGCTTTCTGCATTTTGGCTAAATAGGCTAAATGTAGATAAAAATATTGATTTTCATTTTTATTTTATATCAATATTAGTACAAATTAATCAAAACATTATAATCACGTTATCTGGTAGCTGTTTCAAATATACATTTGTTTTAAATTGGAGTTAAAAAAATGTTTGCAGCATATTGCACATTATAAACACCTCTTTTATAGAATATTTCTAATCTGTATCTCCTAAAAAAAGTTACATGTACTTGCTGTACATGTTGTATGCTACATTAGAATGTAATGTGATTCACTAAGTATAACCGTTCTATTACGGTTATACGCGAACATATGTGTCGTTATGCAACTTTCCTCGTGGATACAATTTATATTCTCTTTCTATTATTTGTAATCAGGAATTTATTGACCATATGGTTAAACGTCAGTAACTGCAAAATCGTTAGAAATATGGAATTAGTTAGACTTTTATAGTTAGAATTCTAGTCTCGAAACTTCGGTAATTCCCCTTTTCTTTTTTCGTATCACTACTGTGGTTTGAACTTTGCTTTCACGATAGCTTAAATAGTCGTCATAGTCTTTAATTCTTCATGCAAATAATCATGAGCTGCCAATTGAAATGATACATTTTTTAAATATTTTTTTATACTATATATATTATATAGTAATAATTCATTTGTGCACCATAATCGTTACAAATTATGATATGCACGTTATGTCCGCCCGTGAGGATGCCTTTATATAGGCACGTGTGTAAGAGTGTATAAAAGGAGACAAATCTCTAAGTTACACACGTGCAAACAGAACGGAATATTTCGAAATATTTATTTACTGCATACAATAGTATAGTATTCATACACGCAACGTTGCATAGTGTGCCGTTCGTAAAAGTAGTGATTATTTCTAACGAGAAATGAGAAATATTTCGGTAGTGGTCTAGTACGATTTGCTTTCAATCTAACCTATAAATTTTGCAGCTTCGATTACATTCCATAAACATTACTGTTGTAATGCAAGCTTTTTGGTATAATATATATTAGTTGATGGTTTTAAATTTGTTTGTCCCAATATACATTAAATTATAAACTGTGTATCAGTAAAATGTTTTTAAAAATAGTATGTAAAGCAATGGTTTTTTTATAAAATTTAATACGATACATCCAAATACTACAGATAAACAATAGAATATTCGAACAAGTAAAAAAGTATCATTTCAAGTGTATTTTGATTTACTGATTTGAAGTGATTGGATCATGTTCCATTTTATAGCAAATTAACACTTTTTAAAAATAATTGTGAATTAATTCATGGTGCTAACATGTGTGAAAACAATTAATTTTATTAGTTTTACGATCAAACTTCATAGTAAAATAAAAGTAAAGTCATTTGCAGTTGATTTCATTGCATATGGATAACAGAGATAAGGGTAAGTTTATATGTGTTCGTACAAGTCTAAATTGTACACAGTATATTTGACATATTACGTGTAAATTATGATATGGGAGAAAAATATATTCTAGATATTTCTAGCAATATGGACAATGGTGTAAGGTTAGGGAAATATACAAATGTTTGTTTCCAAATTATACTAAGTAAATTCATTCTTTCAACTAGTTACTTTGCATATTCCATACCTACATTCTATGATGCTTATCCTAAAATATCATAGAACATGTAGCATCATAAACAAATTAAAAATTAATAAAAAAAAACAAACATTGGGTAAATCATTGCAATGTTTGGTTTCAATGTGAATGGGTCTTTTTCCAACAATTGAAATACCAAGCAGGCATAGAAACTGTGAAAGAAGTTTCATCACTGATCTCTATATGTACAGGGTGTCCACATTAATGTGTGACACCCAGTATATTGGATATGATACCGGAGTTTAAAGCATAAGGTTCTGTGCTGCAGACACTATCCCATTGGTGTTTAAGGTATTACATTTCTAGACGGTTAATATAAAAACAGATAGATGCAAAAAATCATATATAGGTTATAAATTAAAAAAAAGATATATTTATAATGTTTATTATTTACATATAAAATGTAGATACAGTATATGAGTCTCTTAGAAGCCAAATTGATCAATTTCAAAAATATGAAGTAATAGAAATTAATACAAGAAACATTATTTTAATTTTGCTTCTAAAAGTTCAGTTGAAATTGAGAAATTTACAAAAATTGAAGTTTTATTTAACTTTTGAGGGGCTTATATAATAACATCCAAGATATGTGATAAATTATTTCTAAAAGCAAAAGCTGCACAAGTGCAGAATACAGCGTGTCTCGAATAAGAAGAAAGGAAACACGCTTCGAAAAGCTACGCCCATTCTGTGGAATAGGCAATAGTACCTTAGGCACCAACGGGATGGCGTTGCTGATACTTTCTCAATTTTCGGTCTCCATAGTGGTACAAAACTTTCAAGCCATACCGGATCCAGTATATGTATAGAGATCAATGAGTTTCATGTCGGACGGTGACGTCATTATACGAAAAGGCGCGAAACATACCGAAGATGTACGAACATTGGCGATTGTGTAGCTGGAGGGAGGTTCCGACTTCTTTCCTCATCGAACAACGAATTTCCTCCAGTAGCCAGCACGTGCTGTGCTAGCCGGGCGTATTTTTACTCCATTTTGCCCACTTCCCTTTTCCTTTTATAACTTTTTTACGAGAATTGTATATTCATAATTATACATAAGTACATATTTAAATTTACACTACTTAACAAGTTATTTGCTTTTAATTTGTATATATCGTAACGTAACGAATACGCTTATTATATTGCGTCTTACTGCATCCCGTTCCTATAAGACTTATATCACGATATTCCGAAGAATTTGTACATATATCTTTATTTAATCGTAACGAGCGCTCTTTACACGCATCGTATACTTTCTTCTTTTTGTAAAATACGTGTTCTATACTGGACTGTGAAGTTATACATACTGATTTTAATATATAGTTTTTATCGCGCCACATTTTCTTTCATTTTTTTTTTTTTTTTAAATTATATTTATTGTGACATAAAGTGATCAAACGGATGCAACGACGACGACCAAGGACAATCTTGATTCGAAATGTATGTATAAATAATTCTGTTCTTTCTCTTGAATTGGTTCGTTCCTAGTGGGTGTAACCGGGCAAGTCTACCTTTCACAACGTGGTGCCGACATTTTGTATTCACGGACTTTCGTAAATGTAAAATTCATTATAATTAAGGGGCCTATTCGAAAATAGAATCAAATATTTACAATTAATTACAGTTCCAAGTGTGTTTCTTATCAATCGCTCTTAATTTCTTATAAAAAATTCTAAATATCAAAAAAAATTTCGAAGGTCGATTCACGAGTGTGTTCAAATATGGCTACTTCGGAAGTGACTAGATGTTTGCTCAATTTCAACACGTTTTTGGTTTAAAGCATTAATATTTGCTTAACGGAATGTTACATCGAAGCAATAAAATGGAAATATTTAATTATTACGAAATTATTGTTGTGATTTCAAAATTAAGGGTAAATATGTTCTTCCATGCTCCGACCACGTGTACGTAAAATAATTTAACCTGAAATTTCTTCGTTATTCATTTTTATTTTACGTAAATAAATTAATTATTTTTATTTCATTCAGATCTTTTGAAGTAATATTTTTAAACGTTGTGTAGATTTTAATCGTTAATTTTATATACAGTCAGTCACGAAAGGCTTCATACACCTCCCAAAATGGTCATTTTGTATAATATTATGTTTATTTATTATTATATACGATATTATAATAATTCTTTTAAACATAATTATTGGTCTTTCCTGTTAGTGTTTCGTTTACTTTGCCATAGCTTCGTGATTTAGTTGAGAGATGTTTAACAATCATTTAGTTAAATTATATAAGGAAAGAAAATCTCTACGTAAACTTACGAATATTCTGGGCAGAAAATATTTTAATATTCAGTATGTAATAAAAAAAAATGTTAAATAATTGGTAAATGTGGAAATAAAATCCGTAGTGGTCATCCTAAGGTCTTAAGTGATAGAGATGTACGATTTGTACTGCAAATTATCCGGCAATGTCCAAAAGTAATTGCTTGAAAAATAGCTGTAGAAGTAGAAAGCGATTTGGAAATAACGCTATACCTTGAAAATATTCGAAGGATTTTAAGAAAATCTGGACAATCGTGGCCATGTACCGCGGAAGAAATCCTATAGTCAGTAAATCCTAAGCATACAGCTGATATTATTCGGGAATGAATACTGTAGAATGTCCCAAAACAATTTTTTCGATCACCTCAATCGCCAGATTTGAATACTATAGAGCACGGTATGGAGCTATTTAGAGCGCAAAATTAGGAAAAGGAGGACCGACAAAATATTAATGTAACAAAAATTTACTAGATTTATTAGATGTACCAACTTCATATCTTAATGTAACGAATACTTTCGCGGTATAAAATGTTTCGTTTTTTCCTAATTGTATAAAATATTCTTAAAAAATAATACATTTTTATATAGGTTACTTATTAATTAACAAACATAATATTACACGAAATTGTTAACTTTCTATAAAATGACCATTTTAGGGGGTGTACGAAGACTTTTGTGACTGACTGTATGTATGATACATCAAATCGTAGCCATTTTGTGAGCGGCCAGGAAAGAAAAGTACTCCATATTTGATCATTAGTTTCTATGTACGATTACTAAAACGGTTATTTCGCCCTATCTCTATTTATTTTGGTTAATTTGCATGTCTTTTCATTTTATATATTTGGTTTTGTAGCCACTATAGCAATCTTTTACATAATAAAACGTTAATAGAACGTATTTGCTGAAACGTGTAATAGTTGAAAATTTGAGGCCTGAATTACATATTTTTTAACGTACAAAGCAAAGAATGATACTGTTAGATTTTCACGATGAAAAGTTACATTTTCTTAGCTGAAAATTAATCGTATTGTTTTCATTGTGTAAATAAATTTTCATAGACATTGATTTCCTAGTATCGATGAAACTGTAAACATTGTAAAAATTGTGCATACTTTGGTCATTAAAATGCATGGGGTCACGGCCGCGCGTGTATGGCGGTCTACGTGCATGGTTCAAATGTCTGCTGTCGTTTCACAAGACCACGCGTCGTGTATGTGCAAAAAATATCTCAAGACTTTCGGCGTCAGTGGTAACCTTGAGCCTTCACCAATCTGGTGAAAGGTTTCCACCAGTTAGAAAAATGATCTTCCTAATTATATACAGGGTGTTCGGCCACCTCTAGCAAAAATTTTAATGAGCGATAGTAGAGGCCAAAATAAGACGAAAATCAAGAATACTAATTTGTTGGTGGAAGCTTCGTCAAAAAGTTATTAACGTTTAAAGTGCCGCTCTTACTGAATTTTTTTCTCGAAAATGCGCAAGATTTCGGGGGTATGTCTATTCACCAAAAATGACTATAATTGAACCCTACAACCGAAAGTAATTTTTCCACAACGATTTGCAATTTTTTAATTTTCTCGAATAATTTCACACATTCTCTATTTTTTTTCTCGAAAGTGGGCAGGATTTCGTGGGTATGTCTAATGACAAAAACTGATTGTAATTGACCCCCGCAACCGAAAATAATTTTTCCACAACGATTTGCAATTTTTTTTCTCCGTTGAAAAATTTAGGCACCTAATTGGATTTTCAGTAAGGAATTTTTTTCTCGAAAGTGCGTACGATTTCGGAGGTATGTGTAATGATAAAAAATGATTGTAATTGATCCCCGCAACCGAAAATAATTTTTTTAAAACGATTTGAAAAATTTTTTTTCGCCGAAAGATTTCAGCACCTACTCGATTTTTTTTCTCGAAAGTAGATAGGATTTCGGAGGTATGTGTACTCATCAAAAATGATTGTAGTTGACCCCCGCAACCGAAAATAATTTTTCCAGAACGATTTGAAATTGTTGAATTTAATTGTTAATAACTTTTTAACGAAGCTTCCATCAACAAATTAGTATTCTTGATTTTCGTCTTATTTTGGCCTCTACTATCGCTCATTAAAATTTTTTGCTAAAGGTGGCCGAACACCCTGTATATCCACTATACGTATTATGAATGTCATATCATAATGGTTCTTTATATTTTACAAATAGATCAACAGTTAGATCAACAATAGTTCAGCTAGAAGATTAAGGATATCTAAAATTTGCAAAGTTCTATCGTTACAGAAATTTGTCCGTGTATGTATTAACGTTAAAATATTATTGAAGTACAAAGACGGGTTTGATATTTCATAATTAAAAATTATTTATTAACTTTAAAAAAATATAAATAGATGAAATATACAAATGTAAATGTAGGGTATTAAACATTTAGAAGTGATTTAATACCATATATGTATTTAAATTTGTTCGGTTTTTTCGATCTAAACAACAGCGATAGAGAAAATATTGCGTATGCGTTTAGCGATCGTTCAATGTTCTTTTCAGATTGTTACCTCGACCTGCTTTTATCAAATGTTACTCAAGCTACTTTCATGCATCAAATTAGCTGCTGTCTCATAGTAAATTTCAGTATTTCCTCGAAAGATGTTCGTGGCTCGAAACCGATGATAAACTTCTAATGTTCAGCGCCCATTTTTATAAGCCAAGAATCGCTTTTTTTGTTTTATCATGTATCAATGGGGAGAGTTGATCAAAGATAGCTCATAAGCGAGCGGTACAATTCCAATTTTTATATTTTAAAAGTAAATTTAATCAAAAATTTTGTTTTGGACTGTGATTTTATTACACTTAATTCAAATCATTTCTGAGAAACTTCAACCACGTATAGCTAAGAATAGTTTGAATTACGTCATTTTGTTGCCTGATTTTTCTGGAAAAATCATGCTAATCCGTTAAAAATATCTTCGTACAAACAAAAGAAAAAATATAAACTTGTTATTGTTCCGTATTTATTACGGGATAAATATGAAGAGAAAATAGTATTTATTCAAATTAGGAATTTAAACAGACTATTGCGCGCGCACTTGTACTACAAACAACACGCCTATCATTGTTAGTCGAGAAGAATGCCCCTGAGGCGAACACCCGGTTTCAATGATTCTGTTCATAGTACTACAGATATGCACGCGTGTAAGGTTTCTGATTGGTAGAATACATGTCATTAGTTTAAGTCTACTAACCGAGAGCTTTACGCTTTTAGTGTATCCGTGGTAATATGGGCAGAATCGTTTCAATCGAGTGTTTCCCTTAAAGACGTTCTCCTCAACTACCATAAGGATTTGTTGATTTAAATCAAAATTCGTATTTCATCTTGCTTCTCATTTATGCGCATTAAATATTTAGTTTAAATGAAAAGATCTATTTGTAAAATATATGAAGGATCATAAGAAATTATTTTATTCTTATCGTTATATTTATTACATTCTAAAACTTTTTTAACCGAATACACGTGGAATGGTATCGACGCTGTATTTGGATACACACTTCTCGTTTGTCGTAGATTAAAGTATTATGATTATTTAAAATTTTGTAAATTCTGCGTCTGATACATTTCGATTAATGGAGGTCTCTCGCGTCAGGGTAGGTTATCAGGAAGGTCCCTAATGCGCGTGCTCCGGCGCGCAACCGGCGAACAGAACTAATTTAAGAAATCCTATGTCTTGCCTGTCGGTTTGCACCAGTTCACAGGTTAAAATAGATGCGTGAAAGTCGTAAGAGGAGCCTCCCGAGGGGTTTTTTTCTTTCCGAAGTATTGACACAGTTTTGTTTAAACGGCTGGAAAAGTTTCTGGGAAGCCCATTAATCAAGAATTATTACCACCTTTCGTTATTATCGTTCGCCGCGGAATATCACACGATTCCGCGTTTCCGTAATTTTTCCACCGCGTGGTTTTTATTTGTTGGAGAAAAAAAAAAAAAAAAGGACAAAATGCCAACTTCATCGTTGCACATTGTTGCAGCTGCGAACGTGGTTCTATCTAGCCCAGCTTTGGCAAGCTTTTGGCAGGTTTATAAATAAATACTGAATCAGTGCAGCAGCACCACAGACCGTTGAAACTCGAGCCGCACAAAGAGTTTTGTGTTGCGAGAATGTGACTTGTAATATGCGATATGCTTTTAATATGGAAAGAACAGGTACACCGTCGTACGAAACACGTGTAAATAACAGTGCGCGAACAACGTCGAAACTGTGAAAATGGGCGATCGGAAAATTAATGGAAACGCTCGTGTCAGCGGTAGCTCACGTTCGAGGAGTCGTAGCCGACGTGGTTCCAGAGATCATGGTACATACAAATTGTATCTTCTCGAAATGATAAGCAAAACGACTGGTAACACAGTACTGATAGAAGGAAAGACCGCTTAAATTTTTTTAACCTTCGCATCAAGTGTTGCACGCATGAAACGCGTATCGTGTGGATTATTTGTTACTCCGTTTGATTTCTCACGATTAATCGATATATTTTAGTGATATAATCGTCACCGGAACATATGCGTATTATTACATTTTCCGTCCAAACGAATGTATTTTTGAAGCTTTGTTCCTAGTTGGTGTTTATGAAAAAAATTAGGAAATATCTTACATAATATAATTTTTATATTTTTGTTGTATTTAAATCGGGATTTTGAAGTATCTATGTAAATGGATACGTCTGAGAACGTAGTACTAAATATATTTTGTTCTGACAGAAGTAGAAGTGTTAAAAAAAAATTTGATTAGAAAGTAAATAAACTGTCGTAAACATGCCGTAATAACGAGTACCGTATAGTGGTTTGGGTATTAAATTTCATTTTTTGTTAATGTTTATACATATTAATAAAAAAAAAGTGAAATGTCACAGTACGAAATGTACTATGATCTGTGACTATAATTATCTTTGGCTTGTAGCCGAAATACTCACTTTTCTTCACAGCTTGCATCTCTCTGTAGTAATATAAACGTAATGATGATTTTCTAAAACCATTCACGATTCATAACTGAATTAACAGATGTATTTTAAAAATATTCGTTGTATGAATTTTAGAATGCCTATGAACGTATCATAAAGGCTTTAGAATGATGCGTACTCTCGTCAAGCATGATTGTCATAATTTTTTTTTTTGCGTAATTGTTTTGCAGGTAAAGTCATGCAGAAGCCGAAAAGTAAAAATAGACTCAAACCCCGTGAACTTAATCGTAAAGGGGCGGAAAAAGAAGGCACAGATATGGATGCTTTCGTGAATACCGCTCCGCAAACGAAAACCGAGGTGAAACAAGATGGTAAAGATACTACAACACCAAAGGACATCAACAAGGAAACAAATCGAGACCTAACGAAAGATATTAAAGAGAAAGACAATTATGAATCAAAAAAGGAGAAAGAGGTTGTTACTACCGTTCATCCAAAGACGGAAAAGTACGTGGCGCCTCTATCACCAGAAATTCCTAAAGAGTATACTCCTATTCAGACAACTGTCATAGAGAAACTGTCAAGTAATAAAGAAACTGCGAAGGAACCCTCTCCCAAAATAGAAGATAATAATAAGTCGAATGTATGTAACGTGCAAGTAAAATCAGTTCCTAATGATGTCGTTGATCATGCAAAAATTAAGGACGAACCTGACGTGGAGGCAATAGTAGCACAAAAGAATGAAGAAAACTCGAAGGTTTCGGCTATTCGAACCCCTAGTGAAGAAAAGCCAGCGGCAGTAGTACCACCACCACCACCTCCAGTCATAGAAAAACCAACTGAAAGCGAACCACCGGCTCAAACGGAGACGCCAGTTACAAATCAAATAACCCTTAAATACAAATATAAGGATGATCAATGGAGTCCTTTGAATAAAAGTGGTAAAAAAATTTATGACCGTGACTTTTTAATAAACTTGAAGAACGACCCCAATAGCAAAATCAAACCATCGAATTTGCCAGATTTAGACGTTGTTTTGAAAGATGGTTCAAAGGTATTGTACCAGTCTATATTTTATATGTTATACATTCGTGCGTGTAGTATTGTTATGCAGTCAATTACGTTTTCCACAGGCACGTACTACCATCGACATTAGATCATTTAAGGATCACAACATGAGAGGGCATGATGCTCTGTTCCCTGGGTTTATAAAACCAATTCTAAATTCACGTATGGTGGTAAGTCAAAGTAGACCCGCAAATTTATATATTTATTCGAATGATCACGAGTGATGTTAAAAATGAAAGTAGTGGACTGAAATGCTTTGGCAGAGATTTTGTCTTCTGATAACTGTATTTTGTTTTGTATCAGGCCCTCTTGAATATTTCCATTATAATACAAATGTATTTGTCCTTGTTTAGCCACAGCAAACTCGTAAGAGTTCGTCAGGAGGAAAACCATCAAAGCCAACGAAAATTCATCTGTCATTATCCCTCAGGGAAGATGTAAAGTTAAGAGAGACAGAAAATGCATGGAGGCCAACAAGAATAAAAGGAATTAATCTTACCGAAGAAGAAACGAAATCAGAAGCTCTTTATAAGAAAGTTAGAAGTGTATTAAATAAACTTACTCCCCAGAAATTTGATACTTTAGTTAACCAAGTGCGTGCATTGACTATCGATACACCAGAACGTTTGCAAGGTGTTATCGATTTAGTCTTTGAAAAAGTAAGCAGAATTATATATCTATGTAGGTTGTTCGTATTGTATTTTTACACAGTTACATAATTATAAAAGTAATATAATTTGTAGGCTGTTGATGAACCAAGTTTCTCTATAGCGTATGCTTTGATGTGTAAAGAACTCGCGCTGATGGAAGTGTCAGGTTTAGATAAAAATGTTGAAAAATCAGAATATTCGTTCAGTTTCAAGAAGCTTATTATTACTCGTTGCCAAAAGGAATTTGAAAAAAATTCAGTAAACGAAGAAACGAGAAGTATGAAGCTTAATGAAATTGAAGAATCTACAGATCCGGTAAGTTTTCTTTGTGTAATAGTACTGTAGTATATAATAGAGTGTGACACGCGTTCATATTGTAATTTTTATTAAATTTAACATTAGGATAGGAAGAAAGATTTACAACAGTCTATTGAGGATGAAGAACGCCGAATACGTATAAAATCAGTAGGAAACATACGGTACGTAATTTTAGTATAAAATGTAATATTTTACTTACTTTTTACGAAGTATACAGAATTTGGAATTCATATATCACACTCTTTTATGTTCATCATAGATTTATTGGTGAATTGTACAAACAAGGAATGTTAACAAATAACATCATGCGTCGTTGTATAAAACAATTACTAGATCAAAACGATGAAGATAGTCTTGAATGTTTATGCAAGTTATTAACAACGATTGGGAAAGATTTGGAAGCAACAGGAACTGTAGTAGGAGTAAGCTTATTTTTTTATGATTAAAATATGCATAACTCTGAATAATTTACATTAAAATTTGAATAATTTACATTATAATGTAATCGTCATCCTTTTTAATGAAATTAATAGTTGCGTATAATCAGTACTTATCGCCTTTATATTAAAATTAAATTGTAATTTAGCACAGCGATTTGTTTGATATAAAAGAAAAGAAAATAATTAATTAGTGATTATGAGTAGTTTTGTATTATTTTTTCTGTTTCGCTTTGTTAGGAAATGCAAGATTATTTCAATAAAATGCAAGATATTGTTGCACGCCGAACCCAAGGGAAAGTTAGTTCTAGAATTCGTTTTATGCTGCAAGATGTTATAGATTTAAGAGCAAATAAATGGGTTCCAAGAAGGGGTGATAATACTCCTAAAACAATAGATGAAATTCAAAAGGAAGCAGAATCTGAAAGATTAGATAGCCAATTGAGTAATACTCCTTTGAATACACCTCGAAAAGATGAACGTGCTAGTGATAGAAAAAGGAATCGTAAGTATATTGATTGATTACAGTATTAAATATTATCATCTCATTAATATTAAAGCATGATGATCCTTACATATGTCATGCCAGACTGGAGTTTCTGACAAATGTGATTTTACAATGTATTCTGATGATGTAATAATTTACATTTCCTTATTACATTGTTATATTTAATGGAAGTAAAAGTATATATAACCAGAAAATGGTATTTTTTGATGCAGGTGGTGTTGGTCAAACTGATGATGCTGGTTGGAGTCAACCAGTTGCAAGAACCAGACAACCGTATTCTGTGGAAACAGCAAAACTGAAAAATAAACCTGTAAGTGAATCACATTGTAGTGCTTATAGTTAACATGACGAGTGAATATTAAGTAATAACTGTTTGTTTCTCCAGCCACCAATGGATGATCTGCAATTAGGAAGCAGAAACACGTACATGTGGAAACCGCCTTCGAATTATGGTCCAAAGGCAATGAATTCAAATAAATTTGCATGTTTAGAAAATATGTCCAGCTTAGATCAAGAAAAACGAATGATGTCTCCACAACTCTCTGGGTAATTTTGTGTACTCTTTTATCCTCTTTCCTTATCTCCGTTGAATTCTGAAAAGTAACCATGCCCATTTAAATGACCGCGGCCGGTCCCGAGCACGGACACTTAAGTGGGCACTACTGTATTAATATTAGCGTGTTGAGATATTTTACCAAGCTAAGTAACATTTTAATATTCGTTTATTTTAGGTCGAGATCCACTGGTCCTACATACGGTCGAGACTACAAACCTTCTTCGTATGGTGGGTATAATATATTTCTGACAATTAATTGCTTAATTAATTTTGTAAAAAAAGTTCACTAATTTAGTGGTTTTCTTTCAAAACTATTATTATCGTTAAATATGATGAGAAAAATTTGCCTTGAAAAGTAAAACTTTATGTTGTCAGCCAAAAGGATTCTGATATTTTGAGTGTTAAATATTTTTCGTTATGTCAGTGTCATAATATAAGAAAGTTATGAGTTCTCAATGTTACAGATGGTAGGAGTTCGCGCAATGGTAGTCATCAATTAAGCAGTTCTGCATCGTCGAGTAGAGAAAGCTCGTTATTAGTAGATAGTACACAAAATCAAAGTGTTTCTATGCCACCACCGCTAAAATCCTTGCAATCTACCTCTAGTAGTAATAAATCTATAACAAGAGAAGAGGAGTTCATGACAATTTTGAACAAGATATTAAAAGACTATCTTAAAAATACTGCTGTCGAAGTAAGTTTGTATTACATTATCATTAATAATATTATCACTGAAGCACATTCCTTAGATCCATCTCTGATATTTATTAAGAGATGCTTGAGTCATTGATGTGCTATATTACGAAATACCTTCTTTTTGGTCTTTTCAAACAGTGTTATAAATTAGCATCCGTGTTATATTTATATGAATCACTGGTTGTATGATCAACGAGAAGACATTTTATTTTGTAAAAATTAATTAATTTCCATAATACATGATGTATTTACAATACGAGTCATTTAATCTAAATAAATCATTTTACAGAAAGCTGCATTGGCTACTCAGCAGAATTTCGAAAATGCATTATCAAAATTCGTACGTGAATTGATCAACTTTGTCCTTGAAAAATCACCTACGGAAAGAGAACGCGTCTCGTATCTTCTGTCGCATTTAATCAGTCAAAACATTTTGTCTTTACAGCATCTTAGAACTGGGTAAGTTAGATTTTCATAAATAATATTAGTTAATGTAATTATAATTATAACATTAAGTGCGGTTCAAAATTTAGTTAAGTAAAATTAAATTTTATTTAATAATTAAGTTTCATCAAAAGTTTATAAGGAAAAGAACAAAAGTGATGCAAATTTTATACAGAAGAAACGATTTTTGTGTTGAATATCGTATATCAAGCCAAAAGGATACTGATTAAAATCTTACTATAGAACAGTTAGAGATATCTTTTATTTCAGAAAATGTAAATGTAATTAATTTTGTAGGTTCATTGAAATATTGGATATAATCGATGATCTTTTGCTCGACATACCCAAAATTTGGTCCTATCTGGCGGAAATACTGGGTAAGTAAATATTTGTAAAAAAAAACTGTTCCATTCATTTTATTTTATAAATCGTATTATTCAGTGGGCGCAATTATAAGAAATATTTGTTGTCCGCGTTAAAAACTATTGGTTATGATGATTAGTTTTCACCATAGAGAATTTCCATGCGGGTTTTTGCTCAACAGGCCTGATTATAGAAACACAATTTTTTTTATCGCAATTTGACAAAATAGTACTATTTTATGGTATTTTATCTTTGCAGCACATCCAATCGAAGAAGAAATAATTCCTTTGATAGAATTGAAACCTTTATTTGATAGTTTAAGAAGTCGAAGCTATGTAGGCAAATTTCTTGGGGAACTGTTATCAAAACTATCCCGAGATAAAGGGCCTAAATGGGTTGCAGAGAAATGGGACCAAAGTGGACTTGAATTAAATAATATAATTGATACAGAACTTGAAAACGTTGACAAAATTATTGAAGACTATGTAAGCTTGTATAAAAATGATTTATTGCAATTTCCACTTTATATAAGAAAAAGTAATTATATTGTAAATTATTTTCAGAACTTGGAGTTCTGCACTGGTGATTATAATAGTGCCAAAAGCTCGACTAGTAATCAACTCACATTACAACAAATTCATAATGAACTTAGAAGACTCATGAAGGAAAATAGTAGTTTCGATGATATTTGTAAATGGATAATGGTAAGTATTTCAAATTTAAGTTTGTATATTTTATTAAGAAATAATGGATAACTATTTTCGTTTTTTAAATTGTTTAGAAGAATGTTGGTGATCGAGTCAAGGAGCCAGAGTTCATTCGAGTATTAACAACTGCCATTTTAGAGACGTCCATGGGTATGTATAAATATTTCATTGTTATGTGCTCTTTTTTTTTTTTATAAATTTGTTGAGATGTCTGATTGTACATTCTTTTTTTCCTTTCCCCATTTTTAGAATTAGTCAACAACAAGTGGTATCTCAGAACTGAGATTCTTACTAATTTGGAACAGTTCATTCGCCGGTTTGTTGATGCAAACGAGTCCCTAGAATTACAATGTCTTTATGCAATTCAACTTCATTTGTATAAACTACAATATCCACATGGTAAGATATAAAAAGTATAATTAATACTTTATTTCCTCAAAAAGTGTAGCTGTTTAAGATTATTTATTTTATGTTGCAGGGATTCTCTTTGATATTATGACAAGCTTGTCAGACGATAATATAATTTCAAGCGACGCGTTCCTGACGTGGAAAAATAGCCCAGAGCCAGCTCAACGCGAATGGCATGGTGTTGCGACGATGGCACTAACATCGTTTTTCACTGGCTTACAAGAAGTTGATGATGCTTCCAGCGTAGAAGACGTATCGACTGGCGCGAACCAAGATCGTTGTTGACGATAACATGATCGAGTACATTATCGTCTGTTAAAAGACAAATATACGTTCCCTCGTTAAAAAAAAATACGCGAAGTGAGATCAAATTGCAGTTTTTTCTTCTGTTTTCGTTTAATAAAAACGTATATATTGAAGAAAAACAATGGTGTGATAGTAGTGCGCGGGTGTATGTAATATAGTCTAGAACTTCAAAGAACAAGAAGTGGAAGATAATAAAGGAGGTTGTCATATAAAAAAAAACGGACATAATGGCTGAGACCGCTATATATAATGAAGATAAAGATTAATTATTAATAATGATACAAAAGTAAATGCAAGATAATTATTATATATAATTCATTGAAATGGTTTAAAGTTTAAATAAAGCAAAAAAAAAAAAAAATCAACTGGAGAACATTATCGTATTTCTTATGTCTTGCGAAATGTCACTGCAGCTTGTGAATCGCCCAATAGAACTGAAATTATGATTTTTCTTTCACGCATGTTATCCGAAAATTGAAATTGCTACTTTCAATTTCGCCAAACGGTATCGTGAAGAAACTGAAACGTTTACTGTATGGCTTAGATAACAAATTGCTGATCGCAGATGTGTATAAGTAGGTCCATTTTAAGTAAATTAAATATAAAAAATAAGAAGGAAACTATTGATAACCAAGTCTGATACAAGGGCGACGGTTCTTCCTATTATTATAACGAATATAACAGAATTACTAATTTATATCTTTGCGAACTTACAATGTATTCTACTGTAAGAAAAAAAACGTTCGTAACTAAGAAAGAATGAGAGTGAAAAGTAACATAACATTACGAAACTAGAGTTCGTAGTGTAGAATATGTTGAAATTAGGAAACTGAAGGATACAAATGGTGTGCATATTAAGGCGCTACTATTTTTTAACACTAGTTATTTATAATCATTGAGAGGACAGATTATAGTGCGTGGGATGGAATGTCTGCATGTATTCAGGTGGCAGGTGCCGTAGCAAATTGTATAAAATTGTTATACTAATTTAAAGTACAGTGTGAAAAATACATTTCCTTTGAATATACTATGATATATATATATAATATATACTATAATACAATATTATATATATATAATATATATATTGTATAAAGGAAATAAGTAGATTTGAGTGCAGTTATTATGAAAAATTATTTTTATTTAACTCTAGGAGACAATTTTACATTGTTTTTGTCTACTATTTCTGATGTTACTAAATATACTCTCCTTATTTAAGAAATTGTAATTATTAATTAATACCGAGAATGTGGAATTCGGTTATTATAAATGTAGATATTTTTATGTAGTCCTTCATAAATGCTAGATTTACTAGCTAAGTTTGCCATTTATGCTTCTTTACGAATTGCATGTTACTGAAGGGGTAAAAGGTTACCATCATTGCATTCGATTCCGTTTATATACGCATAGCAATATAATTATATCCTGTGTGTCGGTATACATATGCATACACACAGTATATAGTTTCAAAAGTATACTTTGTTACTTATGCAAAGAAAGTACTTTGTCCTCGAGCTTTTGATACACGATACCCTTCATCGTTGCAATTTCTTTATAGTCTGATTATACCCTCGTTACTTTATTGCTTCGTATACTTTGTAGTATACAATCTATTGCATTCCAAATGCATCATTTATGTTTGGTAATCATGAAATAATTTAACAAAAAAAAAAAAATCAAAAAATACAACACTCTTAAGTAATTAATCTTTTCTTTAAATTAATTAAATCATTGATAATCGGAAAGTAAGAAATTTTGTTTGCATATTTTATAAGACGAAATAAAAACTAAGGGAAAGGAGGAAAAAGTAAGGAAGGAGAGTAAAGAAGTAAAAAAAAAAACATGAACATCATCGCTACTGATTTTTTCACACTGTAAAGGCGAAAAATATAAAGTCAAATGAATGCGATAGATACGAAATACATCTAAGAGCAATGATCCATAAAATTTGTCTCCTTGAAGGGTCTCATTCTACTATACAACCAGTGGAATGTATCATTCGACGAGATAAAATACGAGATACACTCAAGAAACAGTAAATATATAAAATTACAATAATTTATATATGATTATAATAAAAAAGAAAGAAACGTTGTTGGAAACAAGTTGACAAGTGAGTCACAAATAAAAAGATTATCACTGTAAATATTTAATAAATAAATATTGTATGTGAGAATTGAACAGATACAGAGATAGTGAGGAAGGAAAGCTTTATTATGCTGTCTTCTTAAAACATTGCACGTGCATGCGGCGTATTCTGCTGACAATTTACGTATGAACACGCATGTATAGAGTGTTTATACATATACCTGCGTGTGCTTACGTTTACATTAATATACATATACATAATATAAATAAAATATCACTAAAAAAACTCCGAACACACGATACACAGATACACACGTACACTCTATGATAAATCATATCTATACGAAAAAAAAAATAAAAAAGAACTCCATGTCAAACTGTTGTTGATTATTTTCTTGAATATATGCCTGTCTAGATGCATCGATCATAACGCCGAAGAGAAACTTTCACTGGAATTAGTAATGTGTATATTTTTTTGTAATACCATACGTATATTGTCTACATAACCATAAACGAAATACCTACAATAATAAATAAAATTATATACAGACAATTTTGAACGAAACTCATTGAAAAGTAAACGTTAATATCTGATGCACTTGAAATTTAAAAGATTGTAGATAATGTATAATTGACAGGATGTAATGATCTACAACATAACGTTAAGATGCAATAATTTATAATTGTATTGTATTACATAAATACGCATTATTGCAATACTAAACATGCGTAATATATTCTATATTGTATATTTATTACAATGTAGTTATTTTATATGTATGTAATATAATTGAAATTATTTATAACAAACTAATAAGGCTTATGATGTACATCCACCAAAACACTAGTAAACTTCTTCAATATTTTCTTAAACAATGGTTCATTTTTTTTATTCAAGAATGCTTAGATACAAGTATCACTGTTAAGCACGATATTTATGTGTAAGGATTATCTGACAGATTAAATAATTGTTTTACATTAACGTAATAACATTTGATACTATATTTATCTTTTATTAATTATATTCTATATTATCAGTGTGCCTATATTTTTATACTGTTTTTTGATGTTTATAATTTTATATACCATGCAAATAAATATCTCATTTTTTCAAATTTTTTTCCATGTGATGATCTTGGCATGAAATTAGATGAAAAAGTTACTGCAAATCGGATGATCTTCGGAAATGTGCGGAGGTTGTAAACGGACCTTCATCAGCAAATCCTGCAATCTCTTGAGGAATAATTGCGTATTCTTCTACACTGGTACATGGTCTACACATACACTCTAAAGGTGCCTTAGTAATTACCTGTGAATTAATTCATATGATGGGCTATATATACACGTTTGCAAATTAACAGATTAAAGAAATAAATGTTAAATTTTATGTTTCCATTATTAAGTATAAAGAGTACGGAATATACGTAACTGTGTCACAATAAATGATCTTAGTAATTCATTTCAAATTGCGCGCGATATTCGTTTTCTTATACGCTTCCTACTGGTCGCTTAGACAAAAACAATATGGCTGCAGAAAACTCATGTTGTCAGAAGCTTTACTCTTGATTTTATTGTGAAAGTGATTGTCCGGTTGACTCTTCGTTAGTTTTTCATATTTATTCAGTATTATACAAATTCTATGATTAATTTAGAACAGTAACTTAACCTTTCGGAATTTTTTTTCGCCTGGTTTAGCTCTTGGACAAAATAGGGATACACTGGCCTCCCTCTCGCCGCTTTCTTGACAACACATACAGCTCCTCTCCATTTGCCAAATTTTTGATCCGGACACCTGTAGAAACAGGTAAGATTCAATATGTATTCATATGCATTAATTTGAAGTTTCATTTAAAATACACCAAGACATCGTTCCATTCAAACTGTAATAGTATTTACAATCATGGATATAAAATTAATGTTTAATGTTGATATACATAATAATATTCTGCATATGCGTTATAAATTAAATATACAGTGATGTTTAATTTTCGTTACTCAAAATTACACAACAGATAACAAGAACAAAGCTCGTACACGAAGCAATAAAAAATAATATCTCAAAGTTTTTATACCAATTGAAATTATTTTAATGTGAATGTTAAAAGTAAGTAATATTAAATTATTAGCATAACGTGGATCTTGAAATACTTATAAAGTCGCTTCAGTATAGATAGTGTATTTTCATTCCTTGTAAATTAGTGGGAACTAATATTTTATTAAACAAGATAATTTAAGGTGTTGCATTTAATAATCGTCACAGAAAGTGCTATAAAATTTTCATTATAGAATATGTAGTTAATTAATATATATATATATATGTATGTATGTTTATAATTAAATTATAGATATTATGTTTATTATTATATTTCACCTGTAGGTAACTACTGCAACGTCCTCTACACGCATAACTAGGAATTGGTTTTGGAACACATCCTGGGTATTGCAAAAAGTGTATAACTGGAGTTGCCTGACATTCGTCGACACCTACAATTGCCTTGGTGGTTTCACTTTGGAGGCATATTAAAAGACCGACGCTCACTGTACCGTAAGTAACAGAATTATACAAACATTACATTTATGTACATATAACGTTCTAGTTTAATGTATGTCGTATATATGATTCAAATTTAAATATGATTTTGATTTCTTTGTAAAAGTCTTAGTACTATATAATTCTTTATTTACCAATGTGATACAGGAGCATAGTTTTAGCACGATACATTTCCTTCTAGATCTAGTACCTTACTGTGCTTATAGATTTCTTGTTGTACCCTTTTATACTCTATAGGAGGCCCATGTTCTCTCCCTTCCCTTCTGATGCTTATGTTAATAGCAGTAGGGAAAGAATTGAGCACATAAATACATATTCCAGAAGCATTCTTAGGCATATGTTTTAGATTAAACAGCAAGAAACATTCTTGTTCTATATTGTCTATGTTTTACGTATGAATAAATTAAACTAAATTTTTGATAAACATACTATTATACATTATATAATCAAAAATACGTATTATATTTTGTATAATTTGTTTATAACTATGAATTACAATTTCTTATTATAAACTGTAGCTATAAACAATTATTATGCATTCATACAGCATACATTACTCACAATATTATCTATGGATTATTTACCTGCATATTTAAAAGTTAAACAATGAAATGAATTCTGTAGTCCAGGTATTTAATAATATATATTACTTGTAGAGATTTTAAAGGATCACTAATTATTCAAACTTCATTTATTATGGAGATTCTTTGTTATTGTATTTACATTTAAGAAAAGAAGAATAAGCAATACTCTTTTTTAAGAAAATTGTTATTTATTATTGCTATGAAAATTTTGAATATTAATATAATCTTTTATAGGAATATAATAGTTTTTTAGAAAATATTCCTAATAAAATTCAGAAATATAGTACAATTAACAAAATAGATCATAGATTACATTTTTTTAGTGTAAATAATAAAGGTATTACTATATGTTACTCTGCAATATAGGTATATTGGGTTTGTTATCAAAGTCCTATAAAATATTTATTACCAGCAACTTGTTTGCTTTAAGGTTTTTTAAAATATAGTAAAAACTCCTTTCTTATATTCATAGTGTGTTATTTATTATATCATTTATTTAATACGTTAATTTATTGATAGGTATTCATTTAATCTTTATAATATCAGATATTAGTATCACTTATAGTTGACTTGTAATTTTAAAATACACGTTTAAAAATTTACTGTACTTTTATTATGTATTTTATTTATATTCTTCATACAAGTAATTAATATTATTAATTGCAAGCTACTTAAGGTTCACTACAGTATCTTCACTTGCAGTAGAAAATTGTTATATAAAAAGATTGTAATGAGATGCATTCATAAGTCTTACTTTAAATATTAAACATTAATTATTTATAATATATAATTTATTAAATTAAGTTTAAAACTTTGATAAAATTCTAAAATTTAAATTCAGTGAAATACAGCACTGACTAATTTATATGCTGGAATATGATCTATAAATATGAGAGGAATGGGGAAAAAATTTATTTTCAAATCCGTTTTATATTTTTATTTTTATTTTTATTTTAAACGATATAATTTTCATTATACACTTTCAAGGCGTAATTCACAATATCATGCATTTAATTTATTTTCATTATGTTTATCGAGATATATCACCACATTTAATGCATTTACATTCTGCTGGTTCTCGTATTTTAATTTCCATTATTCTGTCCTCTTCGTTCAATAATTTTATTCCATCAGCATCATAACAATGGTGTAACGCAATAAGTCTTTCTTTTAAATAACTTTCGCGGCAGCAATAGCATTCCTATTGGAAAACGAAGTTATAGTCCTATTCATTTTATTAACGCTTGGACGGCGGACGGTTGGGTTACTACTAATTCATGTACTATTCATGTATTTATTATCATAATTCATACTATAAATTGATATATTATTATTTTCGATAGATAAGAAACAACGTTATTTTTTGCGTTTAGTTTGCGACGCCGCCGTCCGAGTGTTAAAGCTGTTTCTTTTACACTATAATTATATGCTCGCCTTTGAAAATCCTGTAGTACTTGCAACACTCGGTTGTACCTGTGAATTACAAAATCCTTCACATTTTGTAACAGGTATATCTCCACTGCATGTTCTTGTTAAACGTCCTATTTCGTCATATTCGTCTGAAGAAAATAATTTTTTTTTTTACATATACTCTAAATATAAATATAAATTAAAGTAAAAGATTATACCTTTTGTAATATGTACTTCTGATTGCAACGTTTCACAACTTTCATCATCTATTATTTGAGCAATTGTGTCGTTAGTAAAAACGAATGCAGTTGATAACAGAAATATTATCAGCATAAACATTATAATAAAGTTTTCTTTAATTTCGTTATAATGCGGTACAGATGTGGTCAAGGATCTTGATTGAAATGGAAGAACGGAAAATGAAACAGATGCTTTTATAGGTAGTTTTCCCTCCTACATGTAATAACTTGGGGTGCTGAACTCCTGCTAGGACATAATAGCCTAGCTGAACCAGGATAACTTTCTCCTGCTTTTACATTGTACACTGTTCGATTTTTTTCCAGCTTAGGGCATTACTTTTTCAGTATTTTGCATTATGACTCTAATGGGTTTTTTATGTTTCAATGCACAGTAGGTGGTTATATTAGAAGAAATGCCTAATGTTACTTAGATCCTCGGTCCTTTGTGCCTTGTACCGTTTCTTGCAGCATGATAAAATAAGTAGTATAAGTAAAAAACATGATAGATAAATTTTTAATATATTTATTTTATTACTTAAATTTTCGATTAAAACGAATTTAAACATATCTCTATTCTTATATTTAGTGGTCGTCTCTTGTATTTCCAGGACAATTATTTTTTAGATCATCTTTATCATGAAAAGCTACTCCACACCATATACAATAAAAATGTTTTTCTCTTAAGTATCTTGTAAGGATTATTAATTGTTCAGAATCAGGAAGCGATTCTTCTTCAATTTCTTCTTCACTATCACTATCATCTTCAGTGTCTTGAGGCAACCAAAACCATGTTTCCATAGGTTTCTCTATTTTGAGTTGCATATCTAATTGTTCGCAAACTTTTTGACTTTTGTAAAGATCTGCTTTTAATAATTGTTCTGCTTTTTTCTGAGCGACTCTACCACGAAAATCCTTCATATTTTTATTAGTTAGTTTATCGCTAACTGTACTACTTTTACTTTCCATTTCTTTTCTCTTAATACCTTTTCCTAAACCATGTCTGTTTAATTTCACTTCGAGACCAATTGGCTCGGTCATTCCTGATTCTGTTTTGCCTATACCATGACCTGGTTTATATCCCATTTTCATAAGCAATTCAAATCCTAAAAATAAAATACAATGTAAAATAATGTATGAAAGATATGTATATGTGCATACAATCGTATTATGAAAGATATTTGTTGTCAAACCTTTATTGGTACTTGTAATTGCTGAAGATAAACCTTCTTCCCTTTTTTGTTGTTCGATATATTTCACGGAACTTTTTTCTTTCAAAGTATCAATTTCTATTTTTTTTTTCATCATTTCAAATGTCCTTTTGTCTGCATGTTGATACAGGAGACCCGATGATTTACACTTCTCAGTTTCTTGCAAAAATTTATCCGACATGTAGTCTTCATCATCCGACATTTTTTTCTTATTCCTTCCTGATTACTGATCAAATTTATGCCAATAATTGTGATTGTTTATTCATGAGAAACAAGTACCTATATAATTATAAATACTTATTAATTCACTTGTAAAATATATTTAAGTAATCATATATTCGTATATATAAATTACAAACACACTAATAATATTGTTGTATTTCTTTATTTTTTACTCAAATGATGTTTGAAAAACGTAACTTAGGGAAAACAGTCAACGAAAGGTTAAGTTAATAGCAAAGAAATTCCTGCTTATTCTTTTTAAATGGCAGTACATAAAAACTATGACTTGAAACTGTGAAGTTCACTGCGCTATTCTTTTAGGTTATATTCAATGATGCCATGTATAGTAAGTTGTTCGAAAAACATTGACCTTCGTATGTTTTCACATGAGAATGTTATTGCATGATGCTTGATGGTATTTATTAACTTCATTTGAAATATCGATTTCTTTAAATATTTATACAACAGCTGCCTTTGAAGTTTGTTTACTGAAAACGGTTAACAAATCAGAATTTCATAATTGTGTTAATTCATATGCAAAAGTTGGCCAATAATTTTCGATGTTTAAAATTGTGACATTCGTAACGATGTAACAAATGGAAATAATCAATTTTTTTGCTCGAAGAAAAAAATTATTGTTTGAAAAAATTTGTTTATTGTTCTAAACTTATAAAAATTTATAATATCTAATTCTGACTGCACTTAAAATATTCACGATGCAAAAGTAAAGAAGTGTTAATTCTATTTTCAAACCATACTTTTTGTTAAATCACACTTGATCGAGTATTCATAATATAACAAATACATGCTGTACAAAAGTCCCTTTATCCTGTATTGAAAATACAAGGTAACTTCTGAAAGACTGCTTTTTTTATATCGACATTATTACACTCTTTTGCAAGTTATCTGTGTTCAGTGGCGTGTAATAACAATGTCCATTAATATCTAGAAGGAAATTAATTTTTTTTTTTTATAGCTCGTGCGTTATATTTTACGAACTAAATTGTTAAAACACTAGTTCGTAATAGAAAAAGTTTCTAAAATCTTTTACAAAATAGTAGGCATAACTTCGTTAGTTTTTCTAAGGGATTTCAAACTTCCGTTTAGTAATATTGGATTGTGTTACAATTTTGACGTGCATGCATCGATATCATAGCTTTTAATTTGGAGCTACTTTCAAGATAGTTGTCTTTTACAATTCCTTTAATAAATTTCTATAAATCAGTATCTGTCGTGATGTAGCACGCCCAAGTAAGTCTACTTTGAATTTGATACACCGTTGTATTTGTATAGATGACTATACTGCTGCCGGTCGATAAACAGCGAAACGCGGAACTAAAAAGCATTGAGTTAAAGGAACGTGGACCACTTGTATCTCAGTACAGTAATGCAGTAGTTCAAGAATAATATTTTTGGTCTTGATCTATCTCGTTGATTACAACATTGGTTGATTAATCGCGTTTGGGTGTTGTCGATCACGTAGCGTATATATCACACATTTCTAATGAACTTCCTTGAATGCAACATCGAAGATTTCAAAGTGCGAGTAAACTGGTGCGAAGGACGAAAGTGTGAAAGCGTACACTCACCGCTACTTGCGCAGAGAAACATATCTTTTCGCTGTTCTCAGCGCGTTCGGAAGATTCATTCCAATTATATTTTTAAGAAAACTCGGATTAACTGATCGTGAATCCAAGGAATGTTCTGGAGTTGACTAATTAACAAGTACAGTGTAACTGTAACTTTTGTTTGTACGAAGAGTTTTATGACAAGTAGAAAAAGGAACACCAGAAGAATAATGGAATAGCAACAGAACCACTCTTGTTTCTATCGCGGAAATATGTGAATTCGTATGTCACGTTTTTCTACGATAAATTTTACGCCTCGACCGACTGAAACACGGTCGTCGTAACCAAACTGTGGAATCGGGTGTGAATAGTAGTAACTGTTCGGTGGTGAACAAACACATCAGATTTGTCTAATGACAGTAAAACGCGTGACTTTCAATTTTCAAATTCGTCCTTCTCGTTGTGGTGTGTCAATAACTAGTTTTTTCTATATGTGTTTTCAATTGTTCGCCAAAAGACCTGCAAACTTTTAGATATTACATCGGCTATGATTGTAGCCAGTGGTGGGTGGGTACAAAATGCGTTTTCCTGCCAGACAGAGTAGTTCCAATCTGAATATGAATACTACACAGAATAACAAAATGACAGCCAAAGGTGTCTTACTTTGTCGTGACAGTTCTCATCCTTTTCAAGACCGTATGCTAACGTTAGACCAATCTGTTAAAATTGGTCGTTCTGTAGCAAGAGTTAGAGCCGCTAATAATAATGCGATCTTTGATTGCAAAGTATTATCCAGGAACCATGCGTTGCTGTGGTATTCTTGTGGAAAGTTTTACCTACAAGACACACGTAGTAGTAATGGAACATTTGTTAATAGTCAAAGACTTAGTGCTGCCGGTGTAGAATCAACACCTCAGGAGGTATGTTCGGGTGATATAGTGCAATTTGGAGTAGACGTGGTAGACAATACAAAAAAAGTTACGCATGGATGTATAGTTGCGACGTTAAAATTATATTTGCCCGATGGAAAAGAGGCTAAAGCTAGTGTTAGTACATCGGTTGGATCGTCGACTGCATTGTCAGCCAATGGTGTTTCTTCTGAGGATTTATACAAGTTGAATCAGGTTATACAAGAGGCTTCAAGACGCGAAAAGGCACTTTACTCTAAGCTAGGATATCTGCAACAGCTTGTAGCGAATACTCGAAAAGCTGCCAATCAATCATGGAAAGCTTTAATAACAGAGGATCAATTATTATCTTGGGTGGTAACTATTGAAAACCAATTGGCTGTTTATTCCAAGAATTATACGGAGGATAAGATCAGAAATGAATTAGCACAACTTCAGGAAGAGAAGGCAGAATACCAAAATGCAGCAAAAGAGGCATTACGAAAAGCATTACAAGAGAAGCTGGAAGTTTCTCAGAGGCTAATTCAATTAGAAGGGCGTTTAAGCGAAACTGAAGAAGAGTGTCAAAGTCTTCATAATGTAGCGAAATATACTCAAACAGAACTTTTAGAATTGAGTAGTAAATATACAGAAGTACAGAAAAAGCTTGAGGAAACCATGAACCAACTTCACGAGAGCGAGGAAAAAATGAAAGATATGGTACAAAACGTAGAACAAGAAAAACAAGAACTTTTAAAGAAACTTGAAGATCAGTCTAAAATTGAGAAAAGTCTACAAGTAAGGTTACGCAATTCCCGAGTAGATTCTGTTAATATTTATAAACAGATCACTGCCCTCAGAAATTACATGCAGATTTTGCAAGATATGAATACGAAATTGGTAACAAGCGACATTATGGACATGAAAGATGAAGAGAATCCTATTGAAGCTATTAATATTATTCTTAATAATTTGAATTCCATACATGCAAATATCGTGGAAATTGATGCAGAAACTAATTTTTATCCTTTAAAGGACGAACAAGATAATCAAATTAATTCGCAAGATATCGATTCAAATCAACTAAAAAATTCTGATACTCCCTTTACAAAAGAACAATTGGATGATTCATTCACTAATAATGATAATTTAACGGAATATATTTTACCTCCACCATCTCGAAGGACTTTAGTTAATGGAAATGTAAATATAGATAATTCAGAGTCTGACACTAATTCAGACGCAACAGATGACACATTCAGTATTACCAGCGACGATACAAGCGAGAAGTCTGTTATAGAAGTTAAAAAAGAAGAACCTATATATGATGTAGTCGAACAAATTTGTGTTCCATACAAAGTGGAAGTTCAATTTACGTACGAAGAACATGGTAATCAACTGGAAGCCCCTCATCATCTTCAAGTTATACAGAAGCCAAAGGAAAGCGAAAAAACGGAAATTAATGTTGATAGTATGAACACAAAGTCTTCGCACGAGCCTGTTAATATAAATATTCATCAACACGAGAAGAACGACGAAACGGACAAGGACAACAATGAATCGCACGAAGAATGTGAAGAGGAACATCTAGAAGGAGATTATGTTAAAACATTAAAACCATTACCTAAAAATGATACGCAGCAAAATTTGCATACATGGGAGTATATATTACAAACTTTAATAGGATCATTGGATTCTTTAAAAGTTGAAGATAACTTAGAATCGCAACAAGCAGTCAGAAAGGAATTAGAAAATCTCAAAGATTGGTTAATCTGTGAACCTCACGAAGAAATTATTGAGAAATTGAAAGAACTATATTATTGTGCCAAGAATGAATCTCAAAGAATCCAAGAACTCCACGAAGAATTAGTTATTTTAAAGGAAAAGTACAATGTATTCGTCGAAGAAAAGGCAGAACTCTCAAAAAAGTATACAAGTCTTAAAGCACAATGTGGTGATTTATTAAATACAACCTATAGTGTACCAATACATTATGTAGCACCCATTGTAATTACATTAATATGGATGCTGATGGAAAAAATATTTTAATGTTTCTTTTTTGGTTTATGTATATAACATTGATGATTAATTAATACTGTATTTCCTTTTTTATTGGTAATAATATGATAAAAAAATATAAAGTTCTGAAGCATAGTTTATTAAAAGCTTTCAAATAAGCGAAACAAAAGAAGGTGGTGTGTAGTTTCAACAGAAATTCGAACATTTTTATACGAACAAAATATATTAAGAATTGTATATATTTTTCCCATACTGTTGTTAAAGCATCAATCGTGGAAAACTTCTCTAACAAATTACGAAGGTAAAGTAGGGGTACGCGTGTGTGTTACCATCTCAAACAAGGAACCAAAATCAAATTACAGCAGAAATTTATAGCAATAAATATGTACATAGAACAAAATTCTAGGCTAGGGAAAATTGTATTAGAGGGAATATAGACAATACCACGTAAAATGTTCAACATGCTGCCAATCTTAATATCATATCTTCTTAAAATATGGTATTAATCTATATTTACGATATTGCACACTTTACGTCGTTATTCTTTGTAATCATTTCCAACTCTGCACGTCCAACGACTCGAACGTATTATTATATAAATTACAAATAACGTTTACATGCAAAGTTCGATATTTATAAAAAGCTCTTTGATTTGTCCAATACCTTGATAATATTTGTTTCAAGATCGTTAAAGGACTCCTTATTTTCGAGATTGAGGATTATTTATGTTCAAAACATAAATTGATTCGTTCGATTTCTATAAAATTTGTTTAACATTTGAGGTCTCTGATAGAAAGAATACTAAGAGATAAACGAAGTCGAATTATTGTACCCCGATCAATAATCGTGTTATGTGCGATTTAGCTTTAAGTTCGTTGATTTAATGAAACAATTTATTTAATGTTAGCATTAATCTATTTTAAATCGCAGCTGTTTTTTTTTTTTATAATTGTTTTGTGTACATATAAAAATAATTTGTTGATATAATGTTTGATATTCTATACATTGTATATTGATTTTTCAAATTCGCGTTTTGTTATGTACATGCTTCGTTTTTTTTTACTGGTAGCATAACAATAGAAGCATATCCATTTAAACGACCTAATAAACATTAAGAAAAAGTAACGATACGTCTGTGCGAAAGTTTCGAATATAGTTCCGATTCAAATTGGTATATTAATAATTCTGAAGAAATGGCCTAGATATGTGTCTATTTCTAAAAAAACTCTAGTTATACTTTTCTATCGATTCTTTTTATACGAACGTAACTGAAATTATCTGTATTTTATTAATTCTGACTAGTTTAGTTACAGTGCCATTGCCCGATCTATTTCTGCCCTATTCAGTATGATAAATATGATCACACGTAAAAAACGATGAGGTATATTCAATTTTCCAAAAAAGAATATTGCAAGCGCACCGCTCGCGGACGATTTACTTTCTTGGTAGATTGAAGCTATATTAAGATCGTGAAGGTTTATATAAATAACTTAATACTGTACATAACAATTGTTGATATAATCTTACTACTCATGTAATAGTCATTATATAAAAAAAAAAATAAAAATTAACTTAACTGAAGCTTTTTACGGTCCTTTTTTGGAAACCTGTGCTTAACTATAGTCAAATCAAAATTAAGTGGCTACCCAAGGACAATGATAAATTCTCTCTACCATATTGTTTGGCCATTCTACTCTCCCTCTCGTTCTATCTCGTCTTTTTACGCGAAGCACATTCTTTCTGTCTTTTAAGCGTGGGTGTTTTGTCTGGCGAATTCGCTATCTAAGAAGAGGCCTTGAACATGCCAATTGATTTTGATCCTATTGCAATTGATGCGTGCCAATGTGAAGATGGTTTCTGCGATGTCAAAACGTTCGAAAGATTCGTATAAATTTGTAAATGCGTTTTATCGTATTTTTTATATTAATATAAATTTACTTAAATATAATAATTAATTATAAAAGAAGTAAAATTTGATATTTGCAAAAATTTATATTTTAGGCGTGTACTTCGATAACCACGCGAATAGCAAAATGCGTATACAATGGGCTCGAAATAGCTTTTGTATATTTTAATGTTTCCCCGATCGCGTAACGGTCATTTTGTTTTAGTTGCGTCGATTTGTTTCTTCAACGTTAGTTGTTTAACGCTAATGTTATCCTTTCAGCAGTTCAAGGATGAGAATGGAGAAATGCTTGAATACTTAATGCTTTTGCCGTTTCCTGTATGTATTTATACCACAATAACTATTTTTTTTATAATTGCAGCACACACGCGTAATGTGTGAATAATAACGATCGATTAAGAATTACTTACCGAGGTATGATCGCAATGTGTCATCGATGAAGAAGCTGAAAAAAACGTCGGATTGCGTGAGAGGCGGGCAAGCGGTAGGTGCACCGAACGCGAACGGAGATGCGTCACCCGCACGTGTGTGCAGAGATTTTCTACGGAACGTATGCCACAGAGGGAAGCGTTGCAAGTATCTCCACGAACGGTCCGAGGATGATCCTGTAGAAGAGTACACGTTCTGTCATGATTTCCAAAATGGAATGTGCAACTGGCCGGGTTGCAAATTCCTCCATTGCACGGAAAGCGAGGAGAAACGGTTCAGATCGACGGGAGAGTTACCCGCGCACATTCTGAGCAGACTGAAAAACAACAATGAAAAGTCCGAGTACCCGATGTGCAAAGATTTTATCAAGGGCAGCTGCCAAAGAACCAATTGTAAGTTCAGACATTGGAAGAGCGAAGAACCACAACATAACATGATCGTAGCTTCTCATCATAATGTGTCCAGGCCTCAGCATAATTTCAATGGCCCTAACAATGGAGAGATCCGCAGATACGAAGAGGATAGAAAGTACGCGAAAGGCTTCTTTCGTATTTTATGTTTAACGTTTAAGATGTCGACTAGAATTTTAAATAGTTTAATTTTTCTGGATACATCTTTGATACGATGCATTTTTGAAAGAAACAAGAATATTCTTTTGAACATGTCTGAAGTAGCAAATAGGTTTTGAATCAAATAAGTGGCGGTTGAATATGTGTACAAATATATATGTTTGGTACACCACGTTGTTTCACCGTTATGAATAGAACAATTATCTACAGATTTGAATTTAAATAATTTACCATTTGAAATATAATTCATTACAACTGTATCTATATACGCATTAAAAGCTAATTTTATTGTAAAAGACTATAATTTCCTTTTCATAGAAATGTTAAATTTTATGTTTCATAATGTAATATAAAGGAGACTAAATGTTTTTGTAAATGGTATTTGAAGAATGAGTTATAATCTATCACGTGCAACGTAAACATTTCATTATATTTTGTTGCGTATGTTTTGCAGTTTTCATTGGCAAATGGAAGATCAACATAACTTGGTCACAAACAATAGCTACAACCCATCCTCGCACCCGCCTGATTACATAGGCCCTCCTGAACCAAAGAGACGAATAGTTTCTGGCGAGACTGTTGTTCATTTTGAAGCTTCACCGCTTGTTGGCCAACATACGGCGCAGCCAGTTACTTCGGGATATTATTATCCAGTAATACCGCGCAATGAAGCTAGAGCAATCGTGTTAGAAGACGAAAATGCATTATTGAGGAAGAAGATAGAAGAATTAAAAAAACAAGTTAGTTTAATTTTGCTCTCGTACGTTTCGTGTATGACTAATATTTATATGTTGCATTCGTTTAGGTCAGTGATTTAACGGCGACCAATGAGTTTCTTTTGGATCAGAATGCTCAGTTAAGAATGTCAGGAAAACGAACTGCCAATGTAACGGCGGTTACAGTTCCAGCAGTTACCATTACTAATACTGTTCCACCATCGCAAGCGCCGACGCCTCAACAAATGGTCAATGCGGCAGTAGCTGCTGGAACACTACGTACGGTTACTGCGAGTGTTGCAACTGTTCCTGTAAGTATAGCCACAGTTGCACCGGTCTCTATTGCAGCAGTTTCAATGGCACCAGTGTCTATACCACCACCAATAGTTACGATGGCCCAGCAAACGATCACAATGAGCGGTTCGGGTCCGCAAGCGACCAATCAACAGCAACCTAATACACAACAACCTGCCAATTTACCTCTTTCTATATCTGGCGCGACCGCGCCGCTGGTTTCTTATCCTATTATGACTCAAGAACTTAGGCCCGTGTTACAGTAAGTTACATCTGTGAAAGTAACATCAAACAATACCTCAATCACATAGACGAGTCAAGGATGCTGTCTTCTGCATTCAGTCTTTCAAGATAATAACGTATTTCTAATTTCTTTGGGCCGTACGTGATGGGCGCATAGAATAGATATACCTACAATCGATCAAAATATATTCTTTAGAGAAATACAGTGAAAATATGGTAATTAATAAACACGACATCCTAGATCTTTATGTAGGATTTCCTAGAAATTTTCGTACAGGACAAACGTAACGATCATGACTGTTTCTTCGGCAGTACGGTTTAAATGAAATGCCACTTATGGAGTTCTTTAAATTTAGTAGTATTTTTGTTCCTTTGTATGATTTACTCTATGAAAGGTAAATGTTTGTCTATATTAATATATGCAACACAATAAATGTTCAAAGTGTGTATAGATTTAGACTAATAAGAATATCGATCTAAAACCATATGAAATGGTTAATAATATTTTCCTATTTTTTCTTTTCTTATATATATTTTAGTATCATGAAAATACAAATAATTTTGTAGGTAATTTTTTTGTATCGTTAAAAAAATACTCGGATACAAAAAAGAATTGTAAATTAAAAATACTTAGGTAAGAAATGACTCGTATAGGCTAATATGTTAATATAAGTACAAACTAGAATGAAGTATGTAAATTAAATATTTTAGAAGTTGAAAGTGAAGGTGTACCGCTGCTCAGAAAATGGTGATGGACCTTACGACTGTTCTGTACGCGGTTCTGTAAATAGTGTTCTATTGCTTTCTAGTTTTGTTAGAAAAAAAATTTACACTTCCATTTCTAACAAATAAGTTAATTATTCTTATAAAATAACGATAATTTCGTAAATTAAGTACTTATCATGGTCTTTTTTGTGTTTCTACAATTTACTTAAGACGCTAGTTTTGGGTTTAAACAGTGACTTGAAATTATGATAAATAAATGTAAGAATCAGATACAACACAGGCTCGTAATGTGTAACCTGTAAACCAAATAAACATATAATTGTTTTTTTTAAGTCATGTTATCAGTCATGGGTTAATACGTATGTATATATTTTGCGTAATTAATATAAGAAATTCGAGCAATAAGTACCATGTATTTTATATATGCATATGAAATGTATAATTTTATGTTAATAAGCACTTCATTAAAATGATAAATGCTGCCCGTATTTTAAATTCTTTACGAACGGTGGTTGTACCTTGATCTTTTGAATTGAATATATGAGTATTTAACATAATAAACGTTTATTTTTTTTTGTTTATAATTAACAAAAAGTATATTTAACATAACAACCTCTCATTCTCCAATTCATTCAGTCTACCGTTACATTTTAAGCATTTTTACATGTAAAAACTATGTTTGATATTTGGTGCTGTAAATGCATTAATTGTTTAAATGATTCTAATTAGCTTAATAACACGTGACATGGTTTTGAAGTACACCATCCTTAACTTTACTATTTATGAATAAAAAACACCTTTTATATTATTGTAATGGTCTGCATACATATACATTAGATATAATAAAAATTTGTTTCTGTACAAGTTATGTATGACACATCTACATTTATCAATTAATGCCATTATGTTGATTAAAATATGTAAATCGCAAGTTTATTACAATCTTTATACTGAAATAATTATTTTCTATTTTAAAAAATAATCAAACCAATGGAAAGTTTGTATCTGTATTATTATAGAAAATTTTAATAATCGTTCTAAAAAATATATATAAGAAAATGGAAAAAAAATAATGCTAGCTAATTCTTAAATTTGACAAATGCTACTGAGCAGATCCTATAATATATTGTAACTTGTATTTATAATTATATACGAGTAAATTTTTTTTCTCTTTCTTTTATGCTGCAATTGGTAGAGCACAAACAGTTCTATTTTTCCACCAGTACACACCCATTAATAAAACAGTGCAACAAAATCCAACTAAGAAACGCAATTTCCAATGGTATTTGGAAGACTTTAAAACATTAATCACTTTAATAGTTTGCTCTCTAGTATGCTGTTCGCTGCTAGAATTTTCAATGACAAAATTCGCCATTTCTGCTTTTTTCTCTAAGGGCATTTGCACAGCAATTCTTTGCTTTGCTTTGGCTTCTGTTAAACCTGTCCTCTCAATAAGCCTTTGTAATTGCAACTCTTCTTCGCTAAAATCAAACAATATATTTTTGAATATTCTGTGATTTTGAAGTATACATTGTATTTGTACTTTCATATAAACAAAAATAATCGTACCAAGTCACAACAATTATTTTGTGCAAGTAATTCAACATGTGCCCCGTTTCAAAAAGTAAAGGCAAATCCATGACTATAAATTGGTGGCCTTGTAGAAAATGTTTGAACGTTTGCCAGTACATTTCTCTGTATATGTCTGGATGTGTTATAGCATTTAACTTTTTTCTTTTTTCTATATCATTGAATATTAAATCGCCAAGTTTAACTCTGTCCAGTTCCTTTGTATCTAAGAACACATCTGGACCAAATTCTTGCTGTATTTTGTGCCATGCTGGTTTTCCAGGTTCCACAACTGGAAAATATGCATGTTTTTAAAACGACTGATAATAGGTATAAACATTTCAATGTTTTATAGAAATAATATTAACAAATGTATATTAATTTTATGTCGAACCTTTCCGTGCTATTTGATCGGCATCAATGACAGGTATGCCGTATTCACGAAAAATAGCAGCAACGCTACTTTTTCCAGTAGCTATTCCACCTGTCAATCCCACCAAAAACATCTTTCAATATCTATTTGTATATGTTTAATACACGTCTTAACGATTAAGTGAACATTATAACTGCATTATAAAATTTGGTGCTATTTAATCATGGTACGACGGTTTCCACAAAAAATGTTCTTTCGTACGATTTTAGTTCCATACATACTATTGCATAGATGAAAGATGTGTTCTACAAAAGGATGGGGTATATAATAATTTCATTGGCTGACGTTCAGTCTAATAAATTTAAAGGAAATAGATAAATAGTAGCATTTATTCAACGCAGACAATTATAAAAAATGAAAAAGTAGAATATTCATATGCATTTTATATTGTTAACAATATTGTTATAGTCCGTTCAACTTACAGACTTCTGTATACAAATCAATGAACATCAAAGTCTATGCTTTAGAAACGTATAGATACAAAGTAATTTATACAAATCATGCTTATGTATATAAATAGCAATATTATTTTAGTTTTACAGGCTTAATCTTACTAAATAAGGGTTAATGAGAAAAACTTTAGTCATAAAAGTCTTCGTACACCCCTGAACGGATAATTTTAAAGAAAATATACAATAACTTTGTGTAATATCTTTATTTATTAATATATGAATTAATTACTGTATATAAAAATGTATTGTTTCATAGGACAATTTTATCCAATGAGCTGAACAACGAAATAGTTACGTCTAGGTATTAAATACGACGATTGGCTGCTCTATACTTCCTTATTTTTCGTACATAACTTCTTCGCCAGAAAACAAATGTTTTTTCTCTCGATTAAACAACTGTTACTCGCTCATCGAATAAATTTGAAACTCGTATTATTTAATAATTTATGAAATCGACTTCTTTTGAAGTTTGTTAAAGGGTAAGTTGTGCAGTGGCCTTTCAAGGGAGGATTTTTGTGTAACACTAGGTGCACAGATCATGTGTACATGCATGAACTCGTAAAATGGCGGGAAACGTGTACATCGTACACCTCCTTTAGTATTCTGTGGTCCGGATAATTTTTTAGTAGTTAGAATCCCCTTTTACAGATGGTGCCAAGTATTTCGGAATTCTAACCATAACTATAACTATATTTAGCACGAAATACACTTGTGTTATAGGGCCTAGAGGCGTGGCCCTCCGCACCCATATAAAGAAACAACCATAACCATTTTTAGTACGATGATTAAAATAACTATTGCTTCCAGTAATCTTTTATAACTACTTAATGAAAAAATGTGAAGAAAAATGGTTGAAAGAGGTTAATTAGATATCAATTAGATTCGAATATTTGCAGCAGTTATGAGGGACTATAAAACTTGTGCATTTATAGAAATTGGGAAATTAGTGGGAAAGGTAGAGGAAAATTTAAATAATAGTTTTAGAGTACGTCTGAACAGTATCTGTTGCTCGATCTTAATTTTCGAGATATTGTATTTATTGAACAGAGATCTTAGACTTACAGACTCAGCCCATAGATCTAGGTATACAAATATATTATTATAATTGCAATAGTAACTTGCAAGATTGAATTTGGCAGATTATAAATTTAACAAGTGCCAATTATCCCAAGTACAAAATTCTTAAACATTTCTACTCGTCAATTTAGTTCCATGTTACGGGGCCGAGGGCGCTGGTGACCAGGCGCCTGCGCCGGTCCGGGAGGGACCTGAAAAGGCACGGCGTGGTGGGGGAGCTCCCAGTCCTTCGCCAGACACCGAAGGGTGGGTGTCGTGGGGTTTTAGCCGGTAAGAGTCCTGCTCTACCCATCTCTAAAATAGGCCTCCAAGAAGTTAGGATGTACATTCCTTGGATCTGTCTTCTGGTCGTCCTTGGACAATCTTCGATCGACCCTCCTGGTCACTACTAATATTGACTGAGCACACCTATTGCGTAAATTCTCACCAGAAAATTATATCTCCTTTTGGGTCTCCTTACGCAGCAACCTCCACGCGGTGAGACCTGGTAATCGGTGTTACCCACGATGAGAAGTCCTTCTTCGTGGGCACCACCGAGCTAATGGCTGCGAATTTAGATTAGTCTATCAAAATATAAGAGAATTTTACTCTTAACAAATTCTGGCTATACATATCTTTATTGCAACTCTAAATTTAACTTAAGCAAATGTTTTTCATCAAATTTATGGAGCGGATTATTTAAAGTTTAGTATTTTACAATATAAAAGGCAGCGCGGCAATGAACATAAGTGTTAAATTAAAACTATTTCTCGATGCGTAATTTTTTCGTACTGTTTGGTTCAACCAGTCCAAGTACAAGTCCAATCGGGCATACACGCCTGGAAAATTGGGACGAGCGCATCCCATTCCCCACGATACTATTCCCACTTGCGTACCGTTGCACAATAATGGCCCACCACTGTCACCCTGAAACGTCATTATATTAAAGTTATTATAATTTTCAAAGAATAGTGTTCAAATATAAAATGCACTTATGGGTGTAGTCTCGTCTCTTGGGTAGAAAAATAATTAATTTTTCATAATCACAAATTTATTTTGACTTTAAAAGGAGAGTCAGGTGTACATACGTTTAATATATGTACACTTTTCTTTTTAAAGTTTCCAAGTATCGTCAATTTTTCAACCAGAGACACAAGACGACCCTTTCGAGTATAAATTCTTACGAACTTGACAAGCATCCTTTCCGCCCTCCGTCAATCCTGCACACAAGTGCATTTCTTTATCCACTCCTTTCACCGGGCATTTGTCAGTCGGAATCAACGGAAGATGAACATGACGAAGATAAGTACCGGTTCCTTCCTAAATGGAACTGACATATATATGTACATATTATAGAAATATTTATTCGAAATTTGTATGACACTTCACTATACAGGATGTCTGGTCATCCCTGAGAAATAGAGGCAAAAATAAGAAGAAAATCAAGGATACTAATTTGTTGATTGAGACTTCGTTAAAAAGTTAGAGAAACATTTCCGGCCACACGGTATATTTTCGGTAAAGAATTTTTTTCTCGAAAGTGCTTAGGATTTCGAGGGTGTGTCTATTCACCAAAAATGATTGTAATTGACCCCCGGAACTGAAAATAATTTTTTCAAAATGATTTGAAATTTTTTTTTCGCCGAAAAATTTAGCCCCCTACTTGAATTTTTTTCTCGAAAGTGCGTAGGATTTCGAGGGTGTGTCTATTCACCAAAAATGATTGTAATTGACCCCCGGAACTGAAAATAATTTTTTCAAAATGATTTGAAATTTTTTTTTCGCCGAAAAATTTAGCCCCCTACTTGAATTTTTTTCTCGAAAGCGCGTAGGATTTCGAGGGTGTGTCTATTCACCAAAAATGGTTGTAATTGACCCCCGGAACTGAAAATAATTTTTTCAAAATGATTTGAAATTTTTTTTTCGCCGAAAAATTTAGCCCCCTACTTGAATTTTTTTCTCGAAAGCGCGTAGGATTTCGAGGGTGTGTCTATTCACCAAAAATGATTGTAATTAACCCCCGGAACTAAAAATAATTTTTCCAGAACGATTTGAAAATTTTTTTTTACGTCGAAAAATTTCACACTTTGAATATCGTTGAAATTAAATTCCAGCTGTTTTAAGAATTTTTAAGTGTCGAAGACGTTGATGAGGCACAGTGTAATATCTTGAAGGGTGGATCTAGTTCGCAATATGAGGGACAAGTATACGACGGAAACATAATCGTGTCATATTCTTCTACGGTGCGAATGAACGCTTAAAGGACCGTATTCCCAAGATATTACGCTTCCTTGAGATTTTATGAAATCGGTGATAGGTGAAAACTTATATGGTCGTACACGAAACATCGGTCTAATTATTTTACAGAAAATGTGACGAAACGATGTTTTATATTTTGTAAAATTTTAACGCGTACAGACTACGTTGCATAAACTATTAAACTATTTGAAACCTTAAAAGGCAGATAATTTTGGTAGATAGAACATCGAAAAATGTTGGAACTTTGTTCAGTGGGTTGTATAGCTTCTTAGTAATATTATACGAGATATTTAAGGGTGTTTCTTTCGAGAGAGAAATATTAAACGATACAAAATTTCACGCTGTGTATTTTTGCAATAGTAGTCTATATTATTTAAGAATAGAGATCGAATCATTCGTGAAAGCATTTAAAAAATTTATAAAATTTTTCAATATCTTCGTTGCAATAAAAATTGCAGACGATACCTACATAAGTTGAAGTTTCTGATAAAATAATGAAGCTTGCACGAAAGCAGCTTTGTCCATTTTTTTTTTTTTTTTTTAACGAAGTTCTTCGCGAAACTTGAAACGAGTTAATCAAAGAAGCGATGGAAGACACTGTTGACATTGTGTTACAACTTAATTTAGAAGTTGTCGAAGAGTATGTCCGCCATTTATTAAACTCGCATAATCAGGAACGTACGTTTGACGGTTATCTCGCTAAAATTAAGTCCGAGATAATACCCGAAGAACGTTATTTTACTTCCTCCGTGTTCTCGAATGATTTTCTTCGAAAATAATAAATAAAAATCAGAAGGGGGATGATTAATAACTAACTAAAGTAATTTCACTTTATTTCTTGATAATTCTCGCTATTCTGCAGAACTCTAAGGTTGAATCTTCAATTTGATATTACTCCGTTAGCTATTAGGTTTTAACAAAGGTGAATACTTTTTTTTACTCAGAATTCGACATTCTTCCATATTTTGGTATCAAAAATATAGTATTCTATTTAAAAAAACAAAGTTGAGCTTCAAATCTTTGGAACGTCTTCACCTATAAAAGAAGTAAATGCACAACATAATGTACTCCTTAAATCATGCAACTTTTGCATACTAAATTTGTTCGTGCAACGTGTATTAAGGGATAAGACCACTATAAAAACCTGAAATATTTATCAAAAAATGTTTAAAAAAGAAACAAAAAATTCTCTATTAATCTACATGAGTATAGCTAGAGAAATATATATAGGATTTTTGAAAAATTAATTTTTATGCGATTAGCGAGAATTCGAAGTAGAAAGTTCAATTTTATACAAAAAATGGGGCAATCGTTTGTCAATAAATAATCTAGATTCTGGACATTTCTGAATCTATCGAATGAATTCTTTTACTCATCCACAGGTACAATAACGCCTATTTAACATTAGTCGTTTCAGTTTTGTATTGTATTTATAGGATTTAAAAAAAAAACATTCTTAAATATTATTATCTTTTTACTTTTCCATCTATCGTAAAAAAAATGCTTTATTTCAGGTTTTTACAGTGGTCTTACCCCTTAAATCTACTTTGTATATAAACACTTTACCGACCGGTAGCGGTTGATTAATCGGCTATCGGTCGGTAAGCGTTGGTCGGTAAAAAAGTCGATTAATAGGCTATCGATCGGTAATGTGTTAAAATCAACACATCTATTTTTTCTTGTGATCATTCCTTGCATGAGCAAATTTTGATAAAAAAAAAAGTTTGATAAATCATTTGGAATTGAATCGTACGTCAAGGGGGTTAATATTCGTAGAATTGAGGTTTTGCTATACGTCGTTGCAGAAGTTTAATTACTGACGATTATGATACAAGAGTTTCCCTCGTAAAAAAAATGCTTTATTTCAGGTTTTTACAGTGATCTTACCCCTTAAATCTCTGTATATTAAAATCAACACAACTATTTTTTCTTGTGAACATTCCTTGCATGAGCAAATTTTGATAAAAAAAAAAGTTTGATAAATCATTTGGAATTGAATCGTACGTCAAGGGGGTTAATATTCGTAGAATTGAGGTTTTGCTATACGTCGTGGAGAAGTTTAATTACTGACGATTATGATACAAGAGTTTCCCTCGTAAAAAAAATGCTTTATTTCAGGTTTTTACAGTGATCTTACCCCTTAAATCTACTCTGTATATTAAAATCAACACAACTATTTTTTCTTGTGAACATTCCTTGCATGAGCAAATTTTGATAAAAAAAAAAGTTTGATAAATCATTTGGAATTGAATCGTACGTCAAGGGGGTTAATATTCGTAGAATTGAGGTTTTGCTATACGTCGTTGCAGAAGTTTAATTACTGACGATTATGATACAAGAGTTTCCCTCGTAAAAAAAATGCTTTATTTCAGGTTTTTACAGTGATCTTACCCCTTAAATCTCTGTATATTAAAATCAACACAACTATTTTTTCTTGTGAACATTCCTTGCATGAGCAAATTTTGATAAAAAAAAAAGTTTGATAAATCATTTGGAATTGAATCGTACGTCAAGGGGGTTAATATTCGTAGAATTGAGGTTTTGCTATACGTCGTTGCAGAAGTTTAATTACTGACGATTATGATACAAGAGTTTCCCTCGTAAAAAAAATGCTTTATTTCAGGTTTTTACAGTGATCTTACCCCTTAAATCTACTCTGTATATTAAAATCAACACAACTATTTTTTCTTGTGAACATTCCTTGCATGAGCAAATTTTGATAAAAAAAAAAGTTTGATAAATCATTTGGAATTGAATCGTACGTCAAGGGGGTTAATATTCGTAGAATTGAGGTTTTGCTATACGTCGTGGAGAAGTTTAATTACTGACGATTATGATACAAGAGTTTCCCTCGTAAAAAAAATGCTTTGTTTCAGGTTTTTACAGTGATCTTACCCCTTAAATCTACTCTGTATATTAAAATCAACACAACTATTTTTTCTTGTGAACATTCCTTGCATGAGCAAATTTTGATAAAAAAAAAAGTTTGATAAATCATTTGGAATTGAATCGTACGTCAAGGGGGTTAATATTCGTAGAATTGAGGTTTTGCTATACGTCGTGGAGAAGTTTAATTACTGACGATTATGATATAAGAGTTTCCCTCGTCAGCTGCTGGTGAACCGTTCGACGAGTTCGATAAACTTCGTTTAAGAATGCGCTTATACTTTATTTAGACCGCGTAACATCCGTGGCCTTTATCGCGTCTAGAATCCACCTTCCAAATACCACCGTGTATTTTTAATGACCAAACGCGATCCTCCTCGTATGAATAGACCACACACCGTCTACGTGGTTTTCATCGACCAATAAACGCGACAGCTGCGAATGACAGTAAATAATGTCGGCTACGTACGTTCGATCCAGGAATGTGTCGTCCCCAGCCAGCCACTGTGCACGGTTCGGTGTACCTTTGAAAAATGTTTGCGTCATACGCCGTGGGAACGGCGACGAGTTTCACGTACGAGTTAATGCGAAAGGGTCTCGAGAGCTGAACCACAGAAAAAGAAACGCACGCGATCGAGTAATCGTTAGAGAAATCTTTGAACGATCGGTCCTCGCCGGGCGTTCCTCTCTCGTTCTCTTTGTTTCGTTATCGTTCATTTATTTATTTCATTTTTTATTCCACATAGAGTTTATATATACACATTAATAGTCACCCTGAACAATCCAATATCGTTATGCATGCTCGAGAATCTAAAGTTCGTGTGCGGGAATATTCTGTCTATCAATTCCATCTGTATGGAACTCCAGCTTGGAAAGTATACGTATGTGGCTCCGGCGATCGCGTAGAATCGACGCGGGTTCTCCGGTACCCAGTCGTCGTGGGACGTCGGTCTAAGCAACGAGCACGAAGACAATCGGTGATGAACAATTATCACGGGACCAATAGCGATCGTGAGTGTCCAAACAATCGTGTGGCTGGTTAACACGCGTATCAACGATTCCTAAAAACATTACGAGAGCGTCGCGCGAGATCACGGCCGGCCACCGGGTCAGACATTTTCATTGTTTCCAAAGTGGAGAGAGAGAGCTGATCGCGAAACAAACGCGTCCCCGAGCTTGATATGTAAACAACCGATACAAAGACAGTGCGATGCGTAATTCACGTTGCCGGTTACACGATCATACGATTAAAACCCGCTAACCCTTTCACTGCTGATACTGTTTTCGTATGCTGACTGGCGACGTTCGACTCTCTATTACACGTCCTCGCGTCACGTTTCTGGATCTATTTATTCCTCTTTTTTTTTGTACATCTACTCGTCTGCTTGTCGGCTAACGATCGATTTCTACGACGTTTCTTTTTTTTTTTTTTTTATCTCGTTACAGACGTTCTATTCTAACATCGCACGATTAGCGTTTTAATGATTTTCTTTCTTTTATTTTTTGTTTAAGTAGTCGATTCTAGGGAAGATCGATGTCACTAGTAGATCGCGAGTGTCGCGTACGGGAAACCTTGAAGCAGCATACGTGTCTATGATAGCAATGAAAGCGCTACGAGCGGAGATTGCTCCGTGGCCGTAAAATGGTAGCATAGAAAATACGCGAGTGTCGGTGTGTTTATGCTCCGTCGTTTCGAGAGGCATTCTTTCTGTCCACGAGCAAGGATAAAGAGAAAAAACGACCATCGTTAATCGCCTAATCCTTACGGAATCGTTATTACCACGATCATTGATAAAGAAACAGCGTCTTTGTTTTTTATTATGGCGCTACGTCACTGGCCAGATCGGTTTTAACGTATCCATTATATCGTACTTCTTCGTGATCGAGTTTTATCATTTTTACAAAACACTTTTTAATGACTAAATCACTTTTATTTATATGGATCACTCGATTTTATATTCTATGGTACTCGTAATTGCTTGTACTTAAGAAATGTTTAAAAACAAAGGAAAATTGGAAAATACTTTTACTAATTTTTATGTCAATATTATTCAGACTAAGTACCACTACGAAAGAATATTTTAATGGAAGGATACTCTATAAGAAGTATAGGGATTCTACGATTCACTAAAGTACCATTTGCATTTAATGTTTCTCTGCATCAAATTAAAAAACAATTCAGTTTCTTTTATTTGTAATAGGAACAGCTGCCTTGTTGTATTACGTTTGTTATAAAAATCGAATGATCCGGCGTACGAAGTTTTATTAGACAATATTTAGGTTTATTTTTCATTGATTGCCGTATTTTATGTCGCTTAAAGATTTCCTCTAAACAGAGCACGTTTCGCGGGCCAATAAACTGAAAGTTTCCACGGTTTAGGATCCGTCAAATTTAATCCATTAAATTTCAAGCATCCCAGAGCTCGTTGGCAAAATCGTTTCGATTCAAATCGTGGATTATCGAGCAGCAATACTGTTTCCTTAACCCCTTAACGCTCATGCTCGAGTATGACTGTTTTGAAAAACGATATTTGTTTTATTTGATGGTTTAAGGAGAATATTTGTTTTCCTTCAAGTTATACGCTAGATACAACATTGTGATTGACAAAAATCGAATTTTTATGTTGCTTAGAAACAAGTCCAATGAAGAAAATTGATCATTCTTGGATGATTCGAAAAATATGAGCGTTGAGGGGTTGAACGATGGTTTCAACGAAGGATTTTTAATTTGAAAAGAGAGACAAAGAAGAATACAGTATAGTTATCAAAAAAAAACTTGCATCGTTAAGAAATTACAATTTTTTTTCTAAATAAAGTAGGATAATGCAAAATATTTTATGGTTGACGCGTAAGAAAAATCGATTTGATCTCCATTACGAATCTGAATCGAAAAATTGAATTTCCAGAATTTTGTCCTCGTAAATTTAATACTCGAAACGACTATTGCACGGGTATTATAGTATTCTTATGTTAATCGTTAAGATTCTGCTACCATTTTAAGGCGAAGAGCGATAGACTCTAAATTGTCGCAGTCTTAAAACGCACCTGACCATGCAATGAGCGGCTGACAAAACGAATCTCGGTGCTATGTAAGAACCTCCGCATATATGACTAAAGTGTCGCCGTTGGATCGAGACCTACGAGAAATTGACATTGAAAATTCGGTTTCGTCGTCCACGAACCTCTATACCTTACTGATAAAGTGGATGTACGCGACGATCACTCTCAATATTTTGAGAAATCCGCACGAAACTTATCGCTGTACATGAATAGGAAAGATACTGGGGGGTGTACGGATACTCGAAACCACGAATACTCGGACCTTGGATTCTTAATCACTGATACAGCATTAAAATTCTCAGAGTGTCACTCAATGTTCTCAACAAGGAAGACAAAATAATAAATACTATTTTATACAGAGCATTCAGTTACTAACGAATAGTAACTAATGAAGAGGAGAGAGGGGGGAAGATTCTATTTCGAACTGCTATGTAAAGGTTCTGATTAAAACCCTTTAAAAACCGAAACGATGTAATAGTTACTAACAAAGAAGGCAATTTTTAAAATTTCACTTTCAAACTTTACATGCGTGCAGTTTCGAAACTACTTGTGTTTTTTCCATAATCGAGCCACCGTTAGAAGTGGTAGGGCCTCCCCTTTAAAATGGGTTTTGTTTCATATCGATACGACTTTCCGTTTTGAAGATATCGTGATTTATGCGAAGGGGTGTTTTCTTTAAGATTCCGCTATGTAATTAGTAAAACTTTGGACGCGTGTAGTTCCGAAACTACTAGTGTTTTTTCCATAATCGAGCCACCGTTAGAAGTGACAAGGCCTCCCCTTTAAAATGGTTTTTGTTTCATATCGATACGACTTTCCGTTTTGGAGATATCGTAATTTATGCGAAGGGGTGTTTTCTTTAAGATTCCGCTATGTAAATAGTAAAACTTTAGACGCGTGTAGTTCCGAAACTACTAGTGATTTATCCATTATCGAGGCATCGTTTGTAGCGGTAAACCTTCCTCTTTTAAATGGCTTTTGGTTTTTGTCGATCGGACTTTCCGTTCTCGAGATATCATAATTTATGTAAAGGGGTAATTTTTTTAATTCGACTATCTCTGTCTCCGTCTTACGCGTCGGACCTCTTTCTCTCACACGTGAGTGACGTAAGTTCATTGACCTCGAGACGTAAACAAACACTTCGAACCCTTCTATCTCCGGAACTAGCCACCGCATCGACTCGAAACTAAAATCGTCATATCTCCGGAACTAATTACGCTATCCACTCGTACGAACGCTCGTTTTAAAGGGCATTTCATCCTCTATCCGACGAGCATATAAGCTATTATTATCTATGCTGTCTTCTATGTTTATTTTCAAATATACTTTGACGCTATACACCCAAGGAAGTTTCAGCAATTTCTATTGATTATACTATTGATTTTATCGGTGTGCGATAAAACTAGATTATAAATAGCTTATTTAATTGAAAATGTTTTCTCTGGAACTAACTACGGTATCGACATGAAACAAAATTCATTTTCAAGGGCGTTTTATAAATTCTCTTTTAAAGCCTGTAAATGTTCTGTACGAAATTAAAGTACTAACATAGGAGTGCACATTTAGAGTAAAATTGTTGAATATTCTTGTGCAAATTTTGCGAATAAACTTGAAAACACAACATTCTATGCATATAATACAAACATTAGGAGTACGTTACCTCGTAAAAGAGTAAAAAAAAGACATCTATCCGGTCATGGTAGGGGAAGGGTGCACATGAAGTGTCAGTAAGCTTAGTATTAAATAATGCCTTAATGTTTTTCCATCCAATGTCTCGATTATGAAAAAGTATTGCCAGTGAACGTAGTTGTGTTTCTCAAATTCAAACGTAAAATAAAATAACATTACTTATGAGACTTGCAACATTTTCTCTCGTCATAGAATTTCTAAAATTGTGAAAGCTCTAACAGTTCTCGAGCCCTGGCTGTTACCTCGAGCACGAAACCTTTTCCAAAAATTTTAATTTCGTCCAGGCGACAGTGTGATCCTCCAGTATCGATTCGTGATTCGCGAGTATCCGTAAACCCCCACACACGCCGCAATTTACAGAAATCCTCTATCCATCCGCAAAAAAACAATAAAAAACGGTTTCGTCGTGTTTCCACGTCACGCAGCTGATTCGATCAATTCCATCGATAGGACAATACCACCGCGCGCTCTACAATCTATAAACGCTAACAAAATAATTCGAGTAAGCAATCGCCGTCGTCGCGTAGGAAAGATCTCGTGAATTGACATAGTCCTGACATTCGGGCTGTCCCGTCTCGAAAATAGTCAAGAGTGATTCGCGTGTCCGTGTTCGTTAATAGTAGATATTTAGGAAATGTCACGGGCGCATTTCACTTACGATAAACGGATATTTCCTTATATCGGTGATTTCTCCGCCGACTATCCTCTCGACTCCCCTGCCCGGCGACAGGCTTCTCTTATCCGTGGCCGATGAAATCCAATTTCCGTTAATAGCCACCACGAGCGCTTGGAGAACGCACGTTAACGCGAGCAACAACATCTTGATCCTTTGCCCAGCGACGCGCGTCCCTCGCGTGAATTTGTCGCCTCTTTGACGACACACAGCCCGCCTTTTGTTTTCCGTTTCGCGGCTCGCTGGCGTCCAGGCAGGCACCGCGTGCCCCGACGCGTTCCACGGCGTCTCCATTGTGTCGCGGGGGGCTATTATCGCGGGCATTATACCGCCACTCGAGACCCACGGACGATCGAGGAGCCGGGAGGACTGAAAAGATTAACTCTTCGCGTCTAATTTAACGCTACGATATGTTCTCCGACACGTCGGGAATATTGGATCGGTCAATAAATTCGTTCGTGTATCGCTTTTACGTCGATACGCAACACTTACGCCGGAGACAATGTCCAATCATCGATATGCACGCGATTCTAGCACACTGTCGGTTCCATTAACGTAAATCGGTATTTTCATTGTCGATCAATTTCGAAGCCCCCCCCCCCTTAACGTTGCCCGTTGTTCTTGAAATTCGTACGGAAATCATCGGGAATAAAATACATTTCTATCCGTTCGCTTAAAATAGTTTTCGATCCGATCGATGGCGTGAGGCTAATCGCGGAAAAACTATTCCCCCTCGGCGAACTTTGCAACTTCTCAGCACCCTTTAACCTCCATTGCAGCGGCATCGAAACTTTTCGAAAGGCGTTCGCCCCCCTAATAGCGTTATATTTTAATTAATTTTAAATAAAATTGCTTCCGGTCGGTGTGCTCGTCGAATAACAAAAATTAAACAAAGCCTCTGGTCAAATTCAAATGTTTGCAGACCGATGGTATCGACCACGGTATATATTGCAAATAATGTGATATAAAACCAAAAATTGTTAAATTCCAGATAGTATTCGTATAATTTTTTTTTTAATTGAAATTCACGAATGACAGAATCGATCGAATAATATCAGTGAAATTATTTGAATATTATTATACGTGCATATATTAAATATTAAATCGATTAAAATTGCTATAAATAAACATTTCCGCGAATAATTATCATTTACGCTTCCGTTCCTGGTTACATTAGATACAAGCAATTTTTCATCGAGTAGGCAAGTACTATACCCGACCGTAGTTTCGCCGTGGTTTACGACCGCGAAAGTGTTAACGTGGTTATTTGTATCATTATCGCCAATCTTAATTGACCTATTTTCCTCCATACTTTCTAATCTGAAATCACCGCTTCTGAACGTCTTGAAACCGTTTTGGAATAGCGTGTTCATTAATTATATTGCCGTCGTGCAGGTCACAAATTTTTCGCTATCTACAATCTGACTTTGGTAAATCATATTTTCAAGAGCCACGACCGCCCGGTTACGGTGCAACACAATCGACGAACAAACGGGTAAATAAATAAATATCTCACGCACGGGGACATTCGTTAAATGCGCGACGCTTCAACGAAACTTCAAAGGTTCGTCGAAAAGAGGTAATTAGCTTTCGTGTTTTTTTTCTTATCTGCCGTAAATTTAGTATAAGGGATGAAATTTTCACCCTTCTGATAATACCTCGACGAATATTAAACGGGCGAAGAAGTTTGTTAGACAAGTATTATGCAACCCTTCACGAAAAATAATATATACGTGTTATTATTAAAAAGTTAAAATTCCCTCTTCATCGAACGTCTCTTTTAATCAGTGAAGTTTCATCAAATTCGACCGATTCCCAGCCCTCGAACATCTGTAATCTCGTCCTTCGAAAAGGAGCATATTTATTGATATTTCTTTTAATTAGAATACGTATTCGTGCCACTGCATCGAACAAATTCAACAGAACTTGTTAAAAAATAATATTTACGCGTTCTGCTATTTTAAATATGGAGTCTGACTTCCGTGAATCCGGTGTTAAGAACCAGCGTGTCGTCGATATCCGAACAAAGTTATTATTGAATCCAATATATCCCGGTGAATCTCTTATTAGATAGAACACGATCCGTGGATGAAACGTGTTAAATGAAACCACATAGTACGCGCGTTTTAGAATCGTTGCACACGTGGGATGTCCTGAAGGGTCTCGTATACACAATTTTATTGATCGACGTGCAGCGCTGTGCGTAGACAAGGAAATTCTATAATTATACGTTGTTTTTCTGCCCCCCCCCCCCTTCTCCCCCCAGGAATGTACTTTTCAGCCCTTCTGCCGCGATAATAAAATAACTCGCTCCGTTGATCGCACCGCGAGGTTCGCAACTTTTTCTTTGTTTCTGCTTCCTTGCTTGTTGTTTTTTTTTTTTTTTTTTTCCGTTAAAAATAGTACTTATTGTTGCAGCGAATCAATACGGGACAGCCCACGTGTGCGTGTACAATAAATTTTACAGCGTCTACTAAACCGTGGTTATTGGTTAAAAATAAGAAAACGAACGCCTCGGCTGTTTCGGGAGGACGTCGACGGGGCGACGATCCCGGAATTAACAACGAGCCGATGGGATTCTAAACGTCTGACGGGTTTTTCTCGTCTTGTACGGAATACAAGGAACATGACAAAGCTTGGAAAGTAGTGCCTCGTGATAGAAATAAATAACGATATCAATGTAACAACGAATTGTATCGCTCCGCGAACAACAAGGTATAACAGTCTTAATTTGTGATTTGTCGATACGATGCCAGCTTTGGACTATAATCTGCATCCGCTATTCAATAAATATATGTATATGTATACGCGTATATAAATATCTGATAAAATTCGAAATAAAACTCACGTGCACGCGTACGAAGCCCTTTACAAACGCATCGTGAATGTATTTCATATTTTTTTTTTTTTACTTTTCTTTACGTATGAAATATAGAAGTGTCGTAGCTCTCGTCCTTACTTAAATTAAGTCCACGATAAGTACTTAGATTGTATCTTCACTTGTACGAACTAGAAACGCGACAATACGAAATGATCGATCACAATGTTTGTCTTTGGTTATCGACGATTGAGAAAGTAACGTTTCCCGGTACAAATACAGAAATTCTCGCGGAATCTCTGTTTTCCCATCAAATTATACGTAATCGTGAATTTCGATCGGAGTTCGAAGCCAGAAACATGCGACGAAACGATTTTCGTGTACAATCATCTTAATTACGAACAACAAATTCGATCTACGAATTGACACACGTTACAGCTTTTCTGCTCACAAGGGGAGGTTGTGTTTTATTTATTTACTCCAAGAGCCCTTTGACGAGACGCGAAGCGTATAAAAAAGAAAAAAAAAAAATATAGATGTTTTAATATGTTCATACACGAGTTATCAACTATATATTTACTCAATAGCTGTAAAATAGCAGGATATCTAATGTGGTGGTTAATTAATTCATAGAAGACTGATAAATCAGCAATGATTGTGCATTTTTCCAAAAATATTAATTGCAATTATATCTGTAAGAGATTATAGCTGTGACATGGAAGCACCCAATAAATTACACAAAATAAATCTAAAAAATTTGTACTGGACACGTTTAATTATAGAGTAAAATTGTTACAGTAAATCTAGGGCAATCAGATAATTGTCAAACATTACAATAAGTTTATTGGACCAGCAATAAAGAAATAAGTTCATTTAAAATAATTGAAAACGACCATTGCACCTTTCTTCTCTTTATGCAAAACTGTACTTTTTTTAAAAATATAAATTCATTCTTTTAATAAAACCATTGAAAAGTAAATATCCTGCAATTGATTTTGATGATTCGAGAGAATGGCTGGAATAAAATTGTATTATTTAATTAAAAAAAGTTGTCGAGTGATTCGACTGGTGGAAATGAGTAAAATACAGGAAAAGTACAAAACTGTACCTTTTTTGAAAATATAAATTCATTCTTTTAATAAAATCATTGAAAAGTAAATATCCTGCAATTGATCTTGATGATTCGAGAGAATGGCTGGAATAAAATTGTATTATTTAATTAAAAAAAGTTGTCGAATGATTTGACTGGTGGAAATAAGATACAGGAAAAGTACAAAGGTATCTGGATAACGGTTCCAGTTTGGACATAAATCGCGTTTAGAGTTGCATTCGAGGGGCAGAGAGTCGCGACACGAAGGCTACGAAACTTTAAAAACGTTTTATTTGGGAATATCACGTACGGTATTCCCTTTTCGACGCTTGTATTTCAATACTTGGCGAACTGGAACTTGTACTTTTGTAAGCAGAACGGGAAGAGGAATCGGATCGTGGAAAAAGAAAGAAAACTGCCCGGTTAAATGTTAAAAGGAAACCTACGGTTGGATTTTATAAATACATCGTTGCTGGTCGTGGGAAAAAGTGAGATTTACCGGGTATTGAGTTTCTTTCAAGCATTGGCTTGGTTCTTCTCTGTTATTTGTAATCTGCGCTCGAAAAATCAATGATACGTGTCGTAGAATTTATATCAAAGAACACCCACATATCCTCGCATTATTATCGACAGTCTCGTAGCGCGAGGAACGAGATCGATCGGATAACTTTAAAATTTTAATGTTTCCAAGCTATTTCTGCCCGATAATAAAATTGCACAGACACAATCGATCCCGAATTTGAGATTTTTGCAAAGATTCATCGATCTCGTTCCGAGCAACGATCCATTCGAAAAACGCGATTGAAAACCTCCCCTTGTCAGCGTGACGTATCGAATAACGAACAGACCTACCCTTTAAACGCTCGAGATCGCGTCTCGCGCTTCGCAACAATCGCCATGTATCGCGCGAATAGTCATCTAAAGTAGGTAAAACGTTTAATTCGTACCTAATCCTATAAATACAATAAACTCTTATCAACGAACAAGTACGAACACAATTATTCTATATTAAAATGGTCGTCAACGTTGTTAAAGGATCCGAACGGAAAGAATGATCGAGGACAATCGACTTGAAACGAACGGTGAACGCGTTAATCTTGCCGTCGACGCGAGATAGCCGAGACGAAAATGCGCCCGTGTATTACTTTGGAAAAAACCGAAAGTCACCTGTTCACCGGCGAGATTCTATCTGGTAATTCGTTTGCCTACGATTTTTTGTTTGTTTCATTTTTTGGGTTTTTTTTTTCTTCTTTTTTTCGGTTTTTGTTTTTTTTTTTACTCGCTCGCCGTTTTTGCGTTGGCCGCGGGTCCCGTCACGGATCGGTGCGAGACGGAGCGTTCTCCCCAGGATCTCGTTATGCTTCCGCGAAATAGACAACGATCGATACAAGCGACAATCGAAAATAGTTGCACGAAGAAGCCGCGTCTATGAGTTATAAAATTTTCTGCAAGACAATAAAACCGCTGCCCCCGTGTATTTCGGTATAATCAAGGAAGACATTGTGATTGTTCGTTCTTTAATATATATATTATATATAATATATGTATATAGATCCCCCCTCCCTTCCCCGATTCATCCGTCTCTGCCGCTTGTCCCTCTTCCGTTACGTATATTACATATTTTTTTCTTTTTTCTTTTTCTCTTTGTTCTCCTTTAATTATCCTAAAGCAATTGACTTTTATTAAGGAATGACTTTGTGCACCGTGCAGAGTATGCACAGCAACGTAGGTAGGGCCCAACCCCGCGCTAAATTCTGCGCTGCAGTCACGGCGATCGGCGCGGGTATAATTTGCACTGAAACAACCGATAAATAACACCTTCGTTCAATAAAAAAGAGCAAACGAGAATTCGTGGGAGATCAAAGTCATACATGATGTTCGGTAAACCCTGGGAAAAATTTTAATGGGGGATTCTAGGAGCCAAAATAAGACGAAAATCAATAATACCAATTTGTTGATGGAGGCTTCGTTAAAAAGTTATTAACGTTTAAACTTCTGCCAGTACTCAATTTTTTTCTCGAAAATGCGCAGGATTTCGAGGGTATGTTTATTCACCAAAAATGATTGAAATTGAACCCTGCGACGGAAAATAATTTTTCCAAAACGATTTGAAATTTTTTTTCCCGTCGAAAAATTTCACACCTTCTCGAATTTTTTTCTCCAAAATGCGCAAGATTTCGGGGGTATGTTTATCCACCAAAAATGATTGTAATTGACCCCCGCAACAGAAAATAATTTTTCCAAAACGATTTGAAATTTTTTTTACCGTCGAAAAATTTCACACCTTCTCGAATTTTTTTCTCCAAAATGCGCAAGATTTCGGGGGTATGTTTATCCACCAAAAATGATTGTAATTGACCCCCGCAACAGAAAATAATTTTTTCCAAAACGATTTGAAATTTTTTTTCCCGTCGAAAAATTTCACACCTTCTCGAATTTTTTTCTAGAGAGTGGGTAGGATTTCGGGGGTATGTCTATCCACCAAAAATGATTGTAATCGACCCCCGCAACTGAAAATAATTTTTTTAGAACGATTTGAAATTTTTTTTTCCGTCGAAAAATTTCACACCTTCTCGAATTTTTTTCTCCGAAATGCGCAAGAATTCGGGGGTATGTCTACTTTTTTTTGTAGGCACCCACGAGCTCTATTTCAGAAAAAAGTTTCATTGAAATATATTCACTATTGTAAGAGTTATGGTCGTTTGAAAATTGGACCACTTTTATGGGGTTTTTCTCACTTTACGGGGTGAAGGAACAACTTTTTCAACATTTTTAGAATTTCTACATATTCTTTGCTAAAATACGCGTTGTTCGCTTTTTTAAACATTAAAATCCCCCAATTCGTTCAGAAGTTATGATGTTTTAAACATACGGATGAAATTTCAGTGAAACATATCAATGTATGGTCAGACATTATACTTTTGGTAAGGAATTTTTTTCTCGAAAGTGGGTAGGATTTCGGGGGTATGTGTAACGACCAAAACTGATTGTAATTGACCCCTGCAATAGAAAATAATTTTTCCAGAACGATTTAAAATTGTTGAATTTAATTGTTAATAACTTTTTAACGAAGCTTCCATCAACAAATTGGTATTCTTGATTTTCGTCTTATTTTGGCCTCCAGAATCCCCCATTATAATTTATTCCAGGGTTTACCGAACACTCTGTATACGCTGCTGGATTCGTTAAAGTATTGGATAAAGTAATATCAATATTTTTAGTAATAAACTGTATTAAATAACGTACTACCATTTTGATCGACAATCTTTTGCCATCTCAATGGAAATCTCCATTTAAGCAAGACCCAGATAATACATAAGAAAAATATTTGCCAGTGAAACATGTTAATAATGTTTATCAAATAATATTTGAACAGTGATATTTGTGAAATATTTAAATACTAAATTATTCCAGTCGTCTCAGCTCTGTATGAAACAGTGCACGTACTTCGAGCTTCGACTTTGATTTTATATTAAGTGTCAATTAATTGTTAATGTTAGCTCATTTGAAATTTCGGACATATGTTGAATTAATAAATTTCGTTCTTCTCCTATTACGTAGCGAATTTTATTCTCGTCGGTCTGAGAAGGACGAGTGGCGCGAACTTATGGAATGACCTAATTCATGCATACGAGATTAATGTAGGTTGCGAACTACGCTGTTTTCTTTCTAATTGAGGAACTTCGTTTTCCGTGGAACAATAACCCTTCAAACGGGTTAACGAGAATATCTATTTTCGAGGGTGTACGAGTTTATCCAGGCTCGTTATCTTAGATTACGAAATGAAATTTGGCAATAGGTCAAACGGATTAGTGAACGTATTTCTGTGGAAAAAAATATTTGTTCCTGAATTCAATGGGTATCGCGTTTTTCCAGCGGAATTTCTAACTCTTTTTTTGAATAGGTAACTATTCGTTAATTGCCAATTATGTAACAGTGAAACAACACATCAAATTTAAAAAAATACCATCCTATTTCAAAAACATTCCCTTAGAAAAATATGTATTTTTTAAACAGACACCATATTGAAAATAATACTTCGAAACGATCAAATTGATATTAGGAATTTGTGGATGGAGTGCACTTTGTAGATATGACTCGTAGAGTTCATATTTCCTTTATGGATTTCCCAGGCAACTCTTTTTTTTTGAAATACATATTTTGTAGCGAGTGAGCCAAAGGGTAGAGTAAAATTTTTTTAAAGTGCTAAAAACGATATTTAAAATCGGTAAAGACTCGAGGAGCTTAAAATGCACTTCATCATTTGCAAGTGAATTTGTTACAGTGTACATAATCATATATTATTGAAATTTCCAGATGGATTTGGGTTTTCATCAGGATACTAAAATTAATGTGAAATTTCATATAAAATAGCAATTAACAGGAGGCATTAAACGGAAACAAATATCAATTATGCGTTATCATTACGTAACACATCAAATAATATTACGTATTTATTCGTGGTCATTAAAAACATTAATTACTATACGTTCAACCATAATTACTATTATTATAAAAATACAATAAAATTTCTTGTTGTCTATCCTTGACGTTAAAGAAATTACCTAATTACAAAGAAATTATAATTTTTAAACTAATATGATATATGTATATTTTACTTTTCTTATTACTTTATTCAGTAATATTCGTAAAATACATCGAAACCAATAGTCATAAATTCTGGAAATTTCAATAATGATTATACTGTTACCAGTATTGATAAACTTACAGTATATAGTTTACTAAAAATAAAAAACATAATAACTTTAACAAACTGATCACTAGACTGCGGATCTTTATGCAAATTCATATTTTTATTAATAGAATTATATATATGATTGTCTCAACCCTTAAATATAATAATTCGTATCTTACTTTAAATATTTCTTATATTTTTGCATATTAAGTGTATTCTGTAGTTTCTTGAGAATTAACATTCCCCATAAATGCATAAACATCCGCAGTCTGCTGATCACTGTATTAATTAAATAAAATGATGGCACTCGTGTTCCATTTATAATGTACCAAAGTTTTGTTCGAAGGCAAATGGCTCGGTTGTAGATCAATTAGTATCGAAAGTTTCCACGAAGAATTCATTAAATATGAATTGGATAATTACCCGAAACCGTTTCCTTCCTGATATCAGCGTACTCCTCGTGCAGGGGGTAGTCCGGAATGGTGGAATAGCAGCTGATTTCCAAATATCCGTTCTCCCCGGCATGCAACGCGGAAACCTCTATCGTTAATTTCGCAGTGGCGGACATCAGTTGGTCCTTGTGACGCGTGTAAGGATAGTGGTTTACCAGAGTGATATCCACCTAATCAAACAAGATGCAAACGTAATAAATAACAATTTTATCAAAGATTAGAAGGTTGCCTTAACGGGAAACAGCACCTAGTATGAGACATTAGTGACATCTTTATCAACTCTCGATGTGGTCGACGATCACAAAGGACTTAGCGATTACAGAACAAAAGATTGTGCATTTTCTTTTAGTATGTAGTCTCGAAAATATATCTACCAAATATTAAATTGAAATTTGAAAAACTAACGAAGTTATAGCCCGCTGAAATGTACCATGCGCAGGTATAACTAGACATAAAACTTTAAGTTGCCTTTCTACTTTGTGGGATTAAGAAAATTGAATTTTTTTACGTTTTCTTCTAGTATGTAGTCTCGAAAATATATCTACCAAATATTAAATTGAAATTTGAAAAAGTAAGGAAGTTATAGCCTGCTGACGTGAAACTTTGAAGCTGTTTTTCTCGAAACTACATTTTTCAGCACTGCGAATGTGATAACGAAAAAACTATTCAAGATATCAGTATGAAATTTATAAAGTATCTTTAGAACTGATCTTCCTATAGTATGAACTAGGATAGTTGCGATATATGCAATACTTTTTCTTTTATTAACAAAAAAGCAACCGAATATATGAAAATCAATACTTTTTCGTAAAATAGCTGCCATTTTGCCATTTTTTGTTTTTTTGAAAAGATCCTAGATATAACCACACTCATCTATATTAAGAATATGTTTGGTTTTTGGATTTCGGATAAATTGTTCGCAAGATATCACATACTCAGTCAAGCGTCGTTCCTAAAAACTGTTGTTTGTTGATCAACAAAAACAGCGTAATCAATAGATATTATGCGTTGAAAAAATTCATAAACATAGCTAAATATATAATAAATGTATCTACAAAACACGGAATTAATCGCTCTTTAATAGCCCGCAAAAAAAAATCACAAAGAAACATGTATTTTTCGTGTCTACAAGGTAGAATGGCCCCCTTAAAGTAAAAGCTATTATACGTGATTAACAGAACGCGAATTATGTTATTATACATCGTGTTTCCAATACACTAGTTTCCATAAACATGTTTTAAAATAAAAATCTCAACTTCGAACCCGTATTTATTACCAATATTTATCTTTTCGCCTTTGCGTTTAGAAGCAACGATAAATAGTAAAAGGATCCATGTATTTCCAAACTGTGTTCCGCGAAACATATTTCGTGCTACGCGAATAATATTAATAATATTCGATTGATTATCCCTGTTCAGTGGATGTTGGTCGAACGTATCACAACTTTGATAACGCATTATTATATCGTTGAAATGTTATTAATACGTTTGAATTGCATCGAGACGACAAAGAATGTGAAATACACCAATTTCAATAACGATCCGATTCTTCGTGCAATCGATATCTCTATTACATTCACCGTCGCATTTCGTGAAATTCTCAAAGGTGAGATTCTATTTACAGACTTCTCTGATACTGTTATATTCACCTACTAGAAATCATTTGATAAGTTAACATTAAACGTGCTCGACACGCTTCACGAGAACATGGATATATCCTTTGTAGCTTTAACGTTAACGTTGATTGAAGTATCCTGCGTCGAGTAGTAAATTCCAACTTCGTAAACTCGAGCCCAAAGAGACTCAATTTTAGCCGCGCGACGCTTAAAGGACGAAAAACGACAAAGCAGCGATATTAATAGCAACGCGAAATCTCGTCCCAGAAAATGATATTGATTAAACCGAATATTTTTGTATAATATCCATGAATTCGAGAAACAGAAACCAAGTTATTTTTATTCTCTGCGCTTACCTCTTTCCCGTTTATGAACCATGTCAAATGAGGAACTGGAAACGCAGCTGATGAAGTGCAATTCGCCTCTAAACTCTCGCCGATCACGTACATGCTTTTCTTGAACGTGATTTTCGGGTTTTCAGTCTGTGGTACTGTACAATTTCATAACACTGATTAGAACAAGGCAAGGTTTTCCTTTCATTTAAAAAATCGCAGAACAACTTGCATCAAAGTCGTTGGAAACAATTAGAGAATTCGAAATGAATTATATTTAAAAAATGAAACGAACACAATGTATTAAAAAATATAATTCTTGCTCCTTCCGCTTGTATAATATAATCAACTTATAAAGTACGTATGAGTTACCATATTTAAATAGGCGTCTCTTTAATTATTTCCAACGAAACATACTTTTCCCTACAAATTGCTTTTCTAAATATATTCGTGTTTTAATATGCACATATTGAATACTTGGTACGCAACCGGTGTAATTTATGCTAACGTCAAATAACAATTTATGCTTAAATAGAACATTATAATTGCAAAGACAATGTTTTATCGCGGTCATACGTCACAGTATAAGCGACACGATTACAGAATTAATCGATCGATCAACGAAAGGACGGGCGGTGAGTTTTATTGCATTTTTTTTTTTTATCCAACGATCGGTTGGAATAAATGTAAATCGTTCCCCTCTTGAATTTTAAACGGAAACAATACGTATATCCCGAACGTGACGGTTTAAAATTTATTCGGGCACTTTTTACGTCCGACGAAACAAAATCAGTGACGACTGTTACTTTCTCGAAATTCATTTACGTTAACTGTGAATTTTGCAATTCGCTTAACTACCGTTTACTGCAACGACAAATGCGTGCTCGTATTTTGCTTTGATCGTTTGATCGAACCTTTCGATTTCTAAATCTGTCCACTCGAGAAGAACGAAGTGTTATCTCGGTTTGTCAAAGTGAAACGTTTGAGAGATTTAAATAAAATCGTTAATACAGTAGAATCTCGATACTTTCATGCAAATATCTATGTTGCATAGTGTCAGCAAGTGGGAAGGACTGATCATTTAACAACCATTGTAATTGGAAATTGAAGTCTTACGTTCGAGACAAAAGCAGATTGTTAGTAAGGGGCCAATGATGCCACGAGATCTCAAGCATGAACTATTATTCGGCATAGCGATAATATTGTGTATGTGGGAAGTAGATTGATTGCCTAGATAATTGCACGAATCTCGATATGTGAAGGAATTCACAGTTTCGTTTTGCTGCAATTATCTAGAGTCCACGTAATAAATTATTTAAGAACAGAAAAACAGAGACTCTTTAAATTTAAATTCGAATTTCGTGAGGGTCAAGAGATGTAAATTAAATACTATTATTTAAATATGAATTTACAGAGGATCATTCTGCTTTTATAGTTTTATAATAAATTCTTTCAAAGTAGAGAGATGTTGATATACTGTATTTACATTTGAAGATTAAAGAGATCTAGAAATTTGTAAAAAATGATGATTTCTACAGATTTTTATAAGAAATTCTTTAAAAATAGAGAAGTTGATACGTTGTATTTACATTTGAAGATTAAAGAGATCTAGAAATTGTAAAAAATGATGATTTCTACAGATTTTTATAAGAAATTCTTTAAAAGTAGAGAAGTTGATACGTTGTATTTACATTTGAAGATTAAAGAGATTTAGAAATGCAAAAATGATGGTTTCTACATACTTTTATAATAAGTTCTTTAAGAGCAGAAGAATTATGACTCGTTGAATATAAATTTGAAGTTTGAAAAGATCAAGAAATGTAAGGGACGACAGTTTCCACGTACTTTCGTAAGAGATGCTTTGAAAGCAGATAAATTAGGGTACGCAAAGTTCAAATTTGAATTTTGAAAGGCTCGTGGAATCTAAACAGCCATTACTTTTTCTACCTGTTTTTTACAAGGAATTCTTCGAAACAGATAAATCGAGACTCACTGGATTCAAATTTAAATTTCTGAAGAAGTCGTGAGATTGAAATAACGATTGCTTCTACTTTCAATACTTTTATAAGAAGTTCTTCAAGGATAGAAATATTGTCACTGCTCGAATTTAAATAGTTCTAGAAGGCGAAGAAATGTACTTTTACGAACAAACTCTTTAAAAATACAGACGTAAAAATTAAAATTTCATCTACGTACTTGCACAACAAATATCTTAACACACAGAATAACTTAATCAATATTAAACTTAACCCTGTACACTGAGATGGGTATTTACATATTGAGAAACTTGTTTATATTTACAATACAGTTAAATGCCAGAGCACCAGCCCGTAACTTGCTATACAACATCTTTTTACTCGCTCAGGTGACCGCCATGAATACCAGAAAGGTTTATAATTGTCTCTTCGCGGCGTTTTATGGACGTAGGAAATTCCCAGTATACAGTTCCAGAATTAAGTTTCTCGTCGTCGAACGCAATCACTTAAGGGGCTACATACACTTTGGAGAGATAAAAAAAAGAAACAACAGAGAGTGCAAAAAGGATTACTGTATGGGCCTGGCATCGATGCCACTTGGTGAGATTAAAATTCTAATGAAAACTTTTTTTTACGTAAATTCAAAGTTCCGTAAACTATCACGTAGTTCTCTTAAAATACACCAATAACGTTTTAGAATTGTGTTACGAAAAGATAGTAAATATCCAACGCGTACGTAGCTCCTTAACACGCTCGCGAGTAAAAATAAATCGAAACTCGACGCAGGTTCTGGTCGGGTTCGAACGAAAAAAGGTCACGAGTTTTCAAGGACAGTGTTCTCTTACCTATAACTTTCATTTGAACAGTATCGGAAGCCTCGGTATAAATAGGAGTCGTCATTGAGACCTGACAGGAATATGAACCGGACGCCTCGAAACGGACGTCCTTTAATTTGATTGTCGTGCCGTTTTCCAAGTACTGTAAACAGGCGGTGCATCGTTCTGAACGTCGATCGTGTCAAACGGGTTGCCTAAAAGCCTCTTAAATAACGCGCGGCCATTGTTCCCGCGTGCCCTTTCAGACATTGTGTTCGTTATTGTCGCCTCTCGCGTGGGAACGCGCCCGAAAGAGGCGTATCGATCACTTAAAAATGGATCGAACGACCGGTCCGATCGCGTAGGTGTCAAGGTGGACGGGGGAATAGGATAAAAGTAGAGACCGTATCCGGCAAAGATAGACGTATTCCATTGAAACGATATAGGAAGCGTCACGAACCGCGATCGTCGTCGATGGTCTTCATTATTAAAGTTGCATGTCTCGGTGCACGTGCTCGCTGGTCAGTCGGCCGAGTCTGTCTCGATATTGTGTCGCGATATAATGCACGGCTGGGCTACCTTGCTTACCGTACACGGTTTCAATTTCCTCGGGTAAACCGCGTTCGATTTAAAACAGTTACGACAAGACCGTTACTCGCTTATCCTCTTTAACGGAAACCGATGCTCCTATCGAATTCCACGCTCTAAGATGTATCCAATCAGCCATACAGGCTTCCATCTCTTATTCGAGCAGACGTAAACAAAAAGAAGTTCAATTCTCAAAATAAAAAGAAAATTTCGTAATTGATTGTTCTCTTCTTTTATCGAGTTCTTTGCTAGAAAAGAAGGAACGAGATCTAGATCAAGAAATTATATTGTTCAAAATCTCCCATTTTCAAAGTGCAGTTCTTTTTTAAAAATTAAATTGCATATTTAGTCTTTTACTCGAATCAACTTTTGGACGAGATTTTTAAAATAAAATCTGAATTCATTCTTCAAAATAAAAATAAAATTTCATAATTAAGAGCTCAAGAAATTGTTCAAAATCTCCCATTTTCTGCTAATTTCACACCTCACCGAGAAAGTGTAGTCCTTTTTTAAAAATTGAATTGCATACTTTGTCTTTTACTCGAACTTTTGGAAGAGATTTTTAAAATAAAATCTGACGAAGTATTAATTTGTCAAATATTGCACTCTACGGAGGATTGTCATTCTGGGAGAGTTGATCGATCGCCAGTAAAAAGGATCTTAAGAGAAAACATCCGTTCAAACGTAACAACATTGAACGCCTCGTCTCGAGTCCTGTTACTTTAATAATTCTGGTAACGAAGGCTATTTATTCCAAGTCCAATAACCCTCCGGTAGTGGCGGAGTTGGAGGGTGAGTAAAAACAATGTTCGTAAACTGGGAGTAAGGTTATTGGCATAAGCCTCGGTGCTCCGAGCATCGTTACGCAGAACTACGCCCCGGTACTTTTATACACGGAACGTTGATCTGCGTACGGAAATATGCAGTTCCATTTAGAAAGAAAATGCATCTGCTCTTTTTAGGTGGCACGTTGCGCTTGGGAAAGGAGCTACATACGAAACTCACTTCCATATTAACCCCGGTAATTCCGTGCGAGTTTTCAAATAGTCCATTCGTCCCTTGGAAAGGTCTAGATACGTTTCATAGCATACTTTCGCCCCCAGCGAAGCGTGCAAGATAGTTATGAGATGTAAATGATATGATTGAGGCCATTAAAGCAGTGAGAGAAGGGTAAATGGTCTAAATAAAGCAGTTAAACGGTTTTCTGTTCCTGGAACTACGTTGCATAGGTTTGTTAACAGTAATGAGCCCCTGATGTAACAGTTAAAGTCGCTTTCGCGTCGAAAACCGAGGATTCTATGTTGCCAGAAACTCTCAAGCGTAGAAGTTCATATTTCAAAATAAAAATAAAATTACCCAATTGAAAGTTCTCTGTTTTTATTTCGAGTCCTTTGATGGAAAAGAAGAACGAACAAGAACTAGATAGAGAAATTATTATATTAAGATTTTTAATAGAAAATAAATCAAATTGATATTTGTTTATTCCAATAAAGAATTCAGTTGGAAGATCTCGCAAATCGACGATTTTTATAAAATTTTCGCGAGAAATAATTCTTGCACGTTAATCGCGTATTTTTTTTATCGGGAAATGATTCATAGCGAACGCCCGGAAATAGCCTTAAAAGTTTGGACCGTTAACCCTATTTGGTCCAATATCGTGGAAACTGTTACGAGCAAGGAAAAAGTTTAAATGTGAAGATCGTGTATTTTTGGACAAAGTTAGCTAGGCAACCAGTTTTTAGACAATATCTCTTTGAATAATGTATTAGAAACGAATATATTTTCGTTCATTTTACTCGTAAGGTGTTGGCATACAGTCAGTACAAACATGGTGTATGTGCGTAATTCTGAATGTAAAGCACGACTTAAAATTCTTTCCAATATTCATCTTTTCATCCCTCATCTGTAAATACATTCGAGTTCAAAGGTTACGATTTTAATACTTCAGCAACTGTATATCCGAGAAGCTATCAGTTTTTTGATAGATGTATCTGAACTGTCACAAAAGGCTACAAGTTCCATTTAAGAGATCAATGTTTTTAAATCTCCTCCACGTATCAGGCAAGAAACTATCGCTATGCTTTTCTAGTAGTCACGCAACCTTTTTTAACAACACCACTGCCTATTGTTTAAAGTAGCTGTGATATTAAATTTGGTAACCAAGATCCACCTTAAACCAGTCAAAATGACCCATTCGTAATTTCTAATAATCGACTGAATTTTTGAAAATTTATCGTAATTTTTTATAAGAGAATATATAAACACTTATTTCCGTTGCATTATATATTTCTTCCTATCGTTTCAATTTCTTTGGTATAAATAAACACACTATAGTTGTCGGTAGTTCTAGTGTTAAATATCTATCGATTACACAGCCCCGGTTTATTATTGTTTTCAAGTGAAAATACGTTTAATACAGAAGGGCAAGTGGAATAGGAGCGTGTCTGGCCGGGCAATTAGGGAGGAATGAAAGTGTGGCCTCCCATGCTCGCCACCAGAGGGATCGCGTTCTCACAAGCGCTCGACCGACCCCTCGATTGCTACGACTTCCCAATATCTCGTTAACTAACCGTCCACAACACCACACTCGTCGCATGATGCATGTAAACGAGGTTTTTGAAAGTTTTCCCTCGAACAACTAATCCAAGGAAAACCACAATAACACACATCCTCATAAACATTACAGATACTAACAGACATTTTATTAAGTGCAGGTTATAGAGATCCAGCTCAGGGTACTGCGGAAAAATCAGGAGAACAAGATAAAAAAAAAAAAATTTCCCAATATTGCAGTAGTCTAAGGCAGAGCCTGCTAGAAGCCCTTTTCTGTCCTATGAATATCACGAGTTCCTACCCTCAGCTAACAGCGCCACCAAAACTAATAAAAAAGAGAAACAACAAAATTGGAACGAAGGCATATTCGATAAAAGTAAAAAGTAAAACTGTTCGAGCGATTAAATAATAAAATTGCCCGTGTTAAGTAACTCTTATATTTTCCTGGATAAAAGAGGATACTTTTATTCAATGTTGACTCTTTATCATCGGGGGCGGTCGAGTAGCCCACACCTGAATTGTAACGTCCACTGACCGTATTATCGTAGCCGGATATACGTCTTAGAGGGTGCAGGGTAAACATAACAGACCGCGTTTAGTGGGCGATAAAGTGTACGCGTCGGTTTTTCTGGGTTATTCTTGACGTTTCGGGTACAATGCAGTCTTGTAACTTCGAGTAAATCGTGTGATGCACGAAACACCGTTCGCGACACGATGTGCTCGAGAATCGTGCAATCTGCATTTCGTAATACACTCTGGTTCTCTCTGTCTCTGATATTAAAACAATTTCGATGATTAATCGGTTTTCAATGTAATTTAACACCTACGAATTGTATCATATTATTATTAAGCATCGAATCACCCTCGACTGTCACTTTTGAAGAATTCATTAGCGATGGGTATTAATTAACGAATTTACGCGTCGTGATCATTTAATTACTCTGTTATACTAAACAGAGTAGGAGAAAATAGTATAAGCGATTATACGAATTTAGTAAATACGATACAATAATATTATCGATGCAACGTGGACTTTGTTAATCATTTATCAATAAACTTTCTATCATTATAATAAATAATCCCATTCGCAGTAATTCGAATAATACATTGATTACAATATTGTTATATTAATAATGTTTCATAAAAGTTTAATGTTACATGCACGAAAGCTACAAATTCATCCTTCCTACCACAACTGTAATATACACGCATAGCGTGAAATAATGGTTATTATATCATTTCATCTGCTTACACGCAAACATATCGTTATTAATTTTTTATTAACCCCCGTGTAACGCTGTGGAACATGAATATTCAACGTGGTAATACGCGCGATTATTTCGACACTGTTCGTTTGAAATAGGTTAATCCATGTAAATGCGATTAAAAGTAAATTGAATCGCGTCTCGGTAATTTTTAAACGTTTTGTTTGCCGCCTGAATGGTTTCCGTTACGTTGGATGCCGTAGAACGGCTACCGTTTTACTTTCAACGTCTAATTTCTGATAATAATCCGCACGCTTTCGCGAGAAGAAGATTCAGACACAAACTCGGAACGAATGCAACGAAACATCTCGCGAAATAATAATGAAATGAACTTGACGCAGCTGTTGATGGTGCTCGGGCAAGTAGAATGAATCGAATCTAGTCAGACAAGCATAACGCGCTGCATTCGATTCAGTCAGTAGAATAAGATAGCGTATGGCCAGACGCGTAAAGTAGGACGGGACTTTAATTACTTTACTGAAATACTGGTTTACCGAATAATGTTCACTTCGACCATTTATGTTCCATGAACATTTTCCTCCACAGAGATTCAAACATTTTCAAAGGTTTATAAAAAGAGACGGTTCATCATAAATTTCATTTTCCTTAAATAATTTGTGTTTTCTTTTTGTTGAAATAACTGCTTATTCCATTTAAGTATACATTGCAAATGTGATTCGTTTGTTTTCTATTCGATATAATCGCAAATGTTTCTCCAGAATATCTCTAATCGGAATAAATGTTTCAGTGAAAAGGATTTCACCGTTCGAATGTTTTCAGAGTGACTGCATGCGTTCATTGGCACGTGAGCCCATCAAAAACAAACTGACTTCAAATTAAACGATTAATCAACCAGTATTAATTACACAGATTGCACTTTAATGGCAGCTCCTGTAATTCGTGCGAATCGTTAAACTCGAAGTGTAATGAACGCTGCCCGAGGAACCCACGATTTAACTTAAAACACTGAAACGACAGTTTCGATCATTTATTGTTGAACAATATATTTTTTCGTTGGAGATCGTTGAACTATTGATTCATACTTGGCAGACCTTAAAGCGTGGCGCCGGATCAGTTCGTGCAATAAATCCATTCGCGTCGACGTACTTTAATATTTTCTTATAAAAAAAAAGAGTTGTTTTCCATCACGTAAATTGAATTTTTGAATTCATGGCCAAACGATGCAACGTTTATAACAATTTAAATGTAGGAAAGGTTTTTAAACGAACGTAAGTAAGTGTACAATGTTCGTTCTCGTTTTTGCGGTCGTTCGGATAATTATGGGAAGGTGAAGTAACTTTGTGAGCTGTTTCTTGCAACATTTAACTTTTTGCGGATTTCAGCGGATGGATGGCCGCCGGTTTTCTGACGTTCCGGACATTTAATTGTTCAGAAATAGAAAAACACGAATTCTGAAACTTCGATATCCGCGTTGTCTGTCGCGCGAAGAGACACCAACGCGATCGCAAATAGGAAAAGCGTCAGAATGTTAAGAAAAAGCGCAATAATTACGTATGCAAACGAATAAGAAGAGAATTTAGTTGTTTTTCACGAAGCATCGAAATATCTCGAACGGGCATTAAAAACGAGGAAATTAACTAACGAAGCTCTGGCATTTTTATATGATAATAAAACAAATAACAGATAATATATGAATATTAGACTAAAAAATAAATTGAAATTCTGAGATTCGAGGGGTCAGATAATTTCTTGAATAATTAAAGAAAGTGCAGCATATTTGGAATACCGTTGGTAATTTTAGATAGCGAAGTATTTAAATAACGTTATTTGATTTGATATATTGCAAATAGAGGGCAGATCGAAGGGTCGCCAATTTGTAAAAGTTTTTCATTTAAATGAAATTTAATAAATAATTTAGAGCAAATCATTTAATCTGCTTACTTGCGTATTAATTTTTCAATGGTTTTGAGAATACAAAATGCGACGCGAAATTTTAGTTTCAACGTTGATAATTTGGAATACCAAAAGTAATGTAACGTGGAATATTCCATGGCGTGGTTAAGCTTTTCTGGAATGTAAATTACAGCGAAGACAAAAGGGGCGATGAGTGGAGGGGTGCAGTGTGAAATGTGTGAAATGTGGGGCTGAGAATATGCTGGTTATGACTCCGAAAATTGCACCTGTAACTGCAGCAAGTAAATTTTAAGACTGTGTTGTGATTGCTGTGGCTGACGGTAAGAGAAAATAATTCTATCGTCTGCTTGCTTCTCCAAAAAATGAAGATAATTTTAACAAAACCGTTGCTTCGTATCATTTTTCAATTAGCCCAATGTTTCGTTACTACGTTTAATGTAAAAGTTTCTTGATTTTTTTACAATATTGTTCAGTTTTGTTCCTTTCATTTAAAAATAATTGGTATTCCAAATACAGTGAGCTTCCTCTCTCGATACAGATAATGGTTAAAAATAATTATTTTCTCTCTGTTTCATTGAAATAAGTTACTCATTATAGCTGATCGAATTTTATCTTAAAAAAATACATTTTTGTACGAAAGAAAATTTAATTTTCAGATTACACTGTGCGTCGACTGTACCCTGCGTGTATAGTGGTCGAACAGTATTGATATTTTATAATTTCTGGCTGTTAAAGTGTTCAACGAGAAACGATCTCGACGTATGGATCGACGATCCAGCAAATTTAACTGCCACAATGGTATCTGTTTCAAAGTACCGTGTTCTGGGGAAAGAGTATTCTTCTTTTTTTTCTTTTGAAAACGCATAAAAATGAAATTGATTGACCAGAATGATATAACAGGCGTGCGTGTCTACGTTGTGAGATACCCAGGCAGAAATGAATTCCCGCGTTACACATTTCAACGCATCACAAAAACTGCCGGCACAATACGAAACACGGATACGTGAGAACAGCACGTAACTCAAACACGCGATCATCTATCGCGATATCGCGGAATCATTAAACGCATTGCATCGTCACATTCCTTTTTCGTGCAAAGCACTCGCATGCGGGTACCAGTGAACTACTTTTCATACACTTGTTAATGGGAACACTTCAATACATATTTTACACGACTGTTAAGTATTTATTATCACGCAGAAAACATAATACAGCTCTATGGACACCCACTGCGCTATTTATCGAACAAACTCGGTCTAAATTTGTTTTACCGTGGCTGTGGATCCAGAAAATTAATATTTAACTTGCTCTTGGGGGGTGGAACATAAAACTACAGTGCGTAACAAAAAGTTGTACGCACCCACTTTTTTTCGATTATCTAACGAACGAGTTGTGATCCATGGATGAAACTTTTATATAATAAAGAGCATCTAAAAACACCTATTCTTATTATTTGTATCATCCGAATTGGAGCACACGTTCCCGAGTTGTGCAGCCGGAACAGTTTTCGGCTGGAACGAAAAGTTGTACGCACTTAATAAAAAATTAATTTAGTAATATATAAGACGCATTTTATTGATGGATACAGTGTTTTAATAATTAATGGGACCTCCTTTATTTTCTAATACTAAAAGGAGTCTCCTCGGAACACTTTGGATCAGTTTTTTGAGGACTTCCGGTGTGATCTCGTTCCAAGCGTCGATTATTGCGTCCTGTAGGCCAGCAATGGTTTCGAATTGTCGATGATCCTTATACACATCTCTGGCTATAATTCCCCAAACATCTCAATAATATTCAGGTCCGGACTTATAGCCGGCCACTCCAAAACCGCGATATTCTGGTCCGCGAAAAACTTTTGGGTCTCTTTCGAACGGTGAATAGCGGCATTATCTTGCTGAAAAGTATCTCCATCATCCATATGAGGCAAAAGGAATACTTCAAGAGTGCGAATGTAGTCCTTCGAAGCCTGTCGACCGCTTAGAAATGCAATCCGCGATTTCTTCCCGAGTTTGAACGCGTCCCAAATCATAACACTTCCTCCGCCGACTTGCCGTCTGACCTTCCGGGGTTGTTCCTTCCTGGTATCCTGCCAGCAGTAGTCCCATCTATCAGGACCATCCAGATTGAACTTCTTTTCATCGGACCACCACACATTATTCCATTCGGACGTCCACGCATGGTATTTCCGTGCGAACTCCAACCTGGCTTCTTTATGATGCGATTTCATTCTTGGTTTTCTGGTGATTTTCCGATATTTGATATTGGAATCTTCAACTAATCTTCTTCTAATAGTTGTATGGGATACCTCGTTCTTCAGTTCCGCGGAAATCCGGCGTGTAGACATCTTCCCGTCCGTGGCCAGCTTCTTGATCCTCCGAAGTGATCGCTCATCCAACTTTCTTGGACGCCCTGGAGACTTCTTCTTTCCATAATTTTCACGTAATCTGATGAGGTTTCTAATTACTCCATCAGATCTACCAAGTTCTCTTCCAATTTGTCTCATTGACTGTCCGCGACCGTACATTTCCCATGCACGGTTCTGCTCCTCCACGGATAATTTCGCACCACTTCCCATCGTTGTAGAATCAGAACTACGAGCGTCGATATCGCAACGACAAAAGACGAGTGACGATATTGTAACGACAAAAGACGTTCGTCTATTTCCAGTCTGATTCTACAACAATGTTTTATTAAGTGCGTACAACTTTTCGTTCCAGCCGAAAACTGTTCCGACTGCACAACTCGGGAACATGTGCTCCAATTTGGATGATACAAATAATAAGAATGTGTGTTTTTAGATGCTCTTTATTGTATAAAAGTTTCATCCATGGATCACAACTCGTTCCTTAGATAATCGAAAAAAAGTGGGTGCGTACAACTTTTTGTTACGCACTGTATAATTAAATACTGCTTCTAAGGTAAACAATAGAAGCACTATCATACTTATTCGACATTATTATTTATCACCACGAGAAATATTCAACATAACTTTATAGACACTGCCATATGCAACTTGTATCAAACAAAAGAAAATATTTTTATTCTAATCTTCGTAAGAAATAACTTGTATTTTGTATTGTATTATTTTGAAATGAACGCTATTGAAAGTAAAAATAAATTTAAAAAAAATTTTGCTGTTATTCAAGTTAAATTATGTTTCTGGAATAAAAATAAATCGTTTTCCGAAAAATCCGACAAATCCCTCATTCAGCGTGCAAAGGATAAAAATGCAATAATAATTGCATTCAAATGCAGTAACAAACTGTGTGATAAGTAACGTGAAAATGTTTAACTTGAAAGGAATTTTTTTTGTTCCATTAGCGTCGCATATTTCCGTCTGGAAAATCATTCCTTTGTGAAAATAGAAGCGATAAATATGACCGTACGATTGCTTAAAAGCGCATACGTATAATTAAAATGTACCGTGTGGCTGTGCGCGTTAATTGCGTCAAACTCACCTCCATGTTCGCGCCGTCTACCCGCCATTCGACGAATGGCGGTTTCCTATCCTTTATGTACTGCAATATCTTCTTGTCATCTTTCATGAATTCGACTTTATGCAAATAAGCATCTGAGACACTATGGTTGCAATGCAGAGTAGCTGAGCTGCCGTATGTTACGTAGTGCGGTGCTATCAACTGCACATACACCGTGGATGTTGCATCTGTAAGCCACCGACAATAATATCTCATTAAACCACTTGACTTCCGATCGAAAATAACAGCAGAAATTATTCAATTGTTCGTCTACAACCGTGCATCTCGTCGACGAAATCTCCAAATATTTTTAAGCGTTAACGTTCTTCTCCGATTCATATTTCAGCGTTTATTTTGTATCATCGTTCCATTCAGTTCTTTAGTGGATTTTCATTGCGTGAAAGCGAGAATTCGAAAATTTCGAATATAGAAGAAACGTTTCATTGTTCGAATTAAATTACACAGCGGTGAAAAATTCGCGTAAAGTATGGAAACTGGAACGGTAGACTGGGAATAAACAATAACGCGAACGAGACTGTGGTGTGCGGTTATAACAAAAAAAATAAAAATAAATAAATAAATAAAAGAGTGGTTTAACAACTCGGTATTGCGGAAACGGGAGAAATAATTAATGGACATCTGGAAAGCTTAATGCATCCTGCCATTGCGGCTGATTAAAAATGCATTGTAAAAATGCGTTTTACAATGGCAACGTTTAAATCGTTGAAAATATCGTCGGCAGCTCGTTCGGAAAGGCAGCGGGAAACTTTGTTACGTGCAACAACATACTGTATCGCCGTTCGCGGAACTTGGTCGATTACAAAATTGTTAATATTCATGCACGGAACAAACTTGATGTTCCCGTTGGTCGTTGTTACGAAAACTTAAACGGTATTAAATATAGTGTGAAACGTATCTCCGTGTCCATGTTAACTGGGACATCTATTAAATCAATGAATTAAGACACTGCATGTAAACGCGCCTGGTCGTACTATGTTAACCATGTTGTACATGAATTTGTATAATCGTATCAAGCTTAATTTATCACTTAATTTAATTTGAATTATATTATACATATACATTACTACCAGTATAACTGTAATACAATTCTATGTACAACATGGGTTCGATCGAGGGTCTCGGAGGAGCCAAATGTTAATTCAAACATTTCTCATCTAAATTTCGATCGTCCAAAAGCGATCAATGTGTTTTAACTTTTAAAATTTGGACGAAAATGTAAATTCTTTATGCAGAGAACAATTTTAATGGGGGATTCTAGAGGCCAAAATAAGACGAAAGTCAAGAATACCAATTTGTTGATGGAGGCTTTGTTAAAAAATTATTAACGTTTAAATTTTCGGTAGTACTGAATTTTTTACTCGAAAATGCGCAGGATTTCGGTGGTATGTGTAATGACCAAAAATAATTGTAATATACCTCCGCAGCTGAAGATAATTTTTTTAGAACGATTGGAAATTTTTTTTTCCATCGAAAAATTCACACCTTCTTGAATTTTTTTCTCGAAAATGCGTAGGATTTCGGGGGTATGTGTATTCACCAAAAATGATTGTAATTGATCCCCGCAACCAAAGATAATTTTTCCAAAACGATTTGAAATTTTTTTTTCCATCGAAAAATTTCACACCTTCTCGAATTTTTTTCTCGAAAATGCGTAGGATTTCGGGGGTATATGTAATGACCAAAAATGATTGTAATATTCCTATGCAACCGAAGACAATTTTTTTAGAACGATTTGAAAATTTTTTTTTCCGCCGAAAAATTCTCACCTTCTTGAATTTTTTTCTTGAAAATGCGTAGAATTTCAGGGGTATGTATAATGACCAAAAATGATTGTAATATACCTCGGCAGCCGAAGATAATTTTTTTAGAATGATTTGAAATTTTTTTTTCCTTCGAAAATTTCACACATTCTCGAATTTTTTTCTAGAAAATGGATAGGATTTCGGGGGTATGTCTATTCACCAAAAACGATTGTAATATACCTCCGCAAACGAAGATAATTTTTTTAAAACGATTTGAAATTGTTGAATTTAATTGTTAATAACTTTTTAACGAAGCCTCCATCAACAAATTGGTATTCTTGATTTTCGTCTTATTTTGGCCTCTAGAGAAATTTAATTTGTTTATAAACGACGAATGGTCAAAGTTTTTCTTCCTACGTGTAAAAAAAAAAAACTGGAAAATTGTTGCTTTCACAACTTTATTCTGCCTCGTATCGTTACGAAGTTATATTGAAAAAAACGCGAAAACTTTGTGGGATTGATTTCGCCAGTCTGAGCATTCGCGGTGAAGAAAAATTATCCGTGCATACTTCATTATGCTCTAGATTCGCGCAAAGTTTCGTTCAAATTAGAATTTCCGGGTTCGAGTACTTCCGTAAGGTGGAGCAAAATAAAAGTAAGAGAAACAAGTAAACTAGAATCGTGTATGGTCAGACGAGCACAACGGCGTGTTGCTGAACAAGTAGAGTACGGTCATTATTGGACGGATAAACGAAATAAAAATTACGATAAAAGTAAAATAAAGGCAAACGTAATTTATGTTCTACTTACTGCAACATCCATTACTTAAAAGGAACAAAAATTTTATTTCATTTACAACCTAATGTTAGATTATTATTTAAAAATTTCCAAATTTTAGAATCTGCTTTGGTCACGAGACATATTAAAACCAGGATTATTAATTTTAATTTTGTCGCTTCATGAGAATATGGTCAAACGAACTATAATTGTATTAACAGTAAATTTAGGTATTAATCTAGCATTAACTAATGGATATTCAATGTTGACACAACCCGGTGTGTCGAAGCAAGCATATATTAATGCGACAGATTCCTGGGCTGAAAGTAGGTCGTCTAGGATGATCAACGTTTCCGTCTTAAATTCCAAGTTCCAAAAGATACGTATCGGATCGCTTTCATCAACTAATGCACGAAAAGAATAGCATAATCTCAAGTATCGACATAGATACAAAATGGTAATAGAAAAATTTCGTTGCAACACGAAATAGATCGAACGTACGTAATAACAAGTAGACTAGATTCGTGCATGGTCAGACAAATACGCTAGGCTAATACCTGAGCAAAGAAACAAACAGAAATGGAACGGGGGGAAACTAATAAAAGAACTAACAGAGAAACAAAAACGAAATCACGAGTAATTTGTATTTTAATAATCGTGAAATCCGCGACTTTAAAGGACGAATAAAAATTTATTTCGTATATAACGCGTACTCGTCAAGACAAACTCTTTACCTCCGCCACAAACGTTTATTCCCCTCGTACGATTTTAATCGTCGAAATGAGATTTTTTAACGTTCTAAAACGTTTTAAAACGTTCGAGTTCGCGTTGCTCCTTTTGCAATACGCGAATGTGAGAATGCGAAATTTCAATCTCCTTATTAAATCGTGTACATCGTCGAAACCGCCTACGGTTACGCTATACACAGTCGTCGGTACGCCGAAGGAAGCATCTATTAAATTCGACGATTCCTGGGCTGAAAACTAGGTCGTCTAGGCTGATCAAAATTTTCGTGCCCAAGTCCCGACGTTGATCCAAACCCCATCGAATACGATTAATCGGATTGCGTACGGTATACGTACTGAGTATGGTTTGACCGTTTAACGACGGCGTCAAAAATACAACAAGGCTAATGAAACTGTACGGAAGAATGGAGAGGTTTCGGTTGACTATAACTACTTGTGGCAGTACCCTGTTGCTGGGAGGTGTTACTGTATCGATCACTGAAAGCGCGTGTTACCAACACGCGCGCAAGTGTATTCCGAAGCTTTCAAGACGTTCCAAAAGCACCATATTCGAAGAGAACGAAACGGTAGAAACGGAAGTGAACGCGCGTACACTGCGTGGAACCATTATGCACGCGATTTAAAACGATTCTCGGTCTCATCGAGACATTAATCAAATCGCAATTCACGAATCTGACGAATACTTCATAAAAAGCAAATAAATTGTAACGAATTTATGGTTGGTATTGTATTTTCGTTTCAGCCTTGTTACACGTACTTCATTCAAGGATTGTTAAAAAAAAGTAAATATGGGCGGTACAACTGCGAGCACCAGTACCATAACACTATGAATATCAGCACACCACGAAGTTTGTTCGAAATCTTCATAAAAATCAATGTGATTCGTTGAAATTCATAACTGTGTCGTGGTTTTCTCAGTTAAATAAATTAAAAGCGAAATAGAAACTTTTGGTTGCTTTTTAAATTATTCGTTCAAATAGTATTTGTTTAAACGCTAAGTAATATATTTTAACATTTTATACGACACTGTAATTACAAGGAAATTGCATGGAAAATAGGCTATTTAATTGCAAACTGTTTTAGACACATTATATATGGATTTCTCATACCGAAACGATGTTTAAAAAAATGTATAGAAAAGAATTTGATGAATACAAAGAAAAATTTGAAAAGACCGCGAAAAATGCGAACGTATTAATTATACGTACATACGTGTTGCTTAATTAATAACAATCGGTTGATTGACAGTAAACTATTGCGAGAACGTATGCAACGAGACTGTTGAATTGATTTCAAATTATCTTATTACGTATCGTGATAACATATCTTTATAAATAAATTACGAAAAAAATATGTGCAAGTGACATAGTACGTTGTTATATGTTTCGCAAGATTTGCAATGTTTGTATTGCGAAACGGCGGTCGTTGGGATGACTTTCATCGAAATTGCAAAACATATGAAATATTACATGAGACACTTATATAAACGAATTACGATGAAAAGTGTACGGATAAACTTGACAAGATCGGATGGGTTTTACACGATTAAAGTTTCCGCCGTGGTTCAAATTTTATGACACGTAAAATCGAATTGGAAAACAATTCGTTTGTTTCCGTCATAATGAGAACAGAATGAACTGACCGGGTGGGTGTTTACGATTGCGTGCGACTTACATGAAAATAATTGAAAAATATATACGAATACGATTTTTCCCCAGTGTCCTGACTGACGCGGCATTGTTGTATGGATTCTTCGTGTTCTTTCTACGTAACTGTTACTGCCTCTACGTTATTTAATTACGAAAAAAACGTGCTTCTATTTTGTACAGTGGTGTGCCTTTAAACTACACAACTTCGAGCCGAGTCGGCGCTACAACTGACCAAGCTTTTCGATCGTTCGACCAACTCCCATAGAATATGAAACATAGAGTGGAGGCTCACTGTTTCCCGGTTTATCAGGGATCTTCAAAATCGGATTTGCTAATGGGCCTGGCATGAAGTAAACGATAAAGAATAGTTACCCTGGTTAATGTCAATTTGATATATTGGCGATAAGCAAATTTTAGTTAACGCATTATTACGAATGTTTTAAATATGCTTTAACGCTATTATTCAGCTAAAAGATCTAGTGTAATATTTTATATAGTTCTATTGATAAAACTTTCTTGATTATTTTACCCCGAATTCAATGTTGCAACTAAAATTCAATATAATTCATATACGTTTTCATATATTTGAAAATATACAAGGAATTTACCACAACAAATCAGTAAAAATATATCGAAAATATATTACGAAAATATATTACGGAAATAGAATTGTTTCTCACATAAGTAGTAGTGAATAACAAAAAACATGTGTTTCTATTTTATTTAACTATTTAAGTTCATGTTTGTTATGTCAATTCTTTAGATTAAAGAGGAACCGAAAAATGTTCGCTTTTTTTTGTATTTTTTACAGATATACAGGAAACTAAATAATTCTTAAAATACGAAAGATGTAAATAATATTTATAATACGAATGTGTAAATTTTATTATCTATTATATAATGATATATATGTACTTAATATAAAAATATTGTATTGTTACGTGGCATGGTATAAAAGTATTTCTAAATGAGCGACAAGTGCAATACAATACAGTTCCTTCCATACGTCGTAGTTTGACGTATTCATGTAAATATACTGCGTGCCTTTTGTCGTGATATGCTCGCACGAATACGTTTAAAATGAAGTACGTATGAATTATACGATTAGTGAAATTGAGGTAAAATCAGAGATGGAGAGACACGAGGAAGATGATTTAGAAGATTTAAATTCCACTATTTGCACGCTTCCACCGAACGTGCAAAACGTAATCGAACAGGTTAGGATCACAGCGAAATTGTCGAACTGTTTACAGCTGTCATCTATCCTTAACAAGTAGTTGCCGTTTTCTTATCAGCTTCAATACTTTTTCATCGTTTATCAGTTCCTATATGTACTTTATCGATAAAACAATATCACATAAAAGAAAACTAAGATGTATTATAGTTAATTGAGTTTGATAACCCTTTCTCCAGATGTCAAACTTACCTTGCACGACTTCTAACACATTTGTTACGATAATTCGGTTGAAAAACTACCCACTACAGCCCATGTTACATTTTTAAGAATTTTATATAATATAGCATTTGTTTCAATCATGTTAATATGATAAAATATATTATATAGGTTAATCGAATATTCTAAATAATTGCACGATGCAATCTGTACTTCGCAATTCATTTTTTTAAACAGATGTAATGTTTAGATTTAAATGAGATATTTTATATGTATCTTTTATTGTTAGGTCTTGCCTAGTACAGATCCATTGGATCAGCCGAACTTTAATGTAGTGGACTACATAAATTCGCTTTTCCCATCGGAACAATCCCTCTCCAACATCGACGTTGTAGTGAGTAATATGGAATTAAAGATATGGACCATAGATAAAGAAATTCGGTCTGTGGTACGCGGTCAAACGAACGTAGGTCAGGATGGAAGAGCTGCGCTAGAAGATGCACAGAAAGTTATAAAACAATTATTTGTGCATACTAAAGATATAAAGGATAAAGCGGAACAGTCTGAAGAAGTAGTCAAAGAAATTACAAGAGACATTAAGCAATTAGATTTTGCTAAAAGAAATCTTACTGCTTCGATAACTGCTTTAAACCATTTGCATATGCTTGTAGAAGGTGTGGATACTTTAAGGTATTATGTCCTTAAAGTTATTTTTATTATTGAAAATAAACTTATCATAATTTATTAAATATAATTTTACTCAAATGTTTTTTGTAGGGTATTAACGCAAAAGAAACAATACGGGGAAATTATTTTGCCATTACAAGCTGTAATGGAAGTAATGCAACATTTCAATAGTTACATGGATATACCTCAAGTAAAACAGTTGTCCGACGAAGTATGCAGCACTTAAATTTTTCGATACCATAATCAATGCGCGTCGTATTTATTAAAATTTTCGTTTAAAGGTGCGCCAGGTGCATGTTGAATTGGCCCAACAAATTACCGCGGATTTTAAACAAGCATTCTCTGGTCAGAATCCTAAATACTTTAATCAACTAACAGAAGGCTGTTTAGTATTATCTGTATTAGATCCCAAAGTCAAGTATGTATATTTATTATGTTAAGTAGTGGTGGATTCTATCCTTAATTTTAAAGCACTTAAATAGTACCAAGGTGATCGTAACAAACTCGTCTTTTTCACAAGGAAAGATCTGCTCACCTGGTTTGTAGGTATTCAATTGCAGGAGTATGCACATTTATTCGATGAAAATCAAGATTTCGCATGGTTAGATAAAATAGATCGACGTTATGCATGGATAAAAAAACATTTGGTCGACTTCGAGCCGAAATTCGGAACGATCTTCCCGCAAGATTGGGAGATTTCGGAACGAATTGCCGTACAATTTTGTCACGTTACACGGGAAGACTTAACTAAATTAATGCATAAACGACGTTCTGAAATAGATGTAAAATTATTGCTTTACGCGATTCAAAGAACGAGTAATTTCGAATCGTTATTAGCGAAAAGGTTCAGCGGTGTTACTTTAGACAATACTGAAACGGTAAATAAAAAGATCACGGTCACTGTAGACACTACAGATAAAGTTCCGGGCAACCCATTTGAAGAAAATGAACAGGTACCATGTTTGAACGTGTACAAATACAAATCACTCTTGCAAGGAACGTATTAAAACGTTCTTCTGCTTATTAGGTACAAATTGAGAAACCAAAACCATCGCCATTTTCAAATCTCATAGGGAGATGTTTCGAGCCGTATCTAAACATCTACATAGAAAGTTTAGATCGCAATTTGGCAGACTTGATGGACAAATTTGTATCAGATTCTAAAACACAACCACCCGGTGCTAAAGATTTCGATGGGATAGAAGGTCCCAGTAGTGTTTTATCTTCGTGCGCAGATTTGTTTGTATTTTATAAAAAGTGCATGTTGCAGTGCACGCAACTTAGCACTGGCTCGATTATGTTAAATCTAGCTGAAACGTTCCAAAAGTACCTACGAGAATACGCTTTTAAGATACTGCAAAATAATTTACCGAAGTAAGTAAAATACGTATTCGATGTTTGAAACTATTTTGTGATCTTCAATAATGTAAAATCTATTATAGAATTGGGGGCAGTGCTGGAATTGCCACAAGTATGAGCAGTATAACGCGTGATTTTCGAGATCTCTCAACTTCCGGTTTCATACAAAACTTTCAAAGTTTTTTGAAAGAAGGCGAAAGCACTAGATTTAGCAAAGAAGAACAATCACGCATATGCTGGTAAAGGTTTGCTCCTTGGCCTTATTTTTGTTAGCATAATATTTAAGAAGAAATAAATTATACGAATATGCGTTTCAGCATATTGACAACGGCTGAATATTGCTTGGAAACGACTCAGCAATTGGAAGAAAAACTTCGAGAAAAGACGGACAAATGTTATGCTGAAAAAATCAATTTGTCCCAAGAACAAGATATTTTTCACAAGTACGTACCTATTTTGTATTTTTCTCTTTTGGGTAGTCCGAAATATGAGTTCGAGTAAAATAGGAATTCTATCTGCTTCATGACCGTTCGATACGAAATATATCGAATATATCGAACTCCACACGAACTCGCTAATTCCTTGATCCGCAAACACCTACCAACCAGGAAATATCGTCAACTTTTAAACGTTAATTTCGATGCAACAACATTTATTTATTTATGAAAACTGAATTCATTCTCTTTCAGCGTTATATCGAATTGTATTCAACTGCTTGTACAAGATCTGGAGTCAGCGTGTGAATCTGCATTGACTGCAATGACGAAAGTATGACTATTTACTTTTATTGAAATATGACGTAATTATAATTATTTATACCAACACATGAATAATTATTTAGGTTCAGTGGAGTGCCATAGAGGTTGTTGGCGACCAAAGTAATTACGTTAACACTATCGTGGCACATTTACGACAAACAATACCTACTATCAGAGATAGATTGTCCTCGTGCCGGAAGTACTTTACTCAACTTTGCGTCAAGTTCGCGAGGTAACAAAATATTTATTTAACATGTTATTAAAGTATACTAATTCGAGAATCGTTTGCAGCTCTTTTATAGTAAAATTAGTACAACAATTGTACAAGTGCAAACCTTTGAATACCGTGGGCGCTGAACAATTATTGTTAGATGTACACATGTTAAAAACTGCTCTCTTAGATCTTCCATTGACAGGCTATCAAGTTCAAAGAAAAGCTCCAGCAACATACACTAAGGTAATTACTTTTTACTATCTATCTAACGATGTGTTATATTACAATTTTTATCATAAATAGGTAGTAGTTAAGGGCATGGCGAGTGCTGAAATGATTCTTAAAATTGTAATGTCACCCATTGAATCTCCAAAAGATTTTGTAGTGCAATGTAGAATGCGTTTACCGGATCTACAAGCACCAGAATTTCAAAAAATTTTAGACATGAAGGTAACATTAATTGGTTTTCATGAGAATTTGAAATTTTCATTAGATTATTAACGTTGCAAATTTCTAGGGTTTGAAAAAAACAGAACAAGTTTTACTTCTAGAACAATTCAAGCAACCTGAAAATATAGATGTTTTGCATGACACTAGGAGTCATATCATTCAAGATAGTCCAGAACACGAAGCTGGACGAATAAGAAGACTAGAAAAATTAATAAAAAAAAGAATATGAACATATTTCATAGTAAAACTTGCATTGTATTGTACATACTCGATTGAAATATATCTATATAAAATGTGAGCATTGGAATGATATACATCCGTATACAGCAATGCTTGGATATCTGTAGTTAGAAAAACATGGTTAATCTTCAGTTCCTGGAAAAGCACAGCGAATGAAAGATAAATAATAATACAAGGTGCTTCGTCTTTGCATTAGGTACTATTGATATAACTCGGATCGGGTTACACTGGTACGGTGACTCGCAGTTATCCAAGCATTGCTATAAATTTACTTTATCTCGACATAGATAAAATCTTTATATATTTGTCATTCATATTGAATTATATGTATAAACAAAGGATGTGTATCATTTAAAACACAGAATGTTCGATTTTTATACTTTATTGTTGTACATTGTAAACAATACCCGATGAACAGGACGATCTTAACCCTGTTTTTGTGCAAGTTCCTTCGCCTTTGCTTTCTCCAACTTAGCTATCCTGGCAGCAGATTTGCTGCCCAAGAGACCACCACCCCAATGACGCCGGATTTCGTCGTATCTATCATTGAAATTCGTCTTGATAGCTTCGACAATTTTCGCGAAGTTGGCTCTATCACCAGAATCCACCTAACACAAAAGTAAAATGTTATAGAAAAAAAAACTAGAATTTGTTGAAAACACAGGTATCGGTAACAATATATCAGTTATATAGTTTATTATATCATAAATATCGTCAAGGGATTGGCTCTATTTAAACTCATCATATTAATAATTTTCAATTACGAAATATGAATAAACGAAAAATAATTTTAATTCAATAAAAAAATATTCATTTTTACCTGAGTCACAGCCACTGCAGTACAAGTTTTGCGCCTAACGAGACGTCCTAAACGTGCTTTACCTTTTATGATACAATAAGGTACACCCATTTTACGGCAAAGAGCTGGCAGGAAAAGAACTATCTGTAAATACAAATACAGTAATAAGATAATTGTAATGGAATAGTAAATTACCATCATAAAATTATTGTATACATATGAAACTCAGAATACTAATTATGTTTTTTTCATGAACATTGATTGTATTAATCAAGTTCTCAAGTGAAGAAATTCAACCATCATTGTTGTAATTAAATTAAATATTATGATTTAGTATTTAAAAAGAAATTTCCAAATACCTCTATTGGATCCACATCGTGTGCGATCACTACAAGTTGAGCTTTTTTCTGCTCAACGAGCGTAGTTACTGTACTTGTTCCACTATGTACCATATTAGGTTTTTTGGTTGGTGTTGTGTCTTCCTTCTTTGCAACTTTCTGTTCAGCTCTAGCTTTCAGTCTCATTTTCTTTACTGCAGCCGACTCAGGTCTATATTTCTCCATCATTTTGAATAACTGTGTTGCTGAAATAAGATAAACGAATCTTTGAATATATAGGCTAAACTCTTACGATACTTTTAATTTAAATTAAATATTTATGCAAGGAATATACCTGTTTGTTTGTCCAATGTTTGAGTGAATTGATTGATCGGCGGTGGTACTTTCAATCTCTTTTGCAGCACAGCCCTTTGCCGCTGAATGCGAATATATTTGGGCCATTTCACAAAGCGACTAAGATCACGAGCAGGTTGGATATCCTGTCCTAAACATCAAATTCTTTTATCAACACGGCATATAAATACCATATAACTTAATTGTTGTTTTGAGTATGTTCATTTACCAATTCCGAAATTACGGGTGCGCTTTTCAAATAAAGGATTAGTTTGTTTTTTTGGTTCAATCTTCTTTACTGCCAGTGGTGCAGCTGCCACCTTCTTCCCTACCTTCTTCTTCGGCTATATTTTTATAAGAATGTATTCATTAATATAATTATTTAATAAGTAAACATTAAGGTACGTTTACTACTTTTGTGTGTAATCATACGCTTCGTAAACATTGTGGTTAATTATATTAAAAGAAATGTTGCCTCAATAAATATGAAATATTTACATTCTTATATTAAACAAAAATAACTTAATTTACAGTAACACATAAATATGGTGAATGGACAAATACGCCACGTGAGGAAAATATATTTATAATATTTCAATGCGTCCAAAACATGCCAAATTTGAACCATTACAAATCATAGTAATAACACGTCACTTTCGGAAATATTACTTTTATTCGGCAATTTGGTAAGTTTACCTTCTTTTGGACCATTGTTACAATTGTGAATGTAACGGATTCTTTATATCAAAACAGATATAAAAGTGCTGTACTTCGCTTACACGACGCGAAGTACGGCCGCCGAAAACGAAAAGGACAATTCGACAAGCAGCGCCTCCACAGCCAACAGCGCCCCTTGACAAATACCATTTTAATGTAATTGTTTCTAGAGAGGAAACCCAGTATGTAATTTTTCTTTTCAGAGTCATCTATCGGAATTCCCTGTAATAATGACTTCAAAAAGTTATGTAGGTCCGAAGATAAATTGTATTATTTCGTAATTCTAGTATTTGATTATTTTCATTTCATTTTTACAGGTGTGAAAAATCCTCACATTACATAGATTTAGATATATTTTTAATTACATATGTATAATGTAACTGTAAAGTAATCGAAATAATTTTGGTTGCAGAAACAGAATATATATGCCTTTAAATATGTTATTAATACAAACTAAATACTATTTACTTACATTTTATCTTATAATAGATGACAGATTAAAAATAATTTAAAGTACATTCCTCTGATTAATATCGAAACGATATGTTTTTCCTGCAAGAGACGGTTTATTCGTTTGAAAAGCGTTCTGAATTTTTTAAAGGCGCATGCGCAGACGGAATACTGATTGGAATGTGGCAACAGTAGGGGCCGCGCGTGCGACTTACGCGCCTCCAGTTTAGACTATTTCGTGATGAGAGACGCTTAGCATCCGAGCTGCGTCAGTGTTCGTAACGTGTCGACGATTCGTCTGCGTTACGTTCCTGTCATGAACGTTACTGCTGTCTGCTATTCTAAAAACTTTCATTCATAGTGTGGTTGTGACGGTACGTGATCTGGGTGGGTGGTTAGTGATCGCTGACTTATCGTGACATTTCCTTCCGTCCACTCGTCGATGCCGTGAAGCCTCGTATTTTTTAACACAGCGTACTTTTAGAAGCATTAGCTACAGGTAATAACATGAGGTCAAGGGTGCTTTTATTACTTTACTTTGATCCTTTGTGTTTAACAAAGCACCGTACCGGGGACACAAAGAATGTTTTCCGTAAACCGGCGGCTATTTTACGGAAACTAAGCTCTAATACCATTGCTTGTATTAAGCAGAGACATCAAATATTTTGTCTACGGGTATTGTAACTTACATTTATCGAGTTTGAAAATTCTATATTCGAATTCTTTATATATTCATTCTTATGCCTTCGTGTAATCTTCATCGATCGTCAAAGGGGTAAATGTTCATGGTACAAAAAATTCGTTTATTCCGATTCTTTAAATGTATCGATAGTTTCGTAGAATAACTGCTGTTTGTGACGTTCGCTATATTCGTCGTCTGTCGTTCCGTTAACGGTTATTGACAAAAACGTTAAAAAAGAACGTTTGCGATTAAAATAAATGAATAGTAAACTATTAATTGGAGTAATATACGTAATCTTAAACTATTGTTTGAGGTATGACTCAATTCTGTACTAATAATATAAATTAGGTACTTGAGATAATTTCAGATAGTGCACGTGAAAAAGTAGATTCTTATCTTATTTCAATGACAACTAAATTCAAACCTTAAGTAAGCATTGTAACTTTACAATTAAAACAACACGAAAGTTAAAATAGACTTGTTTGGTCGATTCGGATTATTTGTACAATGATTAATGGGCTCATGTATATGTGTCTTAATTTGCTTTTCACAATACAGTAAATATTATTGAAACCGTTAACTGCATTAAATTTTCCGTGTGGCTTGTTATGATCGCGATTTTTCATGCAAGATAATGGTAGTGTTGTTTCGAATTTTACAACGGTACAAGCTACCTTGTTTTTTCCGAATTTCTCTGCAAACCTAACTTCGTATCGCGTTTATAAAATATTAATTTTCAAACTTTACAGTACAGAATTTATATTATGCACTATACACTATAAAGACGATAAAATTTGTACATAATTATATAGGATGTTCGGCCACTCTTGGGAAAAATTTTAATGAGAGATTCTAGAGGGCAAAATGAGACGAAAATCAAGAATAGCAATTTGTTGATTGGGGCTTCGTTACAAAGTTATTAACGTTTAAAGTTCCGTATCGACAGCCTCACAGTTTTGTGAATGAGAACCACTATCACGCGCAGATGTTCTGCAGGCGGAACTCTAAACGTTAATAACTTTTCAACGAAGCCTCGATCAACAAATTGGTATTCTTGATATTCGTCTTATTTTGCTCTCTAGAATCTCTCATTAAAATTTTTCCCAGGGTTGGTCGAACATCCTGTATACGAAAGGTGTAAATACTGCTCAGTAACGAATAATAATGTTAATCGATAGGTAGAGTTTCGTTATTTCGAAATGACGATCAGGAAAATTTGCTGCATCGGTGCTGGATACGTGGGCGGTCCTACCTGCAGCGTTATAGCTTTGAAGTGTCCCGAGGTGCAGGTGACCGTCGTCGATAAGAGCAAAGAGAGGATCGCTCAATGGAATTCCGAGAAATTGCCTATTTATGAGCCCGGTCTGGACGAAGTGGTGCGGAAGTGTCGCGGGAAGAATTTATTTTTCTCCACCGATATGGAGACCGCGATCAAAGAGGCGGATCTGATATTCATATCCGTGAACACGCCGACGAAAACGTTCGGCAACGGTAAAGGAAGAGCGGCGGATTTGAAATACGTCGAGAGCGCTGCCAGAATGATCGCAGAAATTGCGATCGGGGACAAAATCGTTGTCGAGAAGAGCACTGTGCCAGTTAGAGCGGCCGAGAGTATTATGAACATTTTGCGTGCCAATCACAAACCGGGCGTTTCCTATCAGGTAATGTTATTAACTAACAAAGGAACATTTTGATTATTTATTTTAAAAGGAAAATTATTTTTATCATTTACTTGATACGTCGAATAATAGGTAGATAATTTTTAGGTATGGAAAACTGGTATGGCGGTCAATATAATATTAATTTAAAACGATACATAGGTATTCAAAGGTTCATTTAGTATCGTATCTTTTACCAACTTCATAAGGTTGAATAAGTATACAGGGTTCTAGAGGCCAAAATAAGACGAAAATCAAGAATAACAATTTGTTGATAGAGGCTTCGTTAAAATGTTATTAACATTTAAAGTTCCGCCCGTATTGAATTTTTTTCCCGAAAATGCGTAGGATTTCGAGGGTATGTATATTCACCAAAAATGATTGTAATTGACCCCCGCAATCGAAAATAATTTTTCCAAAATGATTTGAAATACTTTTTTTCCGTCGAAAAATTTCACACATTCTCGAATTTTTTTCTCGAAAATGAATAGGATTTCGGGGGTATGTCTATTAACCAAAAATGATTGTAATTGACCCCCGCAACCGAAAATAATTTTTCCAAAACGATTTGAAATTTTTTTTTTCGGTCGAAAAATTTTAACCTTCTCGAATTTTTTTCTCGAAAACGGATAGGATTTCGGAGGTATGTCTATTAACAAAAAATGATTGTAATTGACCCCCGCAACCGAAAATAATTTTTCCAGAACAATTTGAAATTGTTGAATTTAATTGTTAATAACTTTTTAACGAATCCTCCATCAACAAATTGGTATTCTTGATTCTGATATTGAATCTTAAATAGAATCTCTATCATTCAGTTTTAATAAAATTTTAGCAAGTTATGTTACTTCGTATTAAGTAATGTATATTTCGTTGCTAAATATTTAAATATTCAAATTTTCTATTAAAATAATTTTTTAATAGAAGGTAGATGATATAAATGAATTATAGTACAGCGGTATGTTTTATTTAAATTCTGTTTTTACGGAGCTATCAAGGATAGTATCTGTGTATGGAATTATGCGATTCTTTAACGCAAGCGGAAAGAACGTAATGAAATTATAGCCGGAACAAAGGGAATTGACCACTCAAGGTCACTTCCGGGAATGTAATTTATACCAAACACGACTTCCACTTATCGTTGTGCTTGGCTTACTTGATGCGAGTACAGGAAAGTATGTGTTTGTGCATTCGCGGAAAGTGATAAGAGATAAGAGAGTGACGGAGTAGCCAAACAACACATAGGGGTACGGAGGGAACCGTCTGGATAGTTATTTGTACATATTTCGAATACAAACAGGCACGAGGCCTTTAAATTCACAATTTTAAACACGTTTTATTTCATTAGAGAACGTATTCCGAATAAAACAAATATTATCATAATTTATATTCTCAGTCATCTTTACTCCACAATAACCAGTTTGGAAGCGAAATTAAAAGATTGAAGTTTGCACTGTACACATTTCATATTAATGCAACGTTGATTTTTTCTATTATTCCCTGTCTCATATCGACCTTCGTGCTGTATTTATTTTTTTATTAGCATTGGAGAAAAGTAACACTGAAACAACATCTAAAGGATTTAGCAAAGTCGTTATTTTTCTGTAATTTATCTGTTTTGGCGGTTTTAACAGATACCTTTAATTTCATTCACTCTAAATTATATTAATATTTTACAAGTTTTTCTTTTCTATATTATATATTTTGTAAAACAATTAGGGATACCGTTTTTGTAGAAACTAATAAATACTATTATACTTATATATTCAGTAAATGTATACGCTGAATATGATTCATTTTCACTTTGCATTTAACTTAATTATTTTCAACGAGATACCGTGCATTTAATACAATTCGTTTTATCGCAGCGCGGTTAATTGATCATTTCTATAGACGTTTAAATACTTAATTGTACGGTTTATGAAAAGTTCTCAGAATATTTCAAGGCGCTTGCCCAATAACTGAAAGTAATTTTCATTCATGCCCCCTTTCTTGTATCCGTCGTTAACCGATGTCCGAGGCACGGCCAGCAATTACCTGATTTAATACCTGTTGAGTTTATGCCGGTCGTTCGAGGCGTTCCTTCTCTCCGTTCGCCACGGTCGTTCGTGACCTTTTTCCTTCGGCGATTAGCTGGCCTTTTTATATTTGTCGCGCGTCGTTCGCGATCATCGACAGGCGGGATTCGCGACGTAATAACAACGCTATCGTTTCAGATCTTATCGAACCCGGAATTTTTAGCGGAGGGAACCGCCATCGATGACCTGGTGCACGCGGACCGCGTCTTAATCGGGGGCGAGGACTCTCCCGAAGGACACGCCGCCATCGAGGAATTATGCAAGGTGTACGAGCACTGGATACCGAGAAAAAATATTTTAACGACCAATACATGGAGCTCCGAGCTGTCGAAGCTAGTAAGTAAAATGTTCACCAGCTGCAACGAACGAGAAAGAAACACATTGTTAGCGAACTCCTAATGAGGCAATCTAATTAACCTTTATTCGATGCATCTGCAGTGTATGTTCGCGTATTTTGTTTAGCATTAAAAAAGAAATGAACGCGTTTGACAAATACAGTGACTGTTACTTACAATCGTACACATAGCGGTTCATATTTTTTTAAATAAAACATGAAAATTGTACTAAATTATCGAAAATCGTACAGAGGAAATAAGATACAGTTTTAGAATAATATACACTCGGGCTACTCCTGGGAAAAATTTTAATGGGAGATTCTAGGGGCCAAAATAAGACGAAAATCAAGAATACCAATTTGTTGATGGAGGCTTCGTTAAAAAGTTATTAACAATTAAATTCAAAAATTTCAAATCATTCTGAAAAAATTATTTTTAGCTGCGGGAGTCAATTACAATCATTTTTGGTGAATAGACGTACCCCCGAATTCCTACCCACTTTCGAGAAAAAAATTCGAGAAGGTGTGAAATTTTTCGACGGAAAAAAAAAATTTCAAATCGTTCTAAAAAAATTATCTTCGGATGCGGAGGTATATTACAATCATTTTTGGTCATTACACATACCCCCGAAATCCTACGCACTTTCGAGAAAAAAATTCAGTAGTTGGACGAATTTTTCGGCGAAAAAAAAATTTTTTCAAACCGTTTTAAAAAAATTATTTTTAGGTAGAGAGGTCAATTACAATCATTTTTTATGAATACACATACCCCCGAATTCCTACCCACTTTCGAGAAAAAAATTCGAGAAGGTGTGAAATTTTTCGGCGGAAAAAAAAATTTCAAATCGTTTTGGAAAAATTATTTTCGGTTTCAAGAGTCGATTACAATAATTTTTGGTCATTACACATACCCCCGAAATCCTGCGCATTTTCGAGAAAAAAATTGAGTACATTTGGAACTTTAAACGTTAATTACTTCTTAACGAAGCCTCCATCAACAAATTGGTATTCTTGATTTTCGTCTTGTTTTGGCCCCGAGAATCACCCATTAAAATTTTTCCCAAGGGTGGTCGAACACTCCTGTATAGGCGTGTAACTCGTGCTGATTTTTAACGTGGCAAAATAAACTGTTGCTCAAGCGACTTTGAATTGAATTGCGATTTCAGGCCGCCAATGCCTTTTTGGCACAACGCATATCAAGCATAAATTCACTGTCGGCGGTGTGCGAAGCCACTGGTGCCGATGTGTCCGAGGTAGCTCGGGCGGTTGGCCTTGACTCTCGAATAGGATCGAAGTTCCTTCACGCATCGGTTGGCTTCGGTGGCTCTTGCTTCCAGAAGGACATTCTCAACTTGGTGTATATATGCGAATGCTTGAATCTACCTGAGGTGGCAGCCTATTGGCAACAGGTTATAAACATGAACGAGTATCAAAAATCAAGGTTCTCGGCCAAAGTAATAGAGTCGCTGTTCAATACCGTTACGGACAAAAGGATTTCTATGCTGGGCTTCGCCTTCAAGAAAAACACCGGCGACACGCGTGAGTCACCGGCCATTCGCGTTGCTAAGACTCTGCTGGACGAGGGTGCTATGCTTCACGTGTACGATCCCAAGGTGATCTTTTTCAACGAGAGTATATCGACCGATACGATTGCGTTTGAAGAATTATGCCACGTAGTTGGCGCGATTATTTTTAAATGGAATTGTTAAAAAAACTTCGAGGTCAACTTCGTCTCTTTAAATGGAATCTGTGTGTGTTTTTATTTAATTGATGCTATTGTTAAAATATTTCGAAACAAAACGTGTTTGAATTTTGGCAGTTTTTCTTGTTACAGCATCCGGCCAACTTATCGTCCAGTTTGATCGATAGAGAACATCTGGCCCGAAGATTTACTCTTCTGTCTTGCAAACCTAATAATAATCGTGTATATTTCGTTAAAAAAAGTGATCTTGTGAATATTTTTGACATCTCTGTTTAAAAAATAATCTTACAACCTCAAACTCTAAAAATGATTGCTTGCGAAGATGAAGGCTTCCTTGTTACTTGATACTCTTTCGTGCAGGTCGAAGAAAATCAAATTTTGGAAGATTTAACTCATCCGAGCGTAACGAACAATCCCGAGCATGTAAAAAGTAGGATTAATATTTACAAGGACGCTTACAGCGCTACAAAAGACACGCATGCCATTGTCGTGTGTACGGAATGGGATGAATTTGTAGTGAGAAACAATTGTACTATATAAATATTTGAAATATAATTCTATAACTAATTATCATTTTTTCTAATTTTATAGGAATTGGATTACAAGCAAATCTACTTGAATATGATGAAACCGGCATACATTTTCGATGGACGGAAAATCTTGGACCACGATAGGTTAGAAAAGATCGGTTTTATTGTTCAAACTATTGGAAAGAAGATTACGAGGACTGCTACTTCGAGAGCATGGGGAAGCCAAACGCAAATATAAATGAAATGGAAGATTTCGATGAACTCGCATCTTCTAATTTGAAAAATTATTTTAACTATCTTTGCTTCTAATTTTATTAGGTTTTATATCCCTGTTCATCATATTTCTTATTTCTTAAATTTCGGTGAATTAATTCCTAATAATTTCAGTGATGTATCATTACAAAAGTATTCAGAATAATGGAGAGGACGTTAACTACTAGTATAAATATTCAAAGGTAAATACGTCTTTTTGAGGACGCGTGTGTATACTAAATGCAGCAATTATCACTTTCAGTAACGAATACGACATCAGTTGTATCAAATACTCGTATAAATTTTTCTTAGGAATATTTACAATTATTTGAATTATATTCATATGTAATTATGAACTGCAATATCTCTTATTTTTTTATTGAAATAAGTTGCAAGTTCTATTGCAAATCTATCAATCGCGGGCACTTATGCAATCCGATAAATGGTATTTTATCAAAAGGGAGCAGAATTTGTAACATTTTTTTGTATGTAATACTGTGTGTATGACAAATAATTTTCGAGTATAAGGTTTGAGATGTAGTACATTCCTACAAAAATGTACTTGCATACAAGTATTCGCATTTTATTGAAGAAGTAGGTTGATAACTATTTGTATTTAACATCCGTTATTATTATAATTATGTTCTCTATATTGATTATTTTCTTTTGCATTTTCTAAGGAATATTTCTGTCGATTTAGGACCTTATTATAAATTGTGTCCTCATAGATAATATTTTTACATATTTGAATAATTTTCTTTTAATGGTTGTACCATTTTCAAAAGGTGACGAAATCTTTACTAAAGTGATTTCTCATTTTATGGTGGGAGATGCATTAGGTTTTAAAAGTATTATTGATATTTTTTTTCATAGTGATAACGTTAAGAATGTATGAAAGGAAGTGCAGGAATAATGTTAACGTTACATTTCGTGTATGCATACAAAATATAACATTCGTGAAAACAGTTTAAGAAATTTAGTAAACAGCCATATTTTTCATAATAGTCTTACAAAAATTATTTTTATTCTCTTTGATTACATGAAATTATTATAAATTATGTTTAAACATACTCTTGTTTTGCATTTCTGGTTATACATATACACGCAGAATTTATAAATAAACGTTGATAGAAAATCTTTTGAAAAAAAAAAAAAATTTTTATTTCCATGCCATTTTCCGTCATTTTATGTTCTTCTGTATGTATTTCTTTCGCATTCCCTAGACGAAATGTTTCGCTATTTTTAGATAAGCATTTCGGCGCTCCATTCCTTCGAACGAACGCGAGTCGAGTGAAAAAAACTTGATCTTTTTCTTGTTAAGTTCGATGTATAGTTAGATGTACTTTACTATTTCATAACCTTATCATAAAATATGAAATTTGCAATACGATGTATATACGTATAAAGTTTCGAAACGCAAATAAAACAATATCCGAATGAGAACGTTTCGATATTATTCGTTAAATATTTTAGTTGTTTATTCGTTAGATTTGGACGGTGATAAATATTCAAAAATTCAAATATTAAGCGATTGATAGAAACTTCGCGATTCGTCGAGGTGTCGCCGCTGTCGTTACGGCCCTGCTATGGAAGAGCGATGGCGCCGTTGAAGGAACTACTGGCTGCAGAAGCAGAGGCAGCAGCAGCGGCAGTGACGGCAGTAGCGACAGCAGTAGCAACAGTATAAGATCGCTCGCTCCGCGTTCGCCGTGAAAATTCGCGAGTGTCTCGCGTGACAGCGGCGTTCCCGAGGTTACATTAACGAACGGTGGCCGATGATGTCGAAGTGTCGTCGCCGCGTGATTCGCGCGAGATCGAACCATTCATCTAGGTGCCAGTGAATCGTTCCGTGCGTTGTTATTTTTTTCCTTGTCGCGCGCGCGTGTCCTCTCTTTCTGTTAGCCAAGAGGGATAATAGGCCGGGCCTATCAGCACAGTAGGAAAATGGCGGCTCGTCTTGCGCGGTGTAGACGACGAGGGGCAACGGGGCTGTTCGTGTAACAGCGACAAACCGACAAACGAAAAAAAGATAACCTCTCCTGTCCGTCGCGTTCCCTGGCAAAGTGCGCGGTGCCGATCGTTCGTTCGATCGGGAGTGTTGGCGCGACAAGAAAAAGGAAGAAAAAAAGGAAGAAAGAGACACCTCCTTGCCCGCTTATACACATCATATACACCCGCGGAGTTGCGATGACAGCGGGACGTGGAGAGCGAAGGAAAAACAACACGAGAGGCGAGTAACGAAGAACCACTGTGCGTTCCGTTCGTGCACGCGTGTGTGCGCTCGCATGAGAGCGAGTACCGATCAACGGTGACAAGTGTTCCGTCGACGGGGAACTGTAGGCCTTATCCCCGCGTCGACAAGAAGATGATATTACGGGCACCGTGGTACCGCCGTGCGTACGTCGATCGCGATCCTCGTGCTGCTGTTTACTGTCGTCGCCATTGAGCCTACGGCCGCTTTCGCGAAAATCAGTTTTTTCGCGAGAGAAGAGGACGGGGCCGTGGACGGGACGACGACGACACGCGACAACGACGAAAAGCTTGGGGGAAGATGAGAGGCGCGTGCGACGGCGGCATCGCGAGCTTTCTCGCTCTGGCGCTCCTCTGTTTATTCCACACGTTATGCCTTGTGGACGGTACGTAATGCATTTTACTACCCGTAAAACTTCTACCTATGACCCTCTGTACCTATCGTTCTCCCGTTGATCCCTGTCTTCCCATCCGTCCGCCTGTCCTGCCTGTCTGTCATTATTTCTGCCTTCTGTTCGACCCGTCGTTCCCGCTCTTTCCCTCTTTCTTTCGCTTTTCGAAGCGCGTAACGTTGCGTAAGCAACGCGGCACTGCACGCAGAAGGGCCGATTAATCTTGTTGTACGAGGTTCGTCGAGTATGCGGAAGGGTACGTTTAATCGGCGCAAACTGTACGGGTCCTCCATCTCATGGTCAATTGATATGGTTGTTTTTTTCGGCCGGCCACGTTTCTTGTCTATTATATTCTCCCGTTTCCTCGGCGATTAGCGAAACGGTTTCACCGAAGTCGTCCGCTCGATCGGGTGGCTCGCGTATATTTTTTTGCGTGCACTGTTAGCGTGTACTTATCGCTTTATGCCGTGTCACTTGATTATTATTATTATTACACGGTAACGATTCCATTACTCGACACGTATCGTACCCGCTGTGCCTTTTCATTTAGCATTGTATTCAACATAAAATCGGATGTACGATATTCATTGGCCCGATAATTGACACTGTTTTCTAATACACGTATCAACAAATTTAACAGTAGACTTTTATCAAACTTTAATCATGTTATGTAAATTATTACTTGATATTTAAATTCATCCTTCTAAAGTGTTAGAAAATTGCAATTCTCTGATTTGAGTATTATGGTTATCATTGCAATGCTTATACATATTCTGCGTACGTTATAAGGTATTGGAATTAACCAAATATTAAAAGTTGATATTATTAAATTTACTCAATGTAAAATAACAATTAATTGCATGGTCTTTTATAGCATATTTATACTTGTGTTACCTAGATTATTTTTCCATAACTTCCTACATAGTTTTGTGCAAATTCAATGCACATTATCGCGCGGTTGCTACGTGGTAAAGTATGAATATATTAATTGGAAAAACTACATGCATATTAATGTTTAAAGACCAGTTTAACGTCTTGTTAGTTTCGTATAAAATGTATGGAGTATTTGCGTATAAAAATTAAGAATCTTTCAATTAATAGACCTTCACCTATTTAAGTTACAATTTCCATTGGGACAGACATACAGGTTTCCGAGTAATATTTTGCTTATTTTTGTCGAATGCTCGACGTCGTGTCGCACTTATTTTCATAATGAAGGTAGAGATAAACATTATCTTGCGATTTTGAAATCCAATCGTGTTTAACCGATACGTAATCTTTCCCGCAAATACGTTGCATATGTATACAATTGATTCTTTAATGAAGCACCTTGAAGACTACTGTGTTGTGAACTTATTATAAGCGTGTCTTCGCCAGCTGTCCTCTTATCTCTGTCTGCGTGACGATAGTTAATTAAGATACTTTCCAGTCTACCCTTTTTTGCCTGTTTTACTGTCCCGCTGACCTTTCTTTGACACAGCCCGAGAAGAATTTCTCTCGAACGTCGTCTCTTAAAATTTGCGAAACGATTTCGTTAAAGATCAGTCGACAAGATGGTAGATATTATTAATCGTTTAAAAATTTTTTAAATATCTACTTTAAAAACATTTTTCAATTTAGTATTGCTGTGTTTGAACACTGTTGTTGCTTCAATAAAATCTTGTATTTGTTTTTTTATGTAAAAATTACAGATACAGGGTGTTTCGTCATCCTTGGGAAAAATTTTAATGGGAGATTCTACAGAGATTAAAAAACTAAATTAAAAAGTTTCAAATCGTTTTAAAAAAATTATTTTTAGCTAATGGGGTCAAATACAATCTTCTTTGGTGAATAGACATACCCTCAAAATCCTACGCAGTTTCGAGAAAAAAATTCAGTAGGGCGAATTTTTCGGCGAAAAAAAATTTTTTCAAATCGTTATAAAAAAATTATTTTTAGTTAGGGAGGTCAATTACAATCATTTTTGGTGAATAGAGATATCTTCGAAATCCTGCGCATTTTCAAGAAAAAAATTCCGTAGGGCGAATTTTTCGGCGAAAAAGAAATTTTTCAAATCGTTATAAAAAAATTATTTTTAGTTAGGGAGGTCAATTACAATTATTTTTGGTGAATAGACGTACCCTCGAAATCCTACGCAGTTTCGAGAAAAAAATTACGTAGGGCGAATTTTTCGGCGAAAAAGAAATTTTTCAAATCGTTCTAAAAAAATTATTTTTAGCTAGGGAGGTCAATTACAATCTTTTTTGGTGAATAGACATACCCCCGAAATCCTGCGCATTTTCGAGAAAAAAATTCAGTACTGGCCGAAGTTTAAACGTTAATAATTTTTTAACAAAGCTTCTATCAACAAATTGGTATTCTTGATTTTCGTCTTATTTTGGCCTCTAGAATCTTGCATTAAAATTTTTCCCACGGTTGACCGGATACCCTGTATACATATGGGAATATATCGATATTAATATTGGATATCTAAAATCAGAATGACTTAAATATTAACAATTCGTATTATTATAATGTTATTACACAAAACTGAAAAGACTAAAAGATCCAAACGTACACGTGTATTTATCCTGAAGTTGCATGTTTCAATTAATTCCTGGTTACCTCTGAAAATACAGTCCCATTGTTCCAAATACCGTTCGTGCTTATTCAACCTCTTAACTGTGTAATTATTTTCCCAGGAGTGTCTGATTACTTGGAATTCCTCTCACTGAGAATAATCAGTCCCTGTATTTACAATACATTAATAAAATATTCAAACTTTCGGGAGTATTATTTTAATAAAAACACAAATTTAAATCAAACACTCGCGCTTATATTCAGAGTGTTCCAGATGTAAGTGACAAAAATTCGTCACCTTATTTTTTTCATTTTAAGAAAGAGAAAGGTCATGCATGACGTAAGAGTGTACAAGGAACGTTACAAATCACCAGTCTTTAACCATTGAAATTTTATATATAACAAAGAAAGAATAGCAGAAAGTTCTCTTGGATTAATTTTCATCAATTTAAGATCGTTATTATTCACCGGTGTCTCGAGTCGTCCACTTTATTTTATTTTCCAAATAAAATTTCCCACAAAAATCAGACTGAGGAACTCACATCGATTCTGTAATATAATTGTCACGGTAAACGTTGAATTTTCTCTTTTGAATCGTAAAATTTGTCCCATCTTCGTTGGTTTCTATCAACGAGGTTCAAGCTTTATGTGGGCGAGATCTCGATCTACATTCGCGCGTCTGTAACGTTTGGTAATTGGTACGTAAATGTAAATCTCGTCCAGTTTGCCATTTTCCACAGGGGGGAGGGGGCAAGCCACGAGATCGAATCTGTGGCGCTTATTCCACCGGAGCACATTGTTATTCCGCGGATTCTTAAGACTATTAGCGTTCGCGGAGCGCTGATAAAACGGTCGTAGGTCGGGAAAAAGGCTGCCGGCGTCGCGGCAACGACCTTAACAAGACACTGTGTGCACCAGTGACGAGCAACCCGTGGACCATACGTGGTTTTCCTCAGAAAAAATTGCCTCGAAATTGGCTCCCCTATTCAATTTACAAGGATCCCCGCGACACATTAAACTAGTTTCAACTCTGTTAAACCAGCAAAATCAGCAAAATCAAACAGGACTTATTGGAGTATTTAGTATTCATATTGTATTAAATTTTACCTGAAATATTTTACCTGAGTATTAAATATTTTTATTCATTCCATTGTCGTTTATTCGAACAAACAATCCCGACTATTTTCAAGTCCGATTAATTCTACCAGTCGAATATGAAATCACAGCTATCGATCGAAATTTGAGAATAGATACAAGTCAAGTATTTTTAGAAAAATCCATCAGCGTTTAGAAAAATTTTCCTTGGCTCGAATCCTTCGTGGCGCACTTGAAATACATTTCTTAACGTTAGCTCTCGATTCTTCATAGCGATGCCTAATTTGCAATGATTTCATGGATTATTTTACCAATTTAGTGTTTCAAAATATCGTCAACGCGCAATATTAATAATTTAACCATTTCGAGTTCGTATTTAAGGAATTACAAGTTTTCACTCTTTTCGCGTGGGTGTACAGCTTCCTCTTTTTTTCTCGAAGGAAATGCTCGCGTAATCTTTTCAGCATGGCGGTACTTAATAGCGAGTACAAATTTATCTCGTCGGACAATAAACTTCTCGTTTGAATTTAATACGTGTCGCGGCTACACGCCGTGAATTGTAATTTTACGTTTCTTCCACGTAGGTGTACATCTTCCTCTGCTTTTAAGTTCGCGAACGAGATGCTCGTGTAATTTTCTCGGCCTCTCAGTACCCAGCAGCGACGAGTACAGGTTTGTTTAGCTTAGAGGTCAATTAACTGCTCGTTGCTTGTCTAATTATCGCGTCTTTGTTTATTGGACGCTTCGCTGTCTCTTTTTATTTTCTCAACGCGTTAAACGTCACGTGTGCCGTATGTAACCCATCGCGCATGTAATTTCCACGTGTTAGCAGCAGGGCAATCGCTGGTTTAATTTCTTAAAAAATTATCGTTACGATAGGGATCGATTGAACTGGAGATTGAATTAGAATATTATTAACACTAGATTTACTATTGATATACATGCATTGATCGTACGTATATTTATTGATACCTTTCATGTTGTCGATTACCTTAAAATACGATTTTTCTTTTAATTAGAATTTAATTTATAAGTTGTTAAAAAATAATATTTATGCGTTCTGCAATTTTAAATATGGAATCAGACATCCGTTAAATTGACGACTTACGTAAATCTAGTGTCAACAAAAAAGTAGGCTATTTTTGTATTCTATTCTGAAGATCAGGGAAGAAAGTCGAAGAAAATTGATGTTTTTCGCTCTTACTTTACTTTCTAGGTGATTCTCAAGTCGCGAAAATATCTAGAGCGTTGATAAATATCGCGCTTTGTTTACACATAGAAAGTTAGATTTTTGAAGCACTTTCAGCTGACGAAACATATTAGTTTTTAACTTTCAAAAG